GATTTCTGTACCAAATATTAAGTTCTGCTTTTCTGATGTATCAAATACTTATGTCATGCAATAAAATGCAAATTAATTACATAAAAATCATACAATGTGATTTTCTGGATTTTTTTTTTAGATTCCGTCTCTCACAGTTGAAGTGTACCTATGATAGAAATTACAGACCTCTACATGCTTTTTAAGTAGGAAAACCTGCAAAATCGGCAGTGTATCAAATACTTGTTCTCCCCACTGTATATATATACAGTGGGTGAAAAAGGTATTTAGTCAGCCACCAATTGTGCAAGTTCTCCCACTTAAAAAGATGAGAAAGGCCTGTAATTTTCATCATAGGTACACGTCAACTATGACAGACAAATTGAGAAAAAAAATCCAGAAAATCACATTGTAGGATTTTTAATGAATTTATTTGCAAATTATGGTGGAAAATAAGTATTTGGTCACCTACAAACAAGCAAGATTTCTGGCTCTCACAGACCTATAACTTCTTCTTTAAGAGGCTGCTCTGTCCTCCACTCGTTACCTGTATTAATGGCACCTGTTTGAACTTGTTATCAGTATAAAAGACACCTGTCCACATCCTCAAACAGTCACACTCCAAACTCCACTATGGCCAAGACCAAAGAGCTGTCAAAGGACACCAGAAACAAAATTTAGACCTGCACCAGGCTAGGAAGACTGAATCTGCAATAGGTAAGCAGCTTGGTTTGAAGAAATCAACTGTGGGAGCAATTATTAGGAAATGGAAGACATACAAGACCACTGATAATCTCCCTCGATCTGGGGCTCCACGCAAGATCTCACCCCGTGGGGTCAAAATGATCACAAGAACGGTGAGCAAAAATCCCAGAACCACACGGGGGGACCTAGTGAATGACCTACAGAGAGCTGGGACCAAAGTAACAAAGCCTACCATCAGTAACACACTACGCCGCTAGGGACTCAAATCCTGCAGAGCCAGACGTGTCCCCCTGCTTAAGCCAGTACATGTCCAGGCCCGTCTGAAGTTTGCTAGAGTGCATTTGGATGATCCAGAAGAGGATTGGGAGAATGTCATATGGTCAGATGAAACCAAAATAGCACTTTTTGGTAAAAACTCAACTCGTCGTGTTTGGAGGACAAAGAATGCTGAGTTGCATCCAAAGAACACCATACCTACTGTGAAGCATGGGGGTGGAAACATCATGCTTTGGGGCTGTTTTTCTGCAAAGGGACCAGGACGACTGATCCGTGTAAAGGAAAGAATGAATGGGGCCATGTATCGTGAGATTTTGAGTGAAAACCTCCTTCCATCAGCAAGGGCATTGAAGATGAAACGTGGCTGGGTCTTTCAGCATGACAATGATCCCAAACACACCGCCCGGGCAACGAAGGAGTGGCTTCGTAAGAAGCATTTCAAGGTCCTGGAGTGGCCTAGCCAGTCTCCAGATCTCAACCCCATAGAAAATCTTTGGAGGGAGTTGAAAGTCTGTGTTGCCCAGCGACAGCCCCAAAACATCACTGCTCTAGAGGAGATCTGCATGGAGGAATGGGCCAAAATACCAGCAACAGTGTGTGAAAACCTTGTGAAGACTTACAGAAAACGTTTGACCTGTGTCATTGCCAACAAAGGGTATATAACAAAGTATTGAGAAACTTTTGTTATTGACCAAATACTTATTTTCCACCATAATTTGCAAATAAATTAATTAAAAATCCTACAATGTGATGTGATGTGTACCTATGATGAAAATTACAGGCCTCTCTCATCTTTTTAAGTGGGAGAACTTGCACAATTGGTGGCTGACTAAATACTTTTTTCCCCACTGTATATGATGCAGAAGGGAATAGCCTATGTTGTTTAGTAAATAAAAAGTTATCAATCCATCAAAATACTATTTAATTCCTAATGAGCCATCCTTGTTTACAGCAATTAGAGACTCGGGCTAATGACAAATATGTTGTGGTTAAGATGAGCAGAGATGTATTTTTGTTTATATATGGGTCAGGGTGGATAGCACAGAAGATGTCAGAGTGAATAAGAATCACGTTTGTCTTCTTTTGCTCAGAGATCCATGGGCCATAAGGAATGGTTGAATATTACATAATTCTTGCCAACAGCAATATGAGCTCACTTGGGGCAAATCTTAGGCATGTAGCCTACATGCTTCACAAGATTAAGCATTATTCATATGAACCCTTTCAGAAGACTTAAGTGAACCAACAAAGACTCATCATGATTGTATGCTTTTGCCGAGAGAAACACGTGCCATAAGGATTGTTGAATACATTTACCAAACTGAATATTTATGTAAATTACAGTTTGATTCTCCAAGATATCCCTAAGGCATAGTGTTCAGGCTGCACAGTGTACATCAGGGGTACTCAAGTACTACACTGAACAAAAATATATACGCAACATGTAAGTGTTGGTCCCATTTTTCATGAGCTGGAATAAAAAATCCCAGAAATGTTCCATACACACAAAAAGCTTCTTTATCACAAATGTTGTGCACACATTTCTTTATATCCCTGTTAGTGAAGAGTTTCTGTCTGTAATAAATCCCTTTTGTGGGGAAAAACTCATTCTGATTGGCTGGGCCTGGCTCCCCAACTGGGTGGGCCTATGGTCTCCAAGGCTGCATCCCTGCCCAGTCATGTGAAATCGATAGATTTGGCCCTAATGAATGTATTTCAATTGACTGATTTCCTTAAATGAACTGTAACTCAGTAAAATCTTTGAAATTGTTGCATGTCGCATTTTTATATTTTTGTTTAGTATATTTGAGAAGGTCTGGTCACACGCATTTCCTAGGTGACAATGGTCTGTATGGATATATAATTTATCGGCATACCCCCACCTCACAACCCATGCAACCCCAAACTGTTCACACCCCTCTTATTGGCGGAGAGAAAATTGTGCAGTTTTAATGCTAATTTACTGCAATTCTACACATTTTGCCATGTAATGATACCAGGCTGATTTTCCCCCAACATTTTTTATTTATTTATATACAGTGCTTTTGGAAAGTATTCAGTATCCCTTTTTCCACATTTTGTTACTTTACAGACTTATTCTAAAATTGATGAAATTATTTTTTTCTCATTAATCTACACACAATACCCCATAATGACAAAGCAAAAACTGGTTTTTATAAATTTTTCCATATGTATTAAAAAGAACAAACAGAAATACCTTATTTACATAAGTATTCAGACCCTTTGCTATGAGATTCGAAATTGAGCTCGGATGCATCCTGTTTCCATTGATCATCCTTAAGATGTTTCTACAACTTGATTGGGGTCCACCTGTGGTAAATTCAATTGATTGAACATGATTTGGAAAGGCACACACCTGTCTAATATAAGGTCCCACAGTTGACAGTGCATGTCAGAGCAAAAACCAAGCCATGAGGTCGAAGGAATTCTCCGTAGAGCTCCGAGACAGGATTGTGTCTCGGCACAGATCTGGGGAAGGGCACCAAAACATATCTGCAGCATTGAAGGTCCCCAAGAACACAGTGGCCTCCATCCTTCTTAAATGGAAGACGTTTGGAACCACCAAGACTCTTCCTAGAGCAGGCTTCCTAACTGGTCAATCGGGGGAGAAGGGCCTTGGTCAGGGAGGTGACCAAGAACCCGATGGTCACTCTGACAGAGCTCCAGAGTTCCTCTGTGGAGATGGAAGAACCTTCCAGAAGGACAACCATCTCTGCAGCGCTCCACCAATCAGGCCTTGATGGTAGAGAGGCCAGACGGAAGCCACTCCTCAGTAAAAGGCACATGACAGCCCACTTGGAGTTTGCCAAAGGGCACCTAAAGGACTCTCAGACCATGAGAAACAAGATTCTCTGGTCTGATGAAACCAAGATTGAACTCTTTGGCCTGAATGCCAAGCGTCACGTCTGGAGGAAACCTGGCACCATCCCTACAGTGAAGCATGGCGGTAGCAGCATCATGCTGTGGGGATGTTTTTCAGCGGCAGGCACTGGGAGACAAGTCAGGATCGAGGGAAAGATGAACGGAGCAAAGTACAGAGAGCTCCTTGATGAAAACCTGCTCCAGAGCACTCAGGACCTCAGACTGGGGTGTTCACCTTCCAACAGGACAACGACCCTAAGCACACAGCCAAGACAACGCAGGAGTGGCTTCGGGACAAGTCTCTGAATGTGCTTGATTGGCCCAGCCAAAATGGCTGTGCAGCGACGCCCCCCATCCAACCTGACAGAGCTTGAGAGGATCTGCAGAGAAGAATGGGAGAAAATCCCCAAATACAGTTGTGCCAAGCTCATACCCAAGAAGACTCGAGGCTGTAATCACTGCCAAAGGTGCTTCAACAAAGTACTGAGTAAAGGGTCTGAATACTTACAGTGAGGGGAAAAAAGTATTTGATCCCCTGCTGATTTTGTACGTTTGCCCACTGACAAAGAAATGATCAGTCTATAATTTTAATGGTAGGTTTATTTGAACAGTGAGAGACAGAATAACAACAAAAAAATCCAGAAAAATGCATTTCTAAAATGTTTTCATTTGATTTTGCATTTTAATGAGGGAAATAAGTATTTGTAAATGTGATATTTCAGTTTTTATTTTTAATACATTTGCAAACATTTCTAAAAACCTGTTTTTGCTTTTTCATTATGGGGTATTGTGTGTAGATTGAAAACAATTTAATAAATTTTTTAATAAGGCTGTAACGTAACAAAATGTGTAAAAAGTCAAGGGGTCTGAATGCTTTCCGAATGCACTGTATATTTAATTTTACTCTGTTCTGGGTCCGGATCCGGACCGCGGTCAGCCTGTTGAGTATGACTGGTCTACATAGCTTTAGCCAGTGAAATACTGGCTTCCATTGCAAAGTCAACTTTGTTTAATGGGAAAACACGTGCATACAAAGAAGGAAATAAATCCACATCGAACTCTTACATTCTCAGACTTCTGTCAACTTGTTTAATTACAGATTAAAAGTAGAATAATGTGTGAAGACAGCATATTTCAGGGTCTGTTTTGTGTTTCAGCTGGGATGTGCAGATATCAGCCGAGACTGCCTAATGATGTACTTTGAAGGGAAACCCCCAGCCAATCAATTCCTGTGCCGAGCGTACCTCTGTCAGGGCCAGCTGAAGTCTCCACAGAGCTTTGGGAGTGTGGTGAGGACAAACGCAACTAAAAGTCTACTCGTTTGTGGTTGTTCAGCGATGTTCGATCGTCTCAGCGCATCTGCTCTGATAACCATTGGTTTGACATTTTATAATGGATGAACAGAGACAACCTTTGTGACTCTAGCAGCACTGTCTGTATTTTCCCATAGAACCAGCAGCTTAGCATTGGTTCCTCTGGTCTGACCTCTGCATACTTCCATTTGAAGCTCTGGGCCCGGTTGCATAAAACACCTTAAGTTAACTTCCCCCTTATCTTTTCCCTTAAAGTTTCCTTAACTTTAAGTCCGTTGCACACATTTTTTAAAGGTGAATTTCCCCCTTAAAATAAGTGAAAATGTTAAGGGTGCCCATGAGGTCCCTTAACTGCTTAATTCAGTATGGATATCAATGTAAACAGCATTTGTGGAGGTGAATGTTGCTTTCATCTGCTCTGGTTACAAAAGGAAAACATCAACCAGCTAGCTACTTAGCTAAACAATGGAAGGTGCACAATCCATGGCTACTGTAGCTGGCTAGTTAGCTATAGCTACTCTGTAGGCTAGCTTGAGGTACTAGAAAGTAATATAAACAAGTTGAGAAAAAAAGTAACTACAAGAAATGTGGTTTATTATCTTCTGAATCAATTTGGTTATCCTGTCTTGATTGTAGAAGTTCTATTTTGCTATCCATACAAAATGAAAGCAATCTGTTTGAGAGAAGTTTAGTCAGTGAAATCAGGCCATCTCCATGGAAACCAGATACTCTTTCTGCCATACATACCTTCAAACTACCGTAAAACCCCTTAAGAATGCCCTCAACTAAGGAAATATTTGAGGGGCTCTATGCAACGCCCTTAAGCAATTCCCTTAGGTAAGGGAACATTATGCGTTATCATAAAACATCTGAAGTTATTTTTCCTCTCATCTTTTCCCTCAAAAGTTTCCTTAACTTTAAGTCAGTTGCACAAAACATTTTAAGGCGAATTTCTCCCATAAATTAAGGGCCCAGTTGCATAAAACATCTTAAGTGTTTCCCTTAAGGAATCATTTTCCCTTACCTAAGGGAATTGTGTAAGCATAGTGTTGCATAGAGGCCCTTAAACATTTCCTTAAGTAAAGGCATATTTTAAGGGTTTTATGGTAGTTTGAAGGCATGTAAAGTAGAAAGAGTATCTGGTTACCATAGAGATGACTTGATTCACTGACTGAATGTCTCATTTACATTACATTACATTTTAGTCATTTAGCAGACGCTAAATTATTTTTTTTTTATACTGGCCCCCCGTGGGAATCAAACCCACAACCCTGGCATTGCAAACGCCATGCTCTATCAACTGAGCTACATCCCTGCCGGCCATTCCCTCCCCTACCCTGGACGACGCTGGGCCAATTCTGCGCCGCCCATGAGTCTCCCGGTCGCGCCCGGCTGCGACAGAGCCTGGATTCGAACCAGGATCTCTAGTGGCACAGTTAGCACTGCGATGCAGTGCCTTAGACCACTGCGCCACTCAGGAGTCTCTTCAAAGAGATCACATTTATTTTGGGTTATTGCAAAATAGAACTTCTACATTCAAGACAGGAGAAACAAATTGATTCAGAAGATAATAATAACGCGTTTCTTTAACTTTTTTCTCAACTTGTTTCTATTACTTTCTAGCAAGCCAAGCTAACTTACAGAGTAGGTAGCTAGCTAGCCAGCTAGCTTTGTAGCCATGGATTGTGCACATTCCATTGTTTAGCTATGTAGCTAGCTAGATATCTATTTAGCTGGTTGATGTTTTCCTCCCTCCACAAATGCTGTTTACATTGAGATCCATACTGAATGAAGCATGTAAGGGACCTCATGGGCACTCTTAACTTTTTCATTTAATTTAAGGGGGAAATTCACCTTGAAATGTTTTGTGCAACTTTAAGGGAAAAGAGAAGAGGGAAATTAACTGAAAATATTTTATGCAACAGGGCCCAGATCTCAAGCTTTGATAGAAATACGATGAATGACTCATATAACATAAATCTATAGTGTTTATAATGTTATTCCTCCTCTGACTGTCTGTTATTGTGATTTTTTCCCCCTCTTTCATACTCATGATTTCTCTCTTAGGAGGAGATTGAAAAGGCTGTGATTTATTTTCTGAAAGCTATTGAGATTTCAAAGGTCAAACCAAGGTATGCAATTTAACAGGAACCTGTTTCATAGGAACATGAGTCATTTTCCTGTCTCCATAGTTGACCAAAGTGAGCCGTGCCCACACTCTTTGTGACAGAAAAATTGAATTATTTATTTGATATGTGTTCCGTCTTTCATATTGTCTAGCACAAAGTGGCATCATGTCAGTCTATGTTAAAAGAGATCATAGAGGGGAAATATTCACAGGATGACGAGAGGCTTAGGTGGGGAGTATGGGGGATGAAAGTTTACTCTGTTGCTGTGGCACAGAAATATCCAGGAGTGGGAGACTTAGTGAAAATGTAGGCCTTTATCGATGTAGTTCATCTCTTGGTCCACAAACATATGAAACAAATATGAAGTTGCTCTTAAGATTCATATTTGTTTCACATAATATTCTCCCTTAAGTGTGAAAAGGCTAGCCATAAGCAAATAGCAAAGCAATAAGAATATCAAACAGAATTATCTGCTGGTTTATATGCCCTGTGACTGTACACAGATATGTTATGAGATTTATGCAAAAAGGTCTACAGACAGTAAGAGGTGCATTATGAAGTCATAATATCATATAGGGCCCACAGAGATCCTATTAAATTACAGATCTAATATGTAATTATATGTGTCAATAAAGGGCTGCCGGAACGATCCCAATTAAGACCAAAGGGAATGCCTAACACAGCCCAGACTAATGTACGCAGTCATCCCTGGTGGATAAATTAGTTTGAATATGTTAGAAAAACTCAAATAATCTCTGCACCCTTTTTATTTGATAAATTCCACCCTCATGGCCTGTAAGCCAGTAATGGCTGTACTCCAAATGGAGATTTACAATAGGGCTAAACTCTCCACTGACTCATTGAAAGACTGATATACTGTACTGTGTATATTCATTTGCAATTCATAGGAATTTCCATCCCAAAGTCAACACTTGGCCTAAATTAAAATGTACTGTATAACTGTACTAAAAAGATCAGATAGTGTTTTTCTGCTGTGTAAATTATTGATCTGTAAAACAGTTTTTCTTCTTTCCCTCATACTCTTTACTTTCGGGCAGATACCACTTTTTGGTATTCAATGCTTCGGTGCTCTACTTCCAGATGGTCCGGCCGCTCCTGCGGCCCGGGCCACGCCAGCACCTGGTGCCCACCCTCACTCAGGTGGTCAAGGCCCTGGAGGAGGTTGGGGAACCAGACTACAGTTGGAGGGCTCAGCTCATGCTGTAGGTAGCTCTAACTGTCATGCTCTGTCTCATCATACACTAACAATCAGTAATGCCAAATGCCCCTCAATTATGACTCGGAACATTTATGAATCAGATTTTTTAAAATATATTTCAGTACAACGATTTGTGTTGAGGTGCAGAGTATATTGATTGTTGTATCCATTGTCTCAACATGCAGACACCTTGTTGAATGCCTTGTGGATGCTGGGAAAGGGGAAGAAGCTTCTAGTTTTGCCAAGGCCACCTCAAACTTCATAGAGTCACATATCCCTGACCTGTATCCAAAAATATTTTCCCTACAGGTAAAGCCTTCTCTTTTTTAATGTGCTGACTAAAGTCATGAACTCCTTTTCGGATGTGGTGTCAGGTCCTGGAAAGACACAACCAGCGTCTCACTTGTTTTGACTGTCTTTGGGTAGAGCATGGTTACATGTGGGGTTAAACTGGGTAGTTCTATTTATCTACTAATACAATTATGTTGCTCCTAGGTACGACATAAGCTGTTTGACTTCAATAAAAACCCCAAGAAAACTGAAGCAAGTCCTGTTTTATCAGTCATCTACAAAATGCAGAAGCTCAAACAGTAAGTGTTTCCCCCCCTTTATCTAACATGATATTATTTTGTTCAATCAACTTAAAAGTTCTTTGTCACTTAACTTTTCCATGCCCCGTTGATCGTCTTCGTAGGCTCAATGTTTTTTGAGGCAAGATATCCCCAGAGATTACGCATCAGAGTATGTTTATTTTCAAATGATGGATCTATTCTGTATCTTCATTTATGAGACTGAAAAGCAATAACCACAATAACCGTTAAAAAGTTGCAGCTACGTATTTTGAAAGTGCTTTTGGGATTAGGTTGTGATGTGTATATTGATAATATTTTGCTTTGAAAATGCATTTGAAGAATCATACTGCAGGCACTGTTATTTTTTCAAAAGTTGTTTGCAAGAAGCAAAAAGCTTTGATATCATTATTTGCTTTTTGCTGAAGAGTTTTAGGCCTACACAGCCATACACATTGTGCCTTTTAAAAACTAAAAGGTTATTGTTTGCTGTGGTCTGTATGTTATTTGTTTTCCATGGTTTAAGAGTTGAGAGTGGGCAGTTCTTTATAAGTGGTCCTAAAGATCACATTACATAAGTTGATTTGGACCTTCTGTACTCACTGGACCTAGGTCATTGGGTTAGTGATATGCGGTCTCTCAGCTAGACCCGGAGCATCTCAGAGGGGACAAGGTTATTAGACCGCTGATATTTATTACCCGTTAGCTTTTGGTACTACTGAGAGGAAGACCAGCACCCTCTCCGCAGGCGTGTACTCTACATGTCAGACCATCTCACGGTTAACAAGCTGAGCTATAGACATGGGCAGCATGACTCATACCATCACCCAGACCCTACCATCATTATGAGAATGATATACAGTAGGTTAACATGCCCTGGGTTCAGTGTGTGTATGTGTGTGTGTGCACTAACATGCATGTGCTTTGTGTGTGTTCATTCTGTGTTCCACAGTAATGTTAATGATCTTTGTGAGGCCAGAAAAGAGGATGCTGCCAGGATTAAGGAGATTTTCCTGCTCCTTATGCATTCAGCTGCAGCCCAATCCCCTGCTACAGCTCAAAGCTCCAGCCCTTGTCTTGCAGAGAGCCCCTCACCCATCCCTCCAGCTGACAGGTCTACATCTCCTCTCCTGTTGCAATACTTACTATCATCACTACAATTGGCCTAGTAATTGGCCATATTTTGTTTGACTCTATTGACCTGTTGTTGAATTCATTTGAATTGATAGTCTATCTTCAACACCAATACAGTGGCTTTACATCTCAGTAGCATCAGTCTGAATATTACATGGCTAAATAGTTTTTTACTCTTACAGATGATCAAAGTGTTGTGAATGTCTTATGAATGTCTCATTAACCATGTTAATCTTATAAATTGTTTCTAAAGAGTTGCCTTCCTCCTGGAGCTAGCTTTTCTGGCCTTGCAGTTGAAACATCACCAGATGGCAGCGGACTGTCTGAGAGAGCTGAAAACAGCGGGAGTCACTGTGAGTGGCGGCCAGTCACAGATATCTCTATTATCATGTCTCTATATGCCATATAGAGTAATGCAATTATGCAAACATATGCACGTAATTGACCCAATTTCTCAGTCGAGGTCTCGACAAGAGACTTGATTAGCTAGAAGAGCTGGGGCCCAAGAGGCCCACATATTCCCTTTACCCTCAGTAGTATTTCTAATACATTCAGTGATTCTACATTACATGTGTAATGGGGCAGCAGGTAGCTTAGTGGTTAAGAGCGTTGTGCCAGTAACCGAAAGGTCGCTGGTTCTAATCCCAGAGCCGACTAGGTGAAAAATCTGTCTGCAAGGCACTTAACCCTAAGCTCCTGTAAGTCGCTCTGGATAAGAGCATCTGCTAAATGACTCAAATGTAAAATGTAATGTGTGGTTGGAAATGGGTATTGGGGTAACTTCAATACTGTGATTCAACTTGAGCCATCTGGGCCCGTTTTCACAGAGCATCTCAAAGAAGGAGTGCTGATCAAGGATAATTATTATCTCATTTTGATCATAATGAAAACGATTATGGACATTGGGGACCTGATCCTAGATCAACTCTCTACTCTCAGACTCTGTGAATACACATGGCTGGTCTCACTATAATTTAGCAGTAGAAATGCCATTCTCCTTACACGTTTTGTATTTCACGTTTCAAATTCTCTATTTGTAGAGTGTTGGCCAGTGCATCATGATGGAGTGTGTCCAGTGTGACCTGGACCTCCAGAAGAAGCAGGAGGGGTGGATGAAGGACTATTCCAAAGCCAATGTGGAGGTGCCCTCTCCTGTGCATGAATTAGCAGCATCAATATGCCAGTTTGCCACCCAGAACATATTACAGTACATCAATACAGTGTTAAATGAGCTCAAAAGAGCCTTATACCTTTAAAGCCTGGCAATGTTCTTTCCAATGCAGTGTTATTTCTAATGCATTTGTTCTTTTGAATTCAAGCCAAGCTGTGGATGTCATTGGAAATGTGTGTTGTAGTATCATGATGTTATTATATAATTATTATATTGGTAGCGTTATTAAATATATTTTTTTTGTTCTGTTTGGCAGTTCTACCTGTGTTGCAACAGTGTTGCACCATACTTTGTAGAATCTGTAGATTCGTTAGGCAGTCCTTGCTGTAGTTGTTGCCTGGTCCCTTAGGCCCAGCTGAAGGTGATAGGCAGACTGGACAAGGTGCTGCAGAGTGCAGTAAGAGAGGAGGATGCCAAGGTGATGCAGGCGGTGTGTGCCTCACAGTGGAACGCCTGTCTGCCCCTCCTTCAACACAACCTCAGGAGGAATGTCAAGGGGGCGCTCCTCAAAGTGGCCCAAGTCCTGGAGGACACTCACAGGTGACTCACACTCAAAGAGGCCATTATGTGTGTGTGCACTTTCATGCCTGCATGTGTGTCCAATCTAAAGTGTTAACTTTGTTCTTTCAGTGTGCAGCTGGAGATGCGCTGTCAGGTCCACAGTGAGCTGGCAGTGATTGAGGAGGAAGAGGGGAGGCTGGAGCCTGCTCTGCTCCACCTCCAGAGGGCCCTGCTGCTGGACGAGAGGGGCGTGCACCACGAGCGCCTCACCTCAGCCCTCAACCTCCTGCAGCTCCGCGGCACCCTATATCAGACCCCCAGCAGGACAGAGGACCAGGCTGCCATGCTCATCCAACAGGTCTGCTGACCCCTTACACTCAATACAAAGCAGGACTGGGGAGACTTGACCTGACTTAACTTACTGTAAGATGAAACCTGACAGTAGGGTGAAGCAGACATTCATTATAATTTCTGTGAAATATAGCTAGTGATGTTCCTGATAGGCATGTTTGTTGTTGCCCAAGTGTGTGATGAAAAGTCAAACTGTGATGATATGTCAAACTGTGAGATGATCAGTCAATTGGTAACATGCTTTGAGTAGACATCAGAGTTGGCCTGCTGAGAGGAGAGATCATAGTAGGTGAAAACAGCATGGGTGTCAAAGTCTCTCTGTCTGTCTGTCTTTCTCTCTCTGTCGCTCTCGCTCCATCGCTCTCTGTCGCGCGCTCTCTCTCTCTCTCTCTCTCTCTATTTGTTAAAGGCTAAGAATGGGCAGCCACAGGAGGAGGTGAGAAAGAGACGGCCTATGCTGGTCAACGCAGGCCTCACCCTGGCCCCCGACGCTTTCCAGGTGGTGCTCGACGCAGATAGCACGGCAAAAAGTACAAACTCCTTCCCTTGAACTATCTTTTTGAATAGCCATTTCATTTTAGAATGACTTTGATGTAGTGTCTTTCACCAGCCATGTATAGGATTGCCTAATCCTGCTATCCAAAGCTCACGTTTGGTGATAAAGGTACCCTCAAAACTAAGACTGAGTTTGGAGGGCGCTTAGTTGGAGAGAGAGGCTTACTTACTTCACAGCCCAACATCCAAGTACTAGAACCATTTCTTGGAGGATTTGACTGACTCCTTGTTTCGATATGTCTGCATGACAAAATCCCTATAGCTCCGATGCACTGGATCATAGAGCCTATGGAGTCCTGGGGCTAAGGGGCTGGCATGCTTTGATCTCTCCCCTCTCGGGCTTCCAGGTGCCCAGGATCAAGTGAACACTCTGATGCCTAACAACCGAGCCAAGGCCCTGCCTCTGACAGCCAGGCCATGAGACTGGAGCTGACTAGCTGTTTATACAGGCACGGGTCAGGTGTGCAGGTCACGACTACTTTTACCTAGTGATACTTCCTGTGTTACAACAGTAACACCTCAAGCACAAGCTGGCTTTTGAGGCCTAAGACAAAGAAACCCAATGATGAAGCCGTTTGAACATCCAAGCAACCCGAGTGACCCCGGAGATTGGAGAAATATGCTGAGCATGTGCTGAAGATGAACAAATTAATAATATAATGTAGTTTTTGTACCATTCTGTTATTGGCCCCCAGACTGTCATCAGCAATGTGCTGTAGTGAGATATGTCTGGCTGTCTGTGAGCTCCGCAAGCGAGAGTAAGGGTCTAACCTGTTGCAGACACAGTTGTGTGGATCCTTTGTTCAGAGATGTAATATTTTGATTTCTGATTAATCAGCGATTCAGCTTTTTATTTCCCTGATTTTATGCCAATCACAACACTGTTTGTCAGGGCTGGGAAGAGTCTGTGGCAAATTGCAGCCTCCCTGGATTCGTTCTAGTTTCAAAGTGATTGTCCAATATGATGGACTATTTATCACTATTCCAATGCAGTTGGTTTCTTAATGTAAATGTGTATTCAAATGTGTTTAGTCCCCTCAGGCACCAGTGGACCTGGTGTGGCTCATCTCTCTGCTAAGGCTCAGCACCACTCTGCATGTGTTGAGAAGGTACAGGGACACCTGGCCAGACAGAGAGCTGGCAAGAATGACAGGGAGAGGTGTGTATTATGTAAATATGAGTGAATGTGTGTGTGCATACGTGTTTATGAGTGAGTGAGTGAGAGGGTGAGTGAATGAATGAGAGGGTGAGAGAGAATATATCAAGGTTTTCTATGAACATGTGCTCTTGTCTTGATATCTTACAGGCCTTAACACAAATGAGTGCACATGGTGCGTAATCAAAATGTTATGAACATTAACCATTTGGTAGCTAGCGACTTTAAATACGTTTCTATGTCCTAGGACACTGTGAAGCCAAGCTGAACTATGTGGCTTATTCATTTTTAGTGCATAATACTGATACTGAATATCATTAGTAGGAGGTTTTTCAGGGTGAGGATATGGAATGATGTGTAGCAGCACAACCAGCCTTCCACCAGGCTTCACTAATACCCTGTAGAATAAACACATAAAAAAGGCATGGCATCACGGTGGGGGGAGAACATACAACCAGTGCGGTCGAACTAGCCAAAGGAAACATTTATTATTTAGCATTGCCCAAACAAACACTTTTCCAATACAGAATGTTCTCATGGCAGACTCCTACCTATGGGAAAGTATGGAACATTTTATTTGTTATTTTTTTCAGGGTGAAATTGTGGGCAGCCTTGGCAAAGACAGCTAGGAAGCAAGAGGTTTGGGATGTGTGTCGAGCTGCCTGTCGTTTCTGTCTGCTCTACGATGATGGAAGATGGAAAGCTCCTAAATCAGACTGTGAGGAACTTTCACTTTGGCAACAGAAGGGATATATATATATACACTACCGTTCAAAAGTTGCAAAGAAAAAGCCATATCTCAGACTGGCCAATAAAAAGAAAAGATTAAGATGGGCAGTCTGAGATATGGCTTTTTCTATACAACTCTGCCTAGAAGGTCAGCATCCCGGAGTCGCCTCTTCACTGTTGACGTTGAGACTGGTGTTTTACAGGTACTATTTAATGAAGCTGCCAGTTGAGGACCTGTGAGGCGCCTGTTTCTCAAACTAGACACTAATGTATTTGTCCTCTTGCTCAGTTGTGCACCGGGGCCTCCCACTCCTCTTTCTATTCTGGTTAGAGCCAGTTTGCGCTGTTCTGTGAAGGGACTAGTACACAGCATTGTACGAGATCTTCAGTTTCTTGGCAATTTCTTGCATGGAATAGCCTTCATTTCTCAGAACAAGAATAGACTGACGAGTTTCAGAAGAAAGTTATTTGTTTCTGGCCATTTTGAGCCTGTAATCAAACCCACAATTGCTGATGCTCCAAATACTCAACTAGTTTCAAGAAGGCCAGTTTTATTGCTTCTTTAATCAGAACAACAGTTTTCAGCTGTGCTAACATAATTGCAAAAGGGTTTTCTAATGATCAATTAGCCTTTTAAAATGATAAACTTGGATTAGCAAACACAACGTGCCATTGGAACACAGGACTGATGGTTGCTGATAATGGGCCTCTGTACGCCTATGTAGATATTCCATAAAAAATCTGCCGTTTCCACCTACAATAGCCATTTACAACATTAACAATGTCTACACTGTATTTCTGATCAATTTGATGGCAAAAAAATTACTTTTCTTTCGAAAACAAGGACATTTCTAAGTGACCCGAAACTTTTAAACGGTAGGATATATATATATATATATATATATATATATATATATATATATATATATAGCAAGCATAACTAATTGTATCAAGAGGAATTTATTATTAATCCTAGCCCAGGAAACCTAAGTAGTGGGAATCTTTACTCTGGAGGATTGTAGCGTCTGGTACGCTTTGAGGTTACATTTACATTTTTAAAATGTTTTCACAGCCTAATTGATTTCTCAAAGTCAGTCTATCCACAGCGCTCAACTGCTTCATTGAAATCATTATGGGGATATAGAATAAAATCATCTTACATGTTTATTTGGGTGCAAATGAGTTAATTATCAACCAGTGCTATTGATAACTAGCAGGTGGCTCACTGGGTAGTGTCAGCGGTAATGGAGATTAGTGGAGGAGGGAGGAGAGACTGTGTTGTTTACGGAAGCTCTGATGCATAACTGCACACGCTCACTCTGGCTCACTCGATACCCTCTGGTCCCCAGGTGAGCGCAAGGCGGGGGACGAGAGCCCAGTGGAGGGTGGACTCCATGGTGACGGGCGTCCATCGGCAGGGCGACTGGCCCAGAGTGCGGAGAAGGACCTGCTCCGTCTGCTGGCTGAAGTGTGCTTCATCAATGCTGAGGTCAGATGACCACCTTTGACCCTTGACCCCTTTCTCTTAATATGCTTTTTTTCTACAAGCGTCACAGGACTCATCTGAAGTCAGTACCGCCGATCTGCCAACTTCTGTTTGTAGAGTCCGAACGGTTTGGGCTACACATGAACATGTACATGTCGGTTGTTTTGCTCAAGGACACCCACAAGCCTCAAGACTCGTCTGAAGGTAGTCTGGTACCAGTTAAAAAAATTAATGAAAGTAGTTTAGTGCCCAGTTTTCTGGGTAGAATATGGGTCCAAAAAAATATCAATAATTTCCTGATCTTTCTTATATCTCTCAGATATTGGACACACACTTTAAAACAAACTTCCTTTTGATTTATTTTTGACTATCTGTTTTTCTATGTATGAATCTGTTATTCAATGCGTTTCTATAGGCTAATAGCAGTAAGGCCAAATTCAGTGTTTCATCAAATAATGTTAATTCTAAAATCCAAAATCAAATGGCTGCATGATCCTTGGTATGACCATCTTAAAACAATTCCATATGTTAGCTTAGTAGAACCCCCCCTCCCCCTCAGTTCTCCTGACCACACACTATAGTCACTATGACTTTTCTTATAGACAATGATTGAATCTATTGATGCAATTAATGCAAAGTAAAGACAAAATACCAATATTAGCAGTAGAGTGGCGCTGTGGGATTTAATCAGATTGAGCCCAGCGGAACAGAGGGGGTGTACTATGATACGAGATAGAACAGTTAGTGAGCTAACTTTGGTCAGCTGAGTTCAACTCGGGATAACCGGGCACACGAAAGTGACTCACCTTTTATGGCAACGAATCCTTCGGGAAACTAACCTGCTCCGGGGCAGACTAACTCAGGGCTAACTCCACTTATTCTGAATGAAATCAGATTCCCTCTCGCAAAGATGGCGTCATCATCCCCTTCGTTTGAGGAAGACGACTGATTTAAAGGTAGAGTCAGCGATATGATGTATACTGAACAAAAATATAAATGCAACATACAACAATTAAAAATATTTTATTGAGTTACAGTTCATATAAGGAAATCCGTCAATTGAAATAAATTCATTAGGCTCTAATCAATGGATTTCACATGACTGCGAATACAGATATGCATCTGTTGGTCACAGATACCTTTAAAAAAATGGGCCTCACAATGGGCCTCAGGATCTCGTCACAGTATCTCTGTGCATTCAAATTGCCATCGATAAAATGCAATTGTGTTCGTTGTCCTTAGCTTATGCCTGAACATTCAATTCTCTGGCAACAGCTTTGGTGGACATTCCTGCAGTCAGCATGCCAATTGCACTCTCCTTCAAAACTTGAGACATCTGTGGCATTGTGTTGTGTGACAAAACTGCACATTTTAGAGTGGCCTTTTATTGTCCCCAGCACAAGGTGCACCTGTTTTGCTAGCACAGACTGGAATATGTTCCGGGATTCTTCCGATAGCATTGAGGAGTACACCACATCAGTCACTGGCTTCATCAATAAGTGCATTGATGATGTCGTCCCCACAGTGACCGTACATACATACCCCAACCAGAAGCCATGGACTACAGGCAACATCCGCACTGAGCTAAAGGGTAGAGCTGCCACTTTCAAGGAGCGGGACTCTAACCCGGACGGTTATAAGAAATCCCGCTATGCCCTCCGACGAACCATCAAACAGGCAAAGAGTCAATACAGAACTAAGATTGAATCGTACTACACCGGCTCTGACACTCGTCGGATGTGGCATGGCTTGAAAACTATTACAGACTACAAAGGGAAGCACAGCCGCGAGCTCCCCAGTGACACAAGCCTACCAGACGAGCTAAATCACGTCTATGCCCGCTTCGAGGCAAGCAACACTGAAGCATGCATGAGAGCATCAGCTGTTCCGGATGACAATGTGATCACGCTCTCCCTAGCCAATGTAAGTAAGACTTTTAAGCAGGTCAACATTCACAAGGCCGCAGGGCCAGACGGATTACCAGGACGTGTACACCGAACATGCGCTGACCAACTGGCAAGTGTCTTCACTGACATTTTCAACATGTTCCTGACTGAGTCTGTAATACCAAAATGTTTCAAGCAGACCACCATAGTCCCTGTGCCCAAGAACACTAAGATAACCTGCCTAAATGACTACCGACCCGTAGCACTCACGTCTGTAGCCATGAAGTGCTTTGAAAGGCTGTTCAACACCATTATCCCAGAAACCCTAGACCCACTCCAATTTGCATACCACCCCAACAGATCCACAGATTATGCAATCTCTATTGCACTCCACATGAGAATGCTATTAATTGACTACAGCTCAGCGTTCAACACCATAGTGCCCTCAAAGCTCATCACTAAGCTAAGGACCCTGGGACTAAACACCTCCCTCTGCAACTGGATCCTGGACTTCCTGACGGGCCGCCCCCAGGTGGTAAGGGTAGGTAACAACACATCTGCCACGCTGATCCTCAACACGGAGGCCCCTCAGGGGTGCATGCTCAGTCCCCTCCTGAACTCCCTGTTCACCCATGACTGCATGGCCAGGCACGACTCCAACACCATCATTAAGTTTGCTGACGACACAACAGTGGTAGGCCTGATCACCGACAACGATGAGACAGCCTATAGGGAGGAGGTCAGAGACCTGGCCCTATTTGCATTGCCCCCCCACCCCACCCCACCCCAACCCCCTCTTTTACGCTGCTGCTACTCTCTTTATTATTTATGCATAGTCACTTTAACTCTACCCACATGTACATATTACCTCAATGACCTCAACTAACCGATGCCCCCGCACAGTGACTCTGTACTGGTACCCCCTGTATATAGCCTCCCTACTGTTATTATATTTTACTGATGCTCTTTTATTTTTACTTATCTATTTTTTACTTAACACTTTTTTATTTTATTTTATTAAAAACTGCATTGTTGGTTAAGTGCTTGTAAGTAAGCATTTCACTGTAAGGTCTACACCTGTTGTATTCGGCGCATGTGGCAAATACAATTTGATTTGATTTGTGTAATGATTAGGGCTGTCCCTGACAAAATCTTGGTCGAGCGAGAGTCGTCTGTTCTTTAGACCAATTGATTGGTCAAAATGTTACGTGTATTTTTCCATATATAGACACGTGTTTTAATTAAATCAACTACAGTGCATTTGGAAAGTATTCAGACCCCTTGAATTTTTCCACATTTTGTTACGTTACAGCCTTATTCTAAAATTGATTAAATACATTTGTTTCCTCATCAATCTACACACAATCCAGTTTCCATTGATCATCCTTGAGGTGTTTATACAACTTGATTGGAGTCCACCTGTGGTAAATTCAATTGATTGGACATGATTTGGAAAGGCACACACCTGTCTATATAAGGTCCCTCAGTTGACAGTGCATGTCACAGCAAAGTGGATAGCACAGATCTGGGGAAGGGTACCAAAAGGTCCCCAAGAACACAGTAGCCTCCATCATTCTTAAATTAAAGAAGTTTGGAACCACTAAGACTCTTCCTAGAGGTGGCCGCCCTGCCAAACTGAGCAATCGGGGGAGAAGAGCCTTAACCTGATGGTCACTCTGAAAGAGTTCCAGAGTTCCTCTGTGGAGATGGGAGAACCTTCCATAAGGACAACCATCTCTGCAGCACTCCACCAATCAGGCCTTTATGGTAGAGTGGCCAGACAGAAGCCACTCCTCAGTAAAAGGCACATGACAGCCCACTTGGAGTTTGCCAAAAGGCACCTAAAGACTCTCAGACCATGAGAAACAAGATTCTCTGGTCTGATGAAACCAAGATTGAACTCTTTGGCCTGAATGCCAAGCGTCACGTCTGGAGGAAACCTGGCACCATCCCTATGGTGAAGCATGGTGGTGGCAGCATCATGCTTTGGGGATGTTTTTCAGCGGCAGAGACTGTGAGACTAGTCAGGATCGAGGGAAAGATGAACAGAGCAAAGTACAGAGAGATCCTTGGTGAAAACCTGCTCCAGAGCGCTCAGGACCTTAGGCTGGGGCGAAGGTTCACCTTCCAACAGGACAACAATCCTAAGCACACAGCCAAGACAACGCAGGAGTGGCTTCGGGACAAGTCTCTGAATGTCCTTGAGTGACCCAGCCAGAGTCCGGATTTGAACCCCGATCGAACATCTCTGGAGAGACCTGAACATAGCTGTGCTGCGACGCTCCCCCTCCAACCTGACAGAGCTTGAGAGGATCTGCAGAGAAGAATGGGAGTAAAGTAAAGGGTCGGAATACTTATGTAAATGTAATATTTCCGATTTGCAAAAATGTCTAACAACCTGTTTTTGATTTGTCATTATGGGGTATTGGGTGTAGATTGATGAGGGGAAAAAAACAATTTAATCAATTTTAGAATAAGGCTGTAACGTAACAAAATGTGGAAAAAGTCAAGGGGTCTGAATACTTTCTGAATGCACTGTATGTGCACTGAGCTTGTCTGATGCTTTAAGTGGACTGTTTGATGAAATAATTAAGACACACAAATGACTAAAGGGATTGTGCCGCCTTGTTCAAACTTGCTGTGCTAAAAAAACTAAAACAAAAAACAGCGAGTGACTGTGTGACTAGCACCCGTTGTCTCTCTCCTCCCTGCTGCAGCGACCACCACAGAACATCAGTGTGTATAGCGCTGTCCGTGTTGCTGAAGCTGCAACATAATTACATCAATTTCTGACTGAAAAGTTGTGTTACCGAAATCCCTAATTTGTTTAGGAAACACATTAAATATTCCCTCAACCCTTGCTCTCTTTACGTGACACATGTATGCTTCGCAATGCACGTGACTAATAGAGCCTGACCTATAGCATAATCATGATCACATCAATAAATTGGTTATAACAAACTCTGAACAACGTAACACCTGACAGCAAAATGGATGCAGAGGACGTGACAAATAAACTCGAAATGGGGGAATGTTTACTGGTTGCGCAGGAGGTAAAGGGGAAGTCAGATGTGTGGAATAAATTTGACTAGTTGTGGAAAATAAGGAATGGAGCAAGCGCTGTGTGCATATTAGGCCTATGTGTGCCAAACAGGTGCTGTTAGATTACAATATACTTTTTCTTACCGTTTGGAACAGTGTAAAAAACACAAAATAAATTATAAGCATACCATAGAGTCTGTTGTAATGTTTTTTAGTTTTTTTGTAAAGCCTTTATTACAGCATAGACTGAAAACAGTTGCATTCATTTGTGAATGCAATTTCAGAAATGGAACGGTTTAGGCCTATTTATTGTTTACGCTAATTATTCAATGGTCGCTTTATTTTATTTTAAAACTAAAATGCTTGATTGCATTTCACATCATGAATGACTCGTATGCTGTGTGATGACATGAACGAATGATTGATTGATTGACACAGTAGCCTATATAAGGATTGAAATATAGGCCTGAGTAAGTTATGGTATTAAGACTAAACAGGATGTGCTCTTAGGCCTACAGCTCGATGGTGGTTATACAAGGCTGCTATGCTAAGCCTACTAATGATAATTACATTACTTATTATTATAATGATGATCATAATAATAATAGTAATAATAACAATAAGAAGGAGATCAAAGAAAAAGGAGGGTTATTATTATTATTATTATTATTATTATTATAAATATAATTTTTCTGACAATTATAAATCAAACCAGAGAGGCTGGTCTAACAAAAACAAGTGTAAAGCCTTTATTACAGCATAGCAAAGATTAAAAACAGCCAGATTAGTGAAATTGTTGCGTGAGGCTTGGTGCTCATGGAATCAGTAGGCTATCAACCAAACACTCAAACAGACAACAGAAGCAGGATCTGTCTTATTTCTGTAAATATGTATGGATGATTTATAAAGCCAGGCACATTTAACAGTTAGGCTATTGATTATAGACCTAGTTAAGTTAGGGTTTCCTCTCTCCTCACTTTTCTTAGACAATTAAGGCAAGGGATGTTTCCTCATCTCCTAACTCGGCTGCTGCTTCCGCCGCATTGTTCTCAACACTAACATGGTCTGGGAAAAGGCGCCAATTCAACAGCGCAATGATGTGTTTCAGAACCGCAGACAGCGACCACTATCTAACGCGGGAGAAAGCGCATTTGTTATAAAATAATATAATTTGTATTTGTGTTGCATGTCTTAGACTGATGGACTGTGCCATCCCAACGGCCTCCACAATGGATCAGTCCACTCAGACAGGCCCAAATCAGACAGGTGTCTTGTACACCATTATTATTTTTTTATTTTTTGCGCTACTGCTTGACCGACAGCCTATCGACCAAACAATTGACCAGTCGTCTCTAAATGGGGTCAGCCCTAGTAATGATCGTGCTGTTTGATCAGTTTCTTGATATGCCACACCTGTCAGGTGGATGGATTATCTTGGCAAAGGAGAAATGCTAACAGGGATGTAATCAAATTTGTACACAATTTGAGAGAAATAAGCTTTTCGTGCGTATGGAAAATTTCTGGGATCTTTTATTTCAGCTTATGAAACATGGGACCAACACTTTACATGTTGCGTTTATATTTTTTGGTCAGTGTAGATGCAGAAAGTAAACAGCATTGTGGGTCATTTTCCGCAACATGAAGAGCTCGCCGTTTGACTCACTGGGCTTATCCGTGTGCGACATGTAAGCGCAGTTACAAGCCTGGCTGGAGTTAACGGCAGGTGGAGGATCAATATCCACCTTCATAACATGGATGAAGCCTGAGCTGAAATGTGAAGCTAACTGAAGCTGGCTAGCTTTATAAAATCCTGAGTAGATTTAGCTTGTATCGTAGTATACCCCTCTCAGGGTTCTCTCCAGGATGTTTTAACAAGAAGAAGGGCAGTGCCCACCTTAGGATTCTGAGATTTTTATGTTTTTGAACACCTGTAACTGACATTTCCTGCAAGGGTGTGATGCCTGACCTTAAATAAATAAAGTAAAAAAAATAACAAAATAATTTTTTATTACATACAGCCAGTCCACAAGGTGGGGCAGCGCCACTCTTACATTCTTTGAGGAGAACCCTGCCTCTGGTGTTGATTTCTTCTGTCTTGTTCACTCTTCTTGATACCTTGATGCAACATTGTTCTGCTCATCAGACTGTGTGATTCAACAGACCCATCGGACCTCTGGCGCCAAGCTTTTAATAAATATTCAGAGATACAGTGCATTCGGAAAGTATTCAGATCCCTTGACGTTTTCCACAGTTTGTTACGTTACAGCCTTATTCTAAAATGTATTACATTGTTTTTTCCCTCATCAATCTACACACAATATCCGATAATGACAAAGCGAAAACAGATTTTTAGCATTTTCTGCAAATGTATTACAAATAAAAAAATTAAATATCACATTTACATAAGTATTCAGACCCTTTACTCAGTACTTTGTTGAAGCACCTACAGCCTTAAGCAATTACAGCCTTAAGTCTTTGTGGGTTTGACGCTACAAGCTTGGCACACCTGTATTTGGGGAGTTTCTCCTATTCTTCTTTGCAGATCCTCTCAAGCTCTGTCAGGTTGGATGGGGAGCATCTCTGCACAGCTATTTTCAGGTCTCTCCAGAGATGTTCGATCAGGTTCAAGTCTGGGCTCTGGCTGGGCCACTCAAGGACATTCAGAGACTTATCCCGGGTCATTGTCCTGTTGGAAGGTGAACCTTTGCCCCAGTCTGAGGTCCTGAGCGCTCTGGAGCAGGTTTTCATCAAGGATCTCTCTGTACTTCGCTCCGTTCATCTTTCCCTCAATCCTGACTAGTCACCCAGTCCCTGCCACTGAAAAACAACCTCACAGCGTGATGCTGCCACCACCATGCTTCACCGTAGGGATGGTGTCAGGTTTCCTCCAGACGTGACGCTTGGCATTCAGGCCAAAGAGTTCAATCTTGGTTTCATCAGACCAGAGAATCTTGTTTCTCATGGTCTACTGACGAGTGGCTTCTGTCTGGCCACTCAACCATAAAGGACTGATTGGTGGAGTGTTGCAGAGATGGTTGTCCTTATGGAAGGTTCTCCCATCTCCACAGACGAACTCTGGAGCTCTGCCAGAGTGACCATCGTGTTCTTGCTCACCTCCCTGACCAAGGCCCTTCTCCCCTGATTGCTCAGTTTAGTTGGGCGGTCAGCTCTAGGAAGAGTCTTGTTGGTTCCAAACTTCTTCTATTTTATAATGATGGAGGCCACTGTGTTCTTGGGGACCTTCAATGCTGCAGAAATGTTTTGGTACCCTTCCCCAGATCTGTGCCTCGACACAATCCTGTCTCAGAGCTCTACGGACAATTCCTTCGACCTCATGGCTTCGTTTTTGCTCTGACATGCACTGTCAACTGTGGGACCTTATGTAGACTGGTGTGCCTTTCCAAATCATGTCCTATCAATTGAATTTACCACAGGTGGACTCCAATCAAGTTGTACTAACATCTCAAGGATGATCAATGGAAACAGGATGCATCTGAGCTCAATTTTGAGTCTCATAGCAAATGGTCTATTTTTTATTTTGAATAAACTTGCCAATATTTCAAAACACCTGTTTTCGTTTTGTCATTATGGGGTATTTTGTATAGATTGATGAGGGAAAAAAATATTAAATACATTTGAGAATAAGGCTGTAACATAACAAAATTTGGAAAAAGTCAAGGGGTCTCAATACTTTCCGAATGCACTGTATTAACTTGACAACGCTGGCTTCGAAGAACAGACAGACATAACAATCTAGAAATAAAGCGATGACCTTGTCGAATTCTGAATTGGATCATCTGCGGCCCCTCTTTTTATAATATCCATCTCTTTGTTCTAAGATAATAGGTTCCCTTTGTTCTTAGAGAGGTTGACTCTTCAAAAAGTGCCCCATGTGATGATACACAAAACTTTTAAAGACTTTCATCTCAGTTGTCAGACAGCTACAGGAGTTAAAATCATTGTTTCTCTGAGCTCACCAGTTATATTGGCTGCCTTTGATGACTATGGCTGTGTGGGGAGGGCAAGTCATCATCAATATAATTTGAGGTTGTACCTTACAGGCCACCATACACAAGCTCCGCTCTGAGGGGGTACAGCTCAACACCCCAGCCGTCCCTCCTGAGGAGAGAGGACTCCGCCTCCCTGAGGACAATCCACAGTGGGCTGTCTACAGGTGAGGACACATGCACACACACTCACGTTTGTTTTCTTCTTTCCTCGTGGGGACCTAAAATGTATTTCCATTCAAAATCCTATTTTCCCTTACCCTATGCCTAACCTTAATCTATAACCCAAACCCTAAACCTAATTCCTAAACCTAACCACTAACCTCTTACCTTAACCCTAATTCTAACCATAACCCTAATTGTAACCCTAAACCGAACCCCTAAGCTTAAAATAGCCTTTGTCCTCATGAGGACGTGGGACATTTTCCTTGTTTTCCTATCCTCGTGGGGACTTTTGGGGATTTTAGGTCCCCACAAGGCTGGAAGAATCAACACACACACACACACAAACAAAACATGAAGATAAACGGACAAAGCAAGCCAAGTGTGTAAATGTGTATGTAGTCACAGAGCTTGGTTCACCAGTTTGTTATATGTAATAAGTAGTGTGTTATACAGTATATTAAATATAAAGTGTGGCTTCCTTTGTTTTCTCATATATTATGCATTGCAGACAACATAACTATTGTTCCCCTCCTTTCCACTCCCAGAGATTGGATCCAGGACTTATCTGCCTACGCCACCTCCAACTTCCTGCGGGCAGCCGAGCTGGGAGCAGAGATTCGTGAGGCCTGGGTGGTGGTCAACGCTGCCGTGTACTTATGGAACTACAACAGCCACCTGCTGGCAGCTGGGGAGCAGCGGCGCCTCCTGCCCACCTTTCAGAGAGCCGTGGAGCTGCTGAGACAGACCGGACACGCTGGGTAGGTCTAAGAGGAACATCTCACTGACACTTAAACACTACTAATTGTAACATTTGCTTGTTGCTGACACACACTTACTGCTCATCAGCCTTTTAATGACATAGTACATATAAGCACAATTACATTACATGAAAAGTAGTCCATTAAAACCACAATAGGGCAATGCAGGTGCTGTAAGGGCTTTGCTATTTACATAAACCTCTCTCAGTTAAGATGTTGTAGCTGATGTCAGTTTGTATGTACAGAGTATGACGCTCTTCTGTGCTTCCAGGGAGCCGGTGCTGTTGGTTATGCTGTGTGATGCGGTGGCCCAGGGGCTGATCCAGCCCTGGTTTGTGTCGGCTGCTGGGCTGGGAACTGGCCAGGGAAGGGAGGACAGCGGAGGCAAGGGGGAGTTGAGGAAGAAAGGAGCTGGGAAGGGAGCCGAGAGGACAGGCAGCATCCACAGCCTCACCCTGGACCACGCGGCCCTCCAGGACATGCGGAAGGCTCTGGAGGTGTGTGTGTGTGTGGGTCAAGTAGTGAGCTAGACAGGAGATGGGGCCATGGGAGATTTAAATGGTGACTTGCTAATTAGGATTGGCAGAGAGTCAGGTTCTATTATCCTTCAATGTGCTGTCAAGGGTACTCCCTCCCCTGAAGAGGTCTTAATTTGGGCTCTGCAAAAACAAACACTCTCTCCCACTCTGAGCTTATTGGGATAGGCAGATGGCAGAGGTGGACATGCAGAAAGACCTGAACTGTGTTACTGCAGGGTAGTTTGAGGGATCAGAGAGCTGTGCCTGTGTATTCGTCAAGGGCAGCCTCTGGTCTTCAGGTTTCCCAAGTCTCTCTGAATAAGTTATCTCTAAATAAGTTCCTTGAGGGCTGTTGAAAATCTTTCTGGCTTACATCTTACTATCTCCAGTACCTCCTAGATGTGCTGTTGTACATAAAAAGCAAACAAAATTGAAAAAGGGGGCACAAAGAATGAAAGAATCAAGGCACTTTGAAACATGCTGCTTTTCAGAAATACTCTAAATACAACTAGGGCTCTGTTTTAACAAATAACTATTTCTAACCTAGCGCTATGGTAAATCTTAGCGTAGCCGCTGTTGAGTTGTGGGTGTTAGAAATATTTCTGCTATTTTCACAGCGGGAATCATGGGCGCACTAGCTGGCGGTGGCGAGGAAAGACTGGGTTTTGATGAATAAATAAGTTGTAGGTGTGGGGAGGGCTTGACCACTCACTGGCTAATAAACGTTCTCCATGGCTTAATGCTGCAATTAGGCTATTGACAGTCTGCGTTATCATCAACTCCAATTCGTCTGGAGGGCATGGAATATTCTCGCCCTAGTCCATTGTGGATTGATACCGTTTATTAAATAGCATAAAGTAACGAATAATAGCAGTAACAGTAAAATACATTGTTTCGCATGTTTGCAATTCACATTGTTCTATTCGGCTTCAACATGTAAGCCTAAATGTCTTTACGCATCACATTCGCACTTCTCCAGAAATAAAAAAATATTAGGCTCCGATTAATTGTGAATTAAGCAAAAGCATGAGGACTAAAACCTCAAATATTTCAAGGCACTCTCATGAGTAGACCATTTAAAAACCTTTCATTGATAGGCTACTTGGCTAATGTATGGCCAGGATTTTTTTTAAAGACGCACAGATACATTGCTGTAGAACCAGACTTCATTATAGTAGGGTTAGCCTACTGCGGGTTTTGTTTTTAATCAAATAAAACCGAAAACAAGCAATTGAACAGGAAAATAACTTAAATATTTCTAAATATGAGGGTCACAGGCATCATCGCATCGCTCGTTCCATGATGGGCATGTGGACACAAAAAATAAAAATAAGCACGCAAGCTGATGTTAGACAGGTAAATTACAAGCCTAAATTGCCAACTACCGTGCATTTGACAATAGCGCCGCCTTAGGGGCAGCCAAAAATAGAGCCCCTAGTCTGTGTGAACCCCAAGTGACTCATTCTGACATTCACCCATTTTCACCCATTCACCCTGCTTTGTTTTTTAAACGTTTTAACTATTTCATGTGAATTAAGTCTTTATTTTCTGCTGCATTTGTTCCCAATTAAATCCCATTTCCTCCATCTATTCTGCTATTCTCCAAATGGTCTGCTATGTCATCAGCACATACTCTGGATAAAAGTAACTTTATTAGTGAATTATTAACTAAGTGTTCTCTTTCAGAACAGAAGATAAAAATGGTTCTCCATTTTCAACATATAGGCGTATACAGTGCATTCGGAAAGTATTCAGACCTCATGACTTTTTCCACATTTTGTTATGCTACGGCCTTATTCTAAAATTGATTAAATAAAAAAAAATCATCATCAATCTACACACAATAGCCCATAATGACAAAGCGAAAACATTATTTTTTTGTGTGCAAATTTATAAAAAAACTAAAACAGAAATACCTTATTTACATAAGTATTGAGACCCTTTGCTATGAGACTCGAAATTGAGCTCAGGTGCATCCTGTTTCCATTGATCATCCTTGAAATGTTTCTACAACTTGATTGGAGTCCACCTGTGGTAAATTCAATTGATTGGACATGACACCTGTTTATATAAGGTCCCACAGTGCATTTCAGAGCAAAACCCAAGCCATGAGGTCAAAGGAATTGTCCGTAGAGCTCCGAGACAGGATTGTGTCGAGGCACAGATCTGGTAAAGGGTACCAAAAAATGTCTGCAGCATTGAAGGTCCCCAAGAACACAGTGGCCTCCATCATTCTTAAATGGAAGAAGTTTGGAACCACCAAGACTCTTCCTAGAACTAGCCAACCCAGCCAAACTGAGCAATCGGGGGAGAAGGAAGGGCCTTGGTCAGGGAGGTGACCAAGAACCCGATGGTCACTCTGACAGAGCTCCAGAGATCATCTATGGAGATGGGAGAACCTTCTAGAAGGACAACCATCTCTGCAGCACTCCACCAATCATGCCTTTATGGTAGAGTTGCCAGACGGAAGCCACTCGTCAGTAAAAGGCACATGACAGCCCGCTTGGAGTTTGCCAAAAGGCACTTAAACAAGAAACAAGATTCTCTGGTCTGATGAAACCAAGATTGAACTCTTTGGCCTGAATGCCAAGCATCATGTATGGAGGAAACCTGGCACCATCCCTAAGGTGAAGCATGGTGGTGGCAGCATCATGCTGTGGGGATGTTTATCAGCTGCAGGGACTGGGAGACTAGTCAGGATCGAGGCAAAGATGAATGGAGCAATGTACAGAGAGATCCTTGATGAAAACCTGCTCCAGAGCGCTCAGGACCTCAGACTGGGGTGAAGGTCTGAGGTCCTTAGGTTCGTTGTCCAACAACGACCCTAAGCACACAGCCAAGACAACGCAGGAGTGGCTTTGGGATAAGTCTCTGAATGTCCTTGAGTGTCCCAGCCAGAGCCCAGACTTGAACCCGATCGAACATCTCTGGAGAGACCTGAAAATAGCAGTGCAGCGACGCTCCCCATCCAACCTGACAGAGCTTGAGAGGATCTGCAGAGAAGAATGGGAGAAACTCCCTAAATACAGGTGTGCCAAGCTTGTAGCGTCATACCCAAGAAGACTCGAGGCTGTAATCGCTGCCAAAGGTGCTTCAACAAAGTATTGAGTAAAGGGTCTGAATACTTATGTAAATTAGATATTTCAGTTTTTTGCTTTTAGATGAATCTGTTTTTGCTTTTTCATTATGGGGTATTGTGTGTAGATTGATGAGGATAAAAAACAATTTAATCAATTTTAGAATAAGGCTGTAACATAACAAAATGTGGAAAAAGTCAAGGGGTCTTAATACTTTACGAACGCGCTGTATATCAGATAAATCTTAGATAGCTAACTTAAACAAACTCAGATTACGCAATGGATTTTCTCTAGATACTGTCATATGTGAAACTGAAAGCCCTGGCTATGGAGTCCCAAGGTTGTGGGTGTATGTTGATTCGAAAAGTGTCTTGTGCAGATTCACATGGTTTGGTTGGTTACTTTGCTAATTGCTATTGTTATGCAAACAATTTAAACCTTTTGCTTATCAGGCAGCCTAGCGGTTAAGAGTGTTGGGCCAGTAACCGAAAGGTCGCTAGTTCGAATCCCCGAGCCGACTAAGTGAAAAATCTGTCTGTGTCCTTCAGCAAGGCACTTAACCCTAATTGCTCCTGTCAGTCACTCTGGATAAGAGTGTCTGCTAAATGACTAAAATGTAAATGTAACCCTTATGCTGCTATGGTTACTATGCTAACTTTTATTTCCCCCACTTTATGGACTTTTAGCTGTGTGACTATGCACTGCACCTGTCTAATGGCAATGTGCCGGGAGAGAGCGTCCCTATCGCAGCGAGGAAACAGGTCATTTCTACGTGGGTGTGGACCAAGAGGCTCCTCCAGCAGCAGATTGGACAGAAGCTAGACATTGACGATGAGGTACAGTAACATAACGTTCCAGGTCTCCCTTTGGAAATAGGTTTTCTGTCCTCAATGGGACTTCCTGGTTAAATAAATGTTAGATAAAATCAAATAAAAACATGCTCACTCAGTCAAGTTAGTCACTATGATAAGCTGTTTATGAATCTGCCTGGCTGTCGGCCCACCACCTCAAGCTCAACCTCGTCAAGACGGAGCTGCTGTTCCTCTTGTGGAAGGCCTGCCCGTTCCAAGACCTCTCCATCACAGTTGACAACTCCACGGTGTCTCCCTCCCAGAGTGCAAATAACCTTGGCTTGACCCTGGACAACCCTGTCGTTCTCCACAAACATCAAAGCATTGACTCCCTCCTGCAGGTTCATGCTCTACAATATCCAGAGTACAACCCTACCTCGCACAGGAAGCGCCACATGTCCTAATCCAGGCACTCGTCATCTCCCTTCTGGACTACTGCAACTCTCTGTTGGCTGGGCTCCCCGCTTGTGCCATCAAATCCCTGCAACGCCACAGCCCGCCTGGTGTTCAACCTTCCCAAGTTCTCCCATCTCACCCCGCTTCTCCGCACACTCCACTGGCTTCCAGTCGAAGCTCGCATCCGCTTCAAGACCCTGGTGCTTGCCTACGGAGCAGCAAGGGAAACTGCCCTTCCCTACCTTCAGGCTATGCTCAAACCCTACACCCCAACCCGACACTTAACCCGACACTTACAGCGCCGGAAGAAGATGGCTGCCGTTTTACAGCCCTCTAACCAATTGTACTATTATGTGTGTTTTTCCGCGTTATTTGTAATTTATTTTGTACATAATGTTTCTGCCATCGTCTCTTATAACCAAAGAGAGCTTCTGGATATCAGGACAGCGATTACTCACCTCGCATTGGACGAAGACTTTTTCTTCAACGAGGCGTTCGCGAAGGATATTCTACAGACACCCAACAAGGCCCAGATCCCCGTCATTCGCGTGAGGAAGAGACGGAGATATCGTGGACGCAGATCCGGGTGCCTTGTAAGGATCCGACGGCGTGCGAGTAAACTGCCTCTCCCATCAATCCTATTAGCCAACGTTCAATCTTTTGAGAATAAAATTGACGATTTAAGATTACGGTTATCCTACCAACGGGACATTAAAAACTGTAATATCTTATGTTTCACGGAGTCGTGGCTGAACGACAACAATGACAACATTCAGCTAGCAGGCTATACGCTACATCGGCAGGACAGAACGTCTGACTCTGGTAAGACAAGGGGCGGCGGTCTGTGTATATTTGTAAACAACAGCTGGTGCACAAAATCAAATACTAAGGAAGTCTCGAGGTTTTGCTCGCCTGAGGTAGAGTATCTTATGATAAGCTGTAGACCACACTATTTACCAAGAGAGTTTTCATCTATATTTTTAATAGCTGTCAATTTACCACCACAAACCAATGCTGGCATTAAGATTGCACTGAATGAGTTGTACAAGGCCATTAATCAACAGGAAAACGCTCATCCAGATGCAGCGCTCCTAGTAGCCGGGGACTTTAATGCAGGGAAACTTAAATCCGTTCTACCTAATTTCTACCAGCATGTTAAATGTGCAACCAGAGGGGAAAAAACTCTAGACCACCTTTACTCCACACACAGAGACGCATACAAAGCTCTCCCTCGCCCTCCATTTGGCAAATCTGACCATAACTCTATCCTCCTGATTCCTGCTTATAAGCAAAAACTGAAGCAGGAAGCACCAGTGATTCGGTTAATAAAAAAGTGGTCAGATGACGCAGATGCTAAGCTACAGGACTGTTTTGCTAGCACAGACTGGAACATGTTCCGGGATTCTTCAGACAGCATTGAGGAGTACACCACATCAGTCACTGGCTTCATCAATAAGTGCATCGATGATGTCGTCCCCACAGTGACCGTACGTACATACCCCAACCAGAAGCCATGGATTACAGGAAACATCCGCACTGAGCTAAAGGGTAGAGCTGGCGCTTTCAAGGAACGGGACTCTAACCCGGACGCTTATAAGAAATCCCGCTATGACCTCCGACGAACCATCAAACAGGCAAAGAGTCAATACAGGTCTAAGATTGAATCATACTACACTGGCTCTGACGCTCGTCGGATGTGGCAGGGCTTGAAAACTATTACAGACTACAAAGGGAAGCACAGCCGCGAGCTGCCCAGTGACACAAGCCTACCAGACGAGCTAAACCACTTCTATGCTCGCTTCGAGGCAAGCAACACTGAAGCATGCATGAGAGCACCAGCTGCTCCGGACGACTATGTGATCACGCTCTCCGTAGTCGATGTGAGTAAGACTTTTAAGCAGGTCAACATTCACAAGGCCGCAGGGCCAGACGGATTACCAGGACGTGTACTCCGAGCATGTGCTGACCAACTGGCAAGTGTCTTCACTGACATTTTCAACATGTCCCTGACTGAGTCTGTAATACCAACATGTTTCAAGCAGACCACCATAGTCCCCGTGCCCAAGAACTCTAAGATAACCTGCCTAAATGACTACCGACCCGTAGCACTGACGTCTGTAGCCATGAAGTGCTTTGAAAGACTGGTCATGGCTCACATCAACAGCATAATCCCAGAAACCCTAGACCCACTCCAATTTGCATACCGCCCCAACAGATCCACAGATGATGCAATCTCTATCGCACTCCACACTGCCCTTTCCCACCTGGACAAGAGGAACACCTACGTGAGAATGCTATTCATTGACTACAGCTCAGCATTCAACACCATAGTGCCCTCTAAGCTCATCACTAAGCTAAGGATCCTGGGACTAAACACCTCCCTCTGCAACTGGATCCTGGACTTCCTGACGGGCCGCCCCCAGGTGGTAAGGGTAGGTAACAACACATCTGCCACACTGATCCTCAACACGGGGGCCCCTCAGGGGTGCGTGCTCAGTCCCCTCCTGTACTCTCTGTTCACCCATGACTGCATGGCCAGGCACGACTCCAACACCATCATTAAGTTTGCCGACGACACAACAGTGGTAGGCCTGATCACCGACAACGATGAGACAGCCTATAGGGAGGAGGTCAGAGATCTGGCCGTGTGGTGCCAGGACAACAACCTCTCCCTCAACGTGACCAAGACAAAGGAGATGATTGTGGACTACAGGAAAAAAAAGAGGACTGAGCACGCCCCCATTCTCATCGACGGGGCTGTAGTGGAACAGGTTGAGAGCTTCAAGTTCCTTGGTGTCCACATCACCAACGAACTATCATGGTCCAAACACACCAAGACAGTTGTGAAGAGGGCACGACAAAGCCTATTCCCCCTCAGGAGACTAAAAAGATTTGGCATGGGTCCTCAGATCCTCAAAAAATTCTACAGCTGCACCATCGAGAGCATCCTGACTGGTTGCATCACCGCCTGGTATGGCAACTGCTTGGCCTCTGACCGCAAGGCACTACAGAGGGTAGTGCGTACGGCCCAGTACATCACTGGGGCAAAGCTCCCTGCCATCCAGGACCTCTATACCAGGCGGTGTCAGAGGAAGGCCCTCAAAATTGTCAAAGACTCCAGCCACCCTAGTCATAGACTGTTCTCTCTGCTACCGCACGGCAAGCGGTACCGGAGTGCCAAGTCTAGGTCCAAAAGACTTCTCAACAGCTTCTACCCCCAAGCCATAAGACTCCTGAACAGCTAATCATGGCTACCCGGAATATTTGCACTGCCCCCCCACCCCATCCTTTTTACGCTGTTGCTACTCTGTTAAGTATTTATGCATAGTCACTTTAACTCTACCCACATGTACATATTACCTCAACTACCTCAACTAGCCGGTGCCCCCGCACATTGACTATGCAACGGTACCCCCCTGTATATATAGCCTCCCTACTGTCACTTTATTTTACTGTATATATAGCCTCCCTACTGTCACTTTATTTTACTTCTGCTCTTTTTTTCTCAACACTTTTTTGTTGTTGTTTTATTCTTACTTTTTTTGTTTAAAATAAATGCACTGTTGGTTAAGGGCTGTAAGTAAGCATTTCACTGTAATGTCTGCACCTGTTGTATTCGGCGCATGTGACCAATAAAATTTGATTTGATTTGAAGCACTCAGTTCTGCCACCTCTGGTCTCTTGGCCCTCCCACCCCTACGGGAGGCCAGCTCCCGCTCAGCCCAGTCAAAGCTTTTCTCTGTCCTGGCACCCCAATGGTGGAACTAGCTTCCTCCTGACTCTCATCCCCTTCACTCAAAACTCAGTCATAGCAGCAGCCGGACAAGGGGAAAGAGACTTCTTCAAATATGGGGACTCTTTTATTCCAACAGCCATTAAGCTGTATAATAGATAGTTTTTTGGTCCCTATAGTATATAGCAAATTGCACTTTCACTTTAAATGTGTAGCTATAGCACTTTTAATTTATTCTATAGTGTAGGTTCTGTGTTTTCATGTTTTATGTACCGTCTTTTTAAGCACATGACCAAATGAATTTCCCCTGGTGGATCTGAAGGACAGCAGAGTACCTGCCCATCTTTTGAAAACATCTGAATTCCCCCACACACAAAACACAACTAACTAACACCCTTGCCTTTCTTAAACTAAAACTTGCACTTGACTTTTTCCTGCTAGCACTGGCTTTGCTGATAGCTACTTTGAGGAAAATGTTTCTTACTATAACTGAGATGTGGTTGTCTCACCTAGCTATCTTAAGATGAATGCACTAACTGTAGGTCACTCTGGATAAGAGCATCTGCTAAATGACTAAAATGTACAATTACAAAATGTCGTTATTCCCCCAAACTCTGTGTCAGTGCAATGTTAATGTGAGAAGAAATATGATTCATCACCCAACCGTCTATATACAGTAAAAATCATTGTTTTAACTCAGTAACAGTGTCACAACGGGATAGTGAATCATTTATTCATTTCAAATGTCAGTCTCATTGATATACTGTACATGTATGATTGTGCCTGTCAGAGATAGCATTGTTAATAAATGTATATGGTTTTGACTGGTAAGCCACGGTACCATTGTGATGAAATATTCAGTTGTATCTCTGTTTGTCTTTCCAGTGTAAGAATGAGGCAGTGTCAGCCATGACACGTGTGCTGGTTGGAGTGGAAATGCTGCTATGCAACAGTCACCCCAGGCATATAGAGTTCTCTGTCCCTAGTCTCTCTACGGTAGGTCCTGCTTTCTTGGCCAGGTGGAGACAGATGCCTTTAGAGCAGAGTGTCTCTCAAGTGTGTTTGTTCTTACTTATTTTTTGGCCAGGCGACAACAGGGGCCTTGAGACCGTACTGGTAATCAGAGCATTTGTCCATGTCTATGTCTGTGAGTTTGGTCAAAAATGCTTCCTCAAATTAACATCTTATTTGATTTGTTTGTTTAAATTTCCTAGCCCTGTAGGACTGTATGCATTTCAGTCCTGCATTCTTGCATCATTAAACCCCAGTTCTAGGGATCCAGAGGACAGAGCACTCATTGCCTCTTTCTCCCTCATCTCCCTCCCCTTCTCCTCCTTCCCTACTATTTTCCTCTCCTTTCTCCTCCCCTCTCCTCTCCTCTCTCCATCCTCTCCTCTAGCTGGTCCGCATGGCATCAGACTGCAAGTGGAGTGACCCTGTGGTCGAGCTGCAGGTGTGGACACACCTGGCTTGCTTCTCTCACCAGGCCCAAGACCACAACCTGGTCATGACCTGCAGCCACAATGCACTGCAGCTGGAGGCTGCTGCAGCTCAGAGGTTGAAGGTCATGGCCTATGCTCTGTAGGTGTTGGTTACTATGGTGACTTTGATTCCATCAGTTTTATCAAGGCTGAAATGGTCAGATCTTCCCTGTATGTTTTACCTGTTTTACCTATCTACCCATTTCGGTCAATTTGCCTTTCAATAAAAATATGGGATGGGATCACGTGTTTGGTTACATAGCAAGATGAGGTGCAAATGACACCTACAGTAGTGTCCACAAGATAACATTACAATATACTCACGGCCATGTGTGCAGTAATAATTTTATGTTACAACAATGTGCAATATACTATCATCGAATTACTTCAGTAAATGGTTATCTTCAAGGCTTTAAGGTCCCACTCTTTGTAGGGATCTGACAATCAGTCATTCTAAAAAATGGTGACTGTCAATGTCTACATTACTGTAGCAGTGACATTTTGTCAAATTTCTGACTGGCTGACTGATTATCTGAACTACGTATTTGTCCGCTTATTTAATAAAAAAATGTTTGACCTTTTCAAGGTACAGCCGGTCAGCCGTGGAGGAGATGTTGAGCAATGCTGCATGTCTAAGAGGATTGAGCATGGTCCACAAGTCAAATGGACATCCTCACAGTTACAGAGAAGCCTTGCAGATGCTCCAGTCCAGTGTCAGGTTAGTTTCTGTTTTCTGTCATTCCTAAACAATAGTTTGCTCATCACTTTGTTCTCTTTTTGTCTCCCCTACGTCTCTTTCTCTCTCGCTTTCTCTCTCTCTCTCGTTCTCGATCTCTTTCTCTCCTCTTTATGTTTCTCTCCATTTCAACCCTCTTCATATCCATTTGTGCCATAACAACCAATGCTTTCTCTCTTCTTCAGCTATGCGGAGCGGGCAGGTAACTCTGTCCTGTGTATGGCTACAGCGCGCCACTACTGGAACAACTGCCTGCCCCTGACTGAGACCTCACTGGAGAGACAGCAGCTCCGACAGCATCTAGAGAAGATCCTGAAAGCCCTGGTCCACACCAGCAAGAAAGACCCAACTGTAAGAACCCCATCTCGAACTAGCCTGGTCCCAGATCTAGTTTTATAGCAAACTCCTATCGTGTTTCTCTGGTACGAGCCCCTCTCCCAACTGGCTTCTGTACAGTATGTGTATCATTGGTGCTGTCACTGTAAAATTACTCCTATTCAATCTAGTGGGGTTTGAAGTGTTCATGTGTATGATTAATTTTCTCTGGTGGTTTAAGCAGGGGGAAGAGAAGGGATGGTCTACCCTGACTGTGATGCCCTCTGTGACCTCACCGCTGGAAGCCTCAAGTGATTCCACACACAAACTTCAAATGCTCATACCGCACAAACCTTTGACTGCTGTTTCACAGCTAACTACTACTTTTTATTCTATAATCTTGTTTATGACTTTAATTCCATAAGCCTGCTTATTCATTTATTTCCAAAACGGCCTATCTCGTGCTGTATCATTCTCAAACACCACTAGTAGACATGATAGATGAAGTCACATTCCCACGCACACCAGTAGGCCATTAGATCTGTGGCATTTACATCCAAGCAGTCACATAGAGTATTGCCTTTCCCTGAAGTTCTCAGTTACCCAACCTATTCACTCTCTATACACTCTAGCTATGGAATCCAAATGAATTTGTATTCTCATGATCTATTCCTTTCTTTCTGTGTGTGTGTCTGTGCATTTGTGTTTGCATGTGTGCGTGTGTGGGTTTATCTATGACCGTGTTTGTGTGTGTGCGTCTCTGTCTGTGTGTGCGTGTGTAGGCACGGGCAGCCCTGAGGATGATCTGACCCTGAGAGCTGCCATGTACGGCCTGCTGTTCCACATCCACGCAGACAGCTCAGATTGGACAGGAGCTCTGACGCTGCTGGAGCAGGCTATCAGAGACATGCCCCGCACCAGACACAGGCTGTGAGTGCTGGAGAGAAATGATGGTGGAAATAAGGGAGATAGAAAGGGGGAAGGCCAGGAGGAAAGGGAGAGAGATGGAAGAGGTTAAAGGCTGTGAGTACTACACTGACACTAGGAGAGAACGGGTGAAAGGAGAGCAGGGAGGGAGAGAGAGAGGGAAAAGGTTATACAGGACTGCGGACTTCTATTTGTATTTTTGTATTTATTAGGGATCCCCATTAGCTCCTGCCTATTACTCTTCCTGGGGTCCAAACATATTAAAGCACTTACATTACATATAAAACAAAAGATAAAACAGAACATCATATAACATTATTACACTGCTACATATCTACAATACAAAATGTTTAATACCACCATACAACAATATCACAATGTGTGCGTATGCATGTGTCTGTAACTTTGTTTACCTTTCCTATCACTGGCGTCATCACATTTCTGTGTGCTTATTTGTATGCATGCGCATGCTGTATGCATGAGTGCATGTTAATATGCCTTGATATGAATATGACGTTATAAGTAAGTATGTGGGTAGATGTGTGTTTTATGAAATGTCATATTTTGGATATGGGCAATTCCATCATTATGGAAGCCTCAGCGAAAAAGCCTGACCCTTATTGGGTGAATGAGTATAACTTAAAATGTTTGATTTGTAAAATCTACTTCTTAAATGATTTAGTTTTTTGTGTGTGGTTTGTTTCAGCTTTTGCGAGGGCTGTTCAGAGTGTAAAATCCTTAGTTATGAAAACATTAGGTCTTGACAGTTTAGCCGGAGGAGATGCCCTTAATAAAGCATCACACAAGTTTTTCAATGTTTGAAAAGGAAATATGAAACTTAACTTTTTCATGGCCATTATCACGATCATATTTCTGTGGAGTTACCCATGTGTGAGAATGTGATACCCTTTTCACACTACTGAGCCAAGATAAGCTGTACTGTGCTGGCCTGGTTACAGATCCACATAGTTACTGGAAATGACAATGTGAAAAGAAAATGTCTGAGCCAGTATGGTTTGGGTTGGCACGATGGTGTGAAAAGGGCATGAGAATGTGAAACTGTGCTTGTCCTCTCCCTGACTGTGCCCTAGGCTCCTGTTCAAGCACCGGGTACTGGTGAGGGCCCGGCTGGGGGAGAGTGTGGTGATGGACATGCAGAAGTTCCGGGATGAAGGGGAACTCTACTGCTCCCACATGTGGCACAGAGTGGCGCTGTGTTCTGGGGAGATTCTGCAGCAGTTGGCCTGCTACCAGAATGCCATTACCTCTTTACTGGTAGGGAAAGGGAAAGGGGATATCTAGTCAGTTGCACAACTGAATACATTCAACCGAAATGTGTCTTCCGCATTTAACCCAACCCCTCTGAATCAGAGAGGTGCGGGGGGCTGCCTTAATCTAGGTCCACGTCATCGGAGCCCAGGGAGCAATTGTTGAGGGGGTTAGCTGGCTTGCTCAAGGGCAGAACGGCATATTTTCCCACCTTGCCGGCTCGGGGAATCGAACAAGCAACCTTTCGTTGGCACACCTCTGCTAACACAGACACATTCTCACACACACATGCACAAACATATACACACGTGAAGACACATTCATGTACAAACACACCTACACCACACACATACACATTCAATTTTGCATTTTCACTGTTGATTACTTTACATACATACACATACAGTTATTCAGTGTGCTCTTCGAAGTGTGAAAGATTGCAGCACTTCCTTGCCAGGTCTGAATCCAAGTGGCGCTATTGAGCTAAGGGACTCTAGCAGCATCTAGTGGAAGCTTAGTGCTATTGCAGCCAGGCTCTGTGCACTGCTTATGCTGTAGCTATGAATGGGTGAACCTTATGGGTTTGTTGTGTTTGTGTAGAGTGTGAAGAGTCAGTGGCAGAAGGTGGATTACCTGTTGGAGTTTGGGGAGTGGCTGTACTGTCAGAACTTTCCCCTGGCTGACGCCCAGCACCAGATACAGTGGGCTATCGACATCCTCCTGCACATGATCACAGACCAGGAAGAGAGCAATGGTATGTTTCTTGTCATTGTTATGTGTTTGTGTGATTGCTATGTAAAGGTCTGTTAAGTTACTGAAGAATAGTAAACAATTTAATTTTAAATTAAAATTTTAATTAATAGAGAAGACTGGTTCCAAGGGAAGCAAACTGAAAGAACCGGCGAGGAGAGAGAATTCCCAACGAGGTACTGATTTCTCTTGGGATGAGTCTATACATGTATGTTGAATGCTGTGTGTGTGCGCTTGTGCTTGTACATGTACACCAGACTTGGGTTCAAATACTATTTCATATTTTTTTCAAATATTTTAGCAGAGGTTGATTGAGCTTGCTTGGACCCAAGATAATAGTCTCAAAACTGCAACCCTGCCACTCTAGCACTACAGACAGGCCAGAGCAAATGGGAAAGTATTTTAAAGATTTAAAATAGTGTTTGAACCCAGGTGTACAGTATGTGGGGAATTCCGATCCGAGTTAAGCATGCGTAACTGGAACGTAGTTCCCTTTATATGCACTTTTCTCTCTATGCCTATTCTGACCTTGAACTTAAGCCTGAGAATAGCATCCTATTCACCCGCTATTCATTTCGGGGTGGAGATCTAAGAAATGAAGGTGTGGTGGAGGTGTGTCTACAGATACGCCGTATTCTGACCTTTACTTTATTCCCTCATAATTCCACCACCTTTACACGCAATGAAATTATGATTAAGGTCGAGCAACCTGTGGAACAACATCTACTTATTTTTTTGTGATAGAAATAACACCATTCTCCATGCACTGTAATTTACAAATTGATAAGAGCTAGGTAAATGAGTAAGCCGTTTGGATAAGGGGATTGTAAATATAAATTACAATTGTTTAAGATCTATTTTACCTTATGATCGCTGGGGACAAATGTGAAACCAGTCATATGGCAGCAAACTGAAGCATATCAACATATCACCTTTTCCACAGTGAAGTTTATGAAATGGTGGCCTTATAACTTGTAAGGATGACATTTGGAGACCAAAGCTATAGGCTTCTGTAGCCATGTGCAAATGACAGTAGGCCTATAGCGCCAAACCTACCAAGTTGATTTATATGATTTCTAAAATGTTTTAATTATGGCCAGACTTTTCACTGTATTTAAAAAGTATGGTGTTAACTATTAGCCACTATCGGTAGCCACCGTCAGTAACCCTACATACATTTATTACTCTCACTTTTGTTAGTTTCCTTACATTTTGCATGATTCCATTACATCGTTAGTTTACCTTTATTTCCTCTGTCACGTATTGCTAGCAATAGTGGATCATATTAGGCTAATGTATTACAAGTTGTGCAATAATTTGGGACATGTAGCCTATTTGAGTCATTATGGAACGCAGACCATACATAGCAGTTTAAACCTGGAGCATAGCGCATGGTTCATGATGACCGTTGTCATCACAGTTCCATGATTAGTGAGGATTATTAGGGTAGATTTATATGACTACTGTTCAACCCCTATTGTACGCTGACCTTCCAATATTTAATGTATTGAACAATTGAATATGGCAACTTCAGGATGAATCAAACCACTGTATTTTTGATTCACCAATATATTTACTGCGTAAAGCTCTCCAAATCTTATTCATTCATAAATACTTTCTAACCCTAAATAATATACAAGATCAGAATATTTTTAAATCTACCAATTGATGCTGAAAAGGAGACGAATATGCGTGTATTTAGGCTTACATGGCTTTCTTTCATTGATCCCTAATATTCTGAACCGTTCTCTCCATATATTCTAGTGAGTCTGTCGAGAAAATTCAAACTAGAGGTACCCACATTTAAAGGGATGGCTTTAGATAAATGTACTGAAAAACCTATTGAAGGAAAACTCCACAAGAAAATCTGTTGGCAAGTGGGAGGGTTTTCAGATGTTGAATTACATTTATTTGGTGCGTGCAAAGGAACCATGCCTACAAAGCCTGTTACGCACCTGCATAAGGTAAGTCTGAATACCAACTACTGAGAAGTGCGTAGGAAAGGCGTGCAGAAGAAGGCGTACATTTCTTAAGTCTGAATCGGGGCCTATGTGTGTATCCAGGCTCTGTCGCAGCCGGCCGCGACCGGGAGACTCATGGGCGGCGCACAATTGGCCCAGCGTCGTCCAGGGTAGGGGAGGGAATGGCCGGCAGGGATGTAGCTCAGTTGATAGAGCATGGCGTTTGCAACGCCAGGGTTGTGGGTTCGATTCCCACGGGGGGCCAGTATAAAAAAAAAAGATGTATTCACTAACTGTAAGTCGCTCTGGATAAGAGCGTCTGCTAAATGACTAAAATGTAAATGTAAATGTATCCTCCTTCCTTACAGATGAGTCGGGAGAAGGGACATTGCTGATACCAGTGAAGGTTCAGTCCCACATCGGGGTGCAGGGGGTGGTGTCTGGGCCCTGTCTCTCTGACCTCAGGGAGGTGAGGCGTCTGGACAGCCTGGTCAGAGCACACACTCTGCTGGCCGCCATGGGGGACAGGGCATCCCCCCACCACCAACAGAACCTACTCAGGGCCTATAGCCTAGTGCTGCAGATCTGGCAGGTAGGGACTCCTTTAAAAGCGACCACACCTAAGTTGTGTTCATGAGGGCACACCGTAGCAAAACATTTTGTAATAGACAACAGGTTCAGATAGTACCTTTTACGTTTCATGCCTACTGAACACGATCCAGTAATTTCACTATGTTTTATACCAGCAGATGCATACAGTATAAGCCACAAAATGGTTTCTCAGTTGTTGTTTTTTTATTTACGTTTAACAAAACGACGAGTGATAGCAGTGCACTCCCATCGCAGGTGTCCATGGCAACTGCACGTGAGGTAATCAGGGAGATGATGAAGAATCCTCTAGTCCCAGCGTCCCGGCCATGTCCCTCTGCAACAGCCAAAAAAGAAAAAGATAAGGAGAAGGACAAAGGCAAAAAGTCTAAAGAGGTAGACCTGACCACCCAGACAGACTTCTTGAGAGAAGTCCATGGCTATTTTTAGTTGTTTTCTCATTGTATAGCATTGCAAATGACAAGTAATGAATAATACGATATGTTATTTTACCATTGTACAGTCTTGCCAATGTGCAGTTTACAGTATTTGTACAGTTAAATTGTACACTTTTGCCAGCTGAAAGCAATTAGGAATGAATATTATGCCAAGGAATACCAGAGCTTTTCTGTGTTTAAACAGCCACCCCCTATTGAGGAGAAGCCCAAAGCCCGAAGGCCACAGGATGATGTGTTGCCCTCCAGCCCAGAGGAGTGGGCACAGTTTGACTGTCCCGAGGAGGTCCGCCAGGCCTTCAGATTCGACACCAGCCCCCACTGCATCAACAAACGCAGCATCAGCAAACAGGCAGGCACCACTAAGCTCTCTCTTACTGCCTCTGTCATAGAGCTCAATGGGGCCATATTCATTAGGGCACACCGTAGCAAAACGTTTTGCAACAGAAAATGGACAAGTTCAGGTAGTCTGTCCCTATTTCAGTCTGTTTTCTTCCTTTTGGTCCTTGAGTCATTATCGGAACAGGGACTGTTTCAATTGGCCGTGGCGGCTCAGGGTCGAAGGCTTGAAAGCCGGAAACATAGACAAGATATTGATCCTCGTCTTGACAAGTCATAATTTGTTTGTTGGATGTTGTGTTGCAAATCAGAATGTTGAGATGAAAAATAAGTGTATTAAATTAAGCTTAAATTAAAGACGTGTAGTGATAATCCCGTGTAGCTCAGTTGGTAGAGCTTGCAACGCCAGGGTTGTGGGTTCGATTCCCACGGGGGACCAGTATGAAACTGTATGCACTCACTAACTGTAAGTCGCTCTGGATAAGAGCGTCTGCTAAATGACTAAAATGTAAATGTAAAATGTGATTGATTTATCTTATGCCACTACAGTATGCTAGTATTAGGTGACACAATTATGCTTGGTAATCATACAAATTAAATGAGAACATGCTCAGATGGTGCAGTCCTACACAGTGTCAAATATGCTAAATGATGACCAGTCCAACACTTCATGTGATATCAGGCTGTACTGTAGTGCATTTTTTTCTCTGTTCTGTTCCACAAGCTGTATCACCACATACAGGTAGACAAGTTCTTATTGTCTATGGCTCAAAGTTTGTCCTACACGTTCTACACATCAACTTTTACCACTGTCCTGCACTTTAACTACTTATTCAATTACTAATTACAAAGGCAGGATGTTAATGAAACAAAAGAGTCATGATTAAGTAATGTATTTACTTCCCTTTCTTCCTGTGTCTGGGTGACTACAGACTCAGAGCCTGTTCTTCCTGGACCTTCTGGTAAAAGAGCTGCAGTCTCTCTCTCTCACCCACCTGACTCTTCCCATACTGCACCTGGCTGAGGTCATTGCCCATGACCTGCTGGACAGAAGGAGCCTCTCTGACCTCTACTGTCTCAGGTGAAGCACGCCAATATGGCGTCAAGAGTTTATTCTTTCTGTGTATGCACAGGTGCAATACTGCTACTTTCACTGGAAATAGTCTCTGGGGCGTTTTACCAGATACCAGGCTAATACTGGACTAAAAAGCATTTTCAATGGAGATTCTCCATCTACCTTGCTTTTTAGTCCAGGACTTACTATGTGTCCAGGAAACTGTGCATACAAAACATGAAGAACACCTGCTCTGACCACCAGGTGAATCCAGGCGAAAGCTATGATCCATTATTTATGTCATTTGTTAAATCCACTTCAATCAGTGTAGATGAAGGGGAGGAGACAGGTTAAAGAAGGATTTCTAAGCCTTGAGACAATTGAGATTGTGTACAGTATGTGTGCCATTCAGAGGGTGAATAGGCAAGACAAAAAATGTTAAACTCAATATTAGGAAGGAGGTCCTAATGTTTGGTATACTCAGAGTATGTTAGTTAAGGCTACTGCTTTTACTTTTGTCTTGTCAATTATTGAAAAACGGTATAGAGCTAAACATTCAATATGAAAGGTTTTCAACATTTATGTCAATGTGTTGTCCAAATCCTGCCCATTGCAGAATCATTGATTTATTGTGAAATATTACCTAATAGTTTTCTCATTTATTTCCTTATTCTAACGTTTTAGAATTGTGAGGAGCTGTTCTCAGCTGGTTATGGAGACATCTACAGTGTACCACGAGAAGCTCCTGAGCCTGACTGGTATCCATGAGCAGGAACAAATGGAGTATGTGTGCCCCACTCTTTCCCACCAGCTCCTGTACATACTGAATACTAATTTGTATTGGATCTGTAGTGTTTACTCTTACTCTGTTACTAGTGTTTTGTCCTGTTTTGATCTCCTGTACATTCATTATTTCATTGCAGGTGTCGCAAAGCTATAGCTTTACAAAGAGAGAGAAACAGCCTGTATATGGATTATAATTGCAAAACTGACAATGAGGTTAGTTTCAAAGCGCCATAGCTGAAATGACCAAGCAGGAGAGACTAAATCTCTGTACCATACAAGGTGTATTATCACTGCAAGTGTTTATAGACCTAGAATTTAAGAGAAAGAAAGCGAAATGACCCCTGAAATGAATAACTGTACTAGTTCTTAGTTTGATTATACTTTTATTATAGTTGAAAGCATGATTGGCAAGCAGCACAGGTGGATTACAGTCAAACGCAGACAGGGATGTATGTCCTAACTGCACTATCATAATGTGAAACTCATATCACATCATTATCACAGGTTCATGAGAGTTTAATTAGTTGCGTCATTAAATTTCATATGGCCATCACTCATGTCAATCTTGCGAGCATTATTAATGGTTGTAATTTCTCATTGCCTTAACCAGAGATCTGTAGCCCATGAACAATCCTTTAGATTTACAGTATGTTCAGACCTAACCTATTGAGTTCATTCCATAATTCCATATTTTCCATGAGGTGCAGGGCCTGGGGATTGAATAGAATTGAGGGATCAGAATTCTGACAATGCTGCCTTTGTCCATTTCTCCATTTACAGAAGTCTGAGGTTGACCACATCCGTCTGTCTGGGAAACAGTGTGGGGATCTGTGTAGTCAGGATATCTGGCTTGATAAGGCTGAGATATGCCTTGGTATGGGGCTGTACCAACCAGCCAGACAGCTACTGGCAGAGGCCCATCTGGTGGCTAAGGTGAGTTCTTTCATTTTGAGTAATTTTGTCAATAGTTTGGTATTATTTGTCTAAGTAGTCCACTGCATCTTTGTGAAGTGTTTCTGTGTTTCGGTTAAAACGTGTCTCCTATTTATGTGTATGTGAAGCTCTTGTCATAACAGTTAAGCAATTATTAAGCAATTCACTTTTATTCTGTTTTATTCTTATATTGTGTGCTCAGGAGCTGGGAGATCAGGCTGCAGTAGGGAGGAGTCTGCTTTCTCTTGCCGTCCTGGCCAGTAAGGAACAGAACCACTCTCAGGCCTTGGCACTACTAGAGAAGGCCCAAGGCATGGGAGGTGACGAGGACTTCTGGTACAAGCTCACCCTGGCCCTGGTGACAGCTACGGTGGCCCAAAAGGGCCAGGATACAGACACCAAGGTCAAGACTGTTCTGTTCTATTCTATTTTATTATATTGAAGCTCATTTACCTCCTCTGAAGCAAATCTTGTCCTTTTCAATGTGACCACTCTCTCCCGTTACAGGCAAGTCAAATAGTAAAGCAAGGCTGTGTAGCCCTGAAATTGATGCTGGAAAAGAGGCGGAACCGAGGTCCTGATCTCAGGTTTCTGATCACGTCTCTGGAGAGCAGGTAAGGCTCTTGCTGTTAGTGTTCTCCAACTTCGGTCCTGGAGAGCTTCTGAGTTGTGCAGGCTGTCGATCCAGCCCCGCAGGAAATCACGTTATGGTCCAGAGTCAGACTCACCACCTTGATTAGTTTGATATTTGAATCAGGTGTGGTACTGCAGGGTTGGATCAAAAGCCCTGGTGTACAGTGTTCTCCCCTCTGCTGTGACCAAAGCAGACCTCTAGATGTCACTGACTCACTGTGATGTCTGTCTTTCAGAGGGGCGGTGGAGCGTGTGCATGCAGCCAGCCCTGTCGAGCCCAGTGAGGCTCTGTCCACCCAGTCAGTGCAGAATCTCATGGCTGCCTGTGACACCCTGAGAGAGACCGCCAGTGAGTTCCTCCGACTGGGCCACAGAGAGCAAGCTGCCGAAGCTCTCCTGGAGCACGCACATGCTTTGAGGTCAGACATCACCACAACACCTCATAGTACGATCTATCCAATTTGGGATCAATATCATTCATTCATTCATCCTGTCTACTATTCCTCTGTTGGTCCGCTTCAAATCATTCACAGCATGTTCTGCTTTGTAGGATACTGGCTAAACACACTGACAATGAGGGGAAACGGCGCCACCTGCTGGATGCCTACTCCTTCATGCAGCAAGCCGTCTCCGCACAGGAACATGTGGTTCTGAACGCCCAAAGCCTGTTCCCATCACAAGAGGTAAAGCACATACTGTATATCTTCCCAATATCAGCCTTCAAGTCAGAACCTCACAAACAGAACATACCATACAGTTCAAACTCTTAGGTAATACTTTGGACTTATTTTTAAACCCGTTGTAATTTTACTAAACATCACCACCAGCTTGAGTCAAGTTATTCTGTTAGATTCTGATCTAAGGATGACGTGTGTATGAAACAGAAAACAGAACGTGTTTATTTATTTATTTTATTTATTCTGTAATTTTTACCACCTTTTTTCACCAATTTCGTGATTACGATCTTGTCTCATTACTGCAACTCCCCAACAGGCTCGGGAGAGGCGAAGGTCAAGTAATGCGTCCTCCGAAACATCACCCGTCAAACCGCGCTTTTTATGACCCGCTCGCTTAACCCGGAAGCCAGCTGCACCAATGTGTTGGAGGAAACACCGTTCAACAGACGACCGAAGTCAGCCTGCAGGTGCCCGGCCCGCCACAAGGAGTTGCTAGTGCGCGATGAGCCAAGTAAAGCACCCCTGGCCAAACCCTCCCCTAACCCAGCCGACGCTGGACCAATTGTGCACCGCCCTATGGGACTCCCGGTAACGGACGGTAATGACACAGCCTGGAATCGAACCCCAGGCTAGGCTGTAGTGATGCCACAACACTGCGATACAGTGCCTTAGACCGCTGCGCCACTCGGTAGGCCAGAACGCATTTATTGGAACCATATCTCAGCAGTGTTCTTCATTGTAATGGAATTTGCAAATCCTGTTTTGCTCAGCTGTTACAGTTCCTCAAAACAGAGTTCTGGCTATCTGTCCTGGAACTGAAAGCATTTGCAGATGGCAAACAAATTACACTCTATTTAGAGAGTAACTGAACATGTTGGCAGGGTTGAGATTTGCTTGTGAAAAGTCCATATATAGCTTGTCAGAAAGGCTGATTCGCTGCTTGGACTCCTGTCGACCCAGGGCTGCCAAGTCCAAGTCAGTGCTGCTAAATTATTTATTGAATTAATTTTGCCCTTTGTTTCACTAGGGATCTACATTGTTACATTTTCCAAATGGATTATTGTATTATAGAACAAGGAATTCCTAAAAAGGAGAGAACCATTCATTATAAAGCAGATAAATATACCTATAAAGAAGATAAACCTCCTGATCTGCCTGTTAATACTCGCTCAATAAAAATGCCATAATCTGGGGTTTCTTACTGCCCATGGTATCTCAGCCAGTGGTGATTCTAGCATGTAAATCTTGGTGGGGCAAACAAAAACAAAAATGTGTGGATGCATGCCAGCAAAGCCACAACACAACACTAAACAATACATTAATTGCACTATAACGGTGACAAACGGTGCCCACAAACTGTTAGGGCCTACATAAAGCTGTCCCAACAGCAGAGTCCCAACTGCAGAGTCCCAACAGAGTTACCACTGCTACACCTGGCTATCAGCGGAGCCTTGTCTGGCAGCAAAACAGTTCATTCAGCCTTTAAAAAAAACATAGCTGATATGGCTGACTTGCTTAAACAAATGTGGTTTCTACTGACAATTGAAATGTACAAACTATGGCATAAGGGGACGACAAGCGGATAAGAGGCAATATAACTATTTGTTCAGCATGGGCCGTTCTTACAGTGTTCTCCCTTTACACCAAGTCAGAACCGTAGGATAAATAAAGGGGGCGTATAAGCAGACAATGAAAGCTCTTACAATAGTCGATGATTACATTTCTCTAAAACAGGTGACAGAACACTGAGCCAATCACGGCGCAACTAGAGAACATTACCATCCCATACGCTCCGTATTTTCCGCTGTCTGCCTCACCACCACAGAAAGCACTGAGCTAGGCTGCATTTGGGAGCTGCCTTACTCAAGAAAGCAAAAAAGAGACCATGTTTTCAAACTGATATGTGACACGTATTAATGCCAAAATAACATGCTAAATGTGGGGCTCTGCCCCACCTGCCCTGAATGACGGGTCGCAACTGATCTCAGCCAAATCATTACTGAACGTGTGTGGCCTCTGGTGGACCCACCTATTTGCTCCAGACCTCAGTTCATATTTGAAGTACATCTTGATCTAATCATGAAAGGACATTGAAATAGCCTCTTGCTTCATTATTAAAACACCTGCTGAAATCTAGAAGAATCCAGTTAGCTAGATACAATCTAGTTTGAAGGTCTAATTCTGCATTTAGGATTCACTGTCTGTAGCCCTGTGCTTTCAGCAGATGGTGCTGCTGCCCCAATAAGTTACATGGAAATGACAAACCAAATATGAAACCAGCAGTGTATATGAATTAATTTACTCTCGTGGAACCAGACGAGTGTCTGGAAATTGCATATAAAGTTTGTCACGGAAGATTTGAGTTCATTTGACCCAATCTACATTTATTTCTTGGTAACTTCCCTTTCATTACGTAGTAAATGAAGGTGTCACTTTTGTTCAGTCTGAAGATGTACATCGATATACATTTATCTTCTTCATAAACTTTTCCATTATAAAGGAAATCAAATTCAGATCTAAGGCTTTTAAAGCTATCTTGCACTGGGTTGAAAAATGAGCTGGGGCCAATAAGACATTTCACTTCTTGCATTTGCATTTACAGTGGTGTCTGTGCGTGTGTGCTTGTTGTTGTAACGTGTCTGTCTGTCTTTCTTTCTCTCTGTCTCTTTCTATCTCTCTTTCTGCCCTCTGTACCTTCCACAGTGTCAGCCCCTGTCTCTCCCAGCCATGAGGAGGCTGTTGCGGGTCAGACTGGCTCTGGCTGAGCTGTCCTTAGCCATGCTGGAACAGGTTTGTGCTGAGGAGAACAGACTAGCCCTGGCCCAAGACAGGAAAGCCTCTGTGGAGAGAACCATTGAGGAGTTTGTACGCAATACACCAGACCTCGGCTCTGTAGAGCAGGTAAGGGCATAGACAAGAGGCTGTGTCCGAATATCCATACTTGTGTTCTAAATAGTAGGCTTTTTGGGTATGCGAAAATTGAACTTTTTATAGTATGTGACCTTTCTAAAATGTTTTACGCTTTAAATACCAGGATGTCATACTCATTTCGCTTTTCATCAAGTAGAATTCGCTGCACACTGAGGAAGAGAATCATATTTTCACACTCACTTGTGTTTGACAACAGTTGATAACAGTGGCGGCTGGCCGATAGAGGGCGCTAGGGCGCCGCCCCCTTAAATAAAATTATTTAAAAAAATAAAATAACAAATAAATAAAAATAATAATAATAATAATAAAAACATCAGTATGTCAATATTTGTGTGTTTGAAATATGGAATGCACACAGTAATATGTGTAAGATATGATAGAAAATCATATTCGCAACCTTTCCTCTGCCTGTCAAACGCCTCGTCAGCTCTGGGCGATACAGAAAGTGCCCCGAGGAGGCGGGTCTACGTAGCAGTTAAGCCAATTGCTAATTTAAGATATGAATGTATGACATAAAATGTAGCCAATCAGCGATCTTAAATCGAATCCAAGGAGGGCGATTATTTTATCGCCCCAAGCTCGCCCCTGATAAAATAAGGACCGGGCTCCAGTGGCGCCATTTTTACTAGACGACAATGGCGAGCGCAAACGTTACTCCTCCAAGACCCAACCCTAACTCGGTGAAATCTCTCCTCCAAGATCCGTTTGAGAGGAGAACTTTGTCAGAGAAAGTTCGGGTGAAAGAGCTGGGCCCAGATCAACCTGACCTCTCAATCAGACAGCAGGCTAGCGAGAAAGGGAAGCAGTATATGCGCGGCTTCTCCCGTAGCTGGTACACCAGGAAGGCTTGGCTAGCTGGGTGCACTGATGCTAATGCTTTATTTTGCTTTCCTTGCTTGCTTTTTAAAACGACGGGGTCAGATTCAGCATGGACAGGTACCGGAGTGAGGGATATGAAGCACCTGTCAGAGAAGGTAAAGAAACATGAGAACACCAGGGCACACATGGACAACTCTGTAAAGCTAGCTGTATTAGGAAGGGTGAACATTGCTACGCAGCTGGATGACGGCCACAGGATTGCGGTGAGGAAACACAATGAGGAGGTGGATAAAAACAGGCACATTCTATCCAAAATTATCGATTGTGTGAAGTTCTGTGGGGCTTTTGAGTTGGCCTTGCGTGGGCACGAGGAGACTGACTCCTCGGACAACCCCGGCATTTTCCGGGGCTTAGTGGATTTTGTTGCCTCCCTCGACAGTGTGCTGGAGGAGCACCTGAAGACAGCTACCGTTTTTAAGGGCACGTCAAAGACGATACAGAACGAGCTGTTGGACTGTATGCTGTCAGTGCTTAAGGATTACATCCTGGAGGAAGTAAAGAGTGCTGATTTTATCGCCATTCAAGCTGACGAGACGACTGACGTTTCCACCCACTGCCAGTTGGTCCTTGTGATATGCTACATCGATGCTAAAAGTAACGTCCAAGAGCGTTTTTTCGAGTTCATTTTGATCGAGAACGCAACCGCCGACACCATCGCTACAGCGCTGCTGGAGAGGCTCAGCACCATACTCTCACATGGACAAAAGGCCAAACTTATTGCCTAGGCTTACGACGGAGCAAGTGTGATGAGGGGAGCCACCGGCGGAGTGCAGCGTAAAATAGTGGATGTGTACGAAAATGCGCACTACGTCCACTGCTATGCACATCAGCTGAACCTCATCATGCAGCAGGCTACTTCACGCATCCCCAGGATCGGCACTTTCTTTTCCGACCTTGCAGGATTTTCTGCTTTCTTCTCCAGGTCTCCCAAGCGAACCACCGTGCTTGACGAAGTGGTTGCGCATAGACTCCCCAGAGCCTCTACAACACGGTGGAACTTCCACAGTCGCGCTGTAAACACTGTGTACGAGTACAGGGATGACCTCCTAACGTGTTTCCAGACCATCAGAGACTCTGGGAACTTTGATGCCCCGACTGTCAGAGAGGCGGGGGGCTTTGTGAGGATGCTCGAAGACGAGGCTTTCTGTTTTTTCCTGGCACTGTTCCACAAGATCATGCCAAATGTGGACATGCTTTTCAGCCAGCTGCAGAAGAGGAACATCGACCCTGTCTTCATTAAAGCACTTGTCCAGAGGTTCACAGACAGCATGCTAACAATCAGGTAAATAACTATATTTACTATTGGCTGATAAAGATGTTGTTAGAAAGATGAATAGTTCACTTACAACAGTTTAAAAGCCTAAATGTGTCTGGTCATCAAAGTGAGTGATTATCATAGAGCCGTCACAATTATATTTGTTTTAGTATTTTAAAAGGAAAGAGAAGACACAATCAGACGTTGATAATAATGCAGGAAAGTACTACACAGTTTGTAATAATTATTCAGGTGTCCACCAGGTCAATTTCTAGAAGAGGCCTAGTTGTTATTGAAGATTAACTTTATTGCTAAGTGCACAGCAGAACAAAATGATGTTGCATCCCTCTCACAAATGTAATAGAAAAAGGCTTTAAAACGTAATAACATCAGTTAATTATGTACATCACAGGTTAAAAGCAGTTACTAGACATAGTTTGTGTGTATATACACACTATCTGTCTGTCTGTCTGTCTGTCTGTCTGTCTGTCTGTCTGTCTATATATATATATATATATATATATATATATATATATATATATATATATATATATATATATATATATATATAAAAGTCACTGGTTGTGTGTTGAGGGGGAATTACAGTGAGTTAAGAAGTCTGATTGCAAGTTATCAAATTAAACTTTATTTTTTGGACCCAGGGCCTCAATTCCCTCTTTGTGTGGGGACAGCGCATCTGACGAGCAGCAACAGCCCATCAAGCGACGGAGGATGCTGGGACCAGGAGAACAACAGAGGTTGGCTATAGAGGTAAGTTGTGATGTAATTGTCAGTGTTTCCCCCTAGAACTTTTTTCAGGCCTGGTAGTATGTAGCCAAAACCCTGAACAATCAGCACCTTGGTAATCATATACTTGAGTTGGACATAGGCATGTGTCAGTCAGGATCACTTGCATCAAAATAGCTTAATTGCAAATTAAAGCTGATGATGTATCTTTTACAGGTATGTGATACCATCCTGAGTCATGCCAAAGAGAGGTTCTCCTTCACCCAGCACCTCATCAGCGCAACACTATTGCACGGAGAGTTGTTCCCACAACACAGTGTGAAGTTCCCCGATACAGCGCTTGAAACAACCGTGGAGGCGTACCCCATGTTGAACAAGGCCAAGCTCAAAACCGAACTGTCCCTCATCTATGAGAACAGTGAGTTCAAGGCTTGTAGTGGTGCAGTGCCCCTGTACCAGTTCTTCATGGAGAACAACCTTCAGAGCACTTTCACAGAGACTGCCAGCCTCCTCAAGATCCTCATCACCACACCCATGACAACTGCTGAGTCAGAAAGGTGCTTCTCTACACTGAAAAGGATCAAGACCTTCCTGAGAAACAGCATGACACAGGATCGCCTGAACGCTCTGGCCATGCTCTCCATGGAGAAGAAACTTGTCAGGGACATTCCTGACATTAATTACATGTTACATGTTGGCTACCTAGCAACATTACATCATTTCTGGAGGCAGTGGAAATTTGACCTAGCCCACCAAGGCCAGCCCAACCTGGGTTGACTTCAAAGTCCCAATGGAAACGGGGCTTAAGCCAGTGTCAATGCGATCGGTACCCCTCCCCTTGGCCCTAATTACCCCTTCAATGTTTGCAGATCTGTAAGGTGAAAGTAATATGGTGGAAGCTTTACCACTACACCTATACAGCCTCTTCAGACATGCTAACATCAAGGAATTAGTGCCAAGGGGGAGGGATAAGGAGCAATTTGGGACTGGTGGATAAACATAGCTAAAGAAAACTACTAGCCTACACAGTTACAAAACTATTTCCTCAATTCTGGGAGGATTAATACAAGTCAATGCCTGACTTGTGAGAGCGGGATAGGAGATTGCCGATTGCATCAACTAGCGCTTTGAATTGAACATTTTCGATCTAATATTTATGTGTGAAGCTGATGATTAAGCTCAGACAGAGGAGGCCTCGTGGGATATGGGCATGCAGACTGCAGAGCACACACTCCTCTGGTCGATCTTCAGTAGTTCTGTGGGAGGAGCGCAATCATGTCTGTCTGATAGTAAAGGGCTTTTCTCCCAAAGTGAAATCTCCACCACTATTTATGGGGCTGATCTGATCAATACTGGCAGTGATTAAGCTTATTGCTGGATGACTCGCTTCATGTTGTTTCTCTCTGTTGCTGCTCCCCGTAATATCAGCTCCCCCTTGAAAAAACTAAGCGAGATCTCACTAAGAGTAAGATCTGTCCTGTAGCTACAACCTTTAAGGTTTTTTTGTTGAGAAATGGCCCTTCTTCTGCAACCAAGACAATTCATTAAACCAATGTGCTTTTGATTTGGAGGAGTTTGTGTTTGTCTTGAAATTCCCGAAATGTGTACACGGGAGGGAGAAGCTCCTCCATTAGAAGAAGTCCAAGTAGGTTTTGGAATAAGGATTAGGCCTACCTAGTGCAGTGTTTCCCAACTCACTTATAAATGTGACCTGTGGAATGCACATGGAATTTAGACTTGGGAGCACTAGTGCCAGTCAGATAATACATTAAATGGCACATGGTTACAACTGTATCGTTGTTTCAAGTCCAGTGTGCTCAGGCTGTTGTTACATTTGTATCATTTGAGGGGCGTGCATCACCAGCAAAGTCATTTGTATCATTTTTCTTCTGTGAAAACCATTAGCACAGGCAAATCTGATTTAGGTTTATGCAGAGTCATTTATTTCTTAATACATGGCTCTGGGCTTAGCTATACCACAGCCCTGCCATAGAAACAAACAGAACATGACTTTGTGTCCGTGGTTGCACCTTTTATAATGCAGAAAACCGCTCGTTTGTAGCCCAAACCGTTCAAAACTAAAGACCTATTTTATCAGAGCTACATTTTCTTCTTGGTGCAGATTCGCGGGACGCTCTTACAGGGGTACACACAAATTAACTATCATGAGTAAGGAACAATCAAAACTATGAAAATATTTCAAATAAACCCTATTTAATCTCTCAACTTTTGTCACAGAAAATAGATGATTTGCAGTATGGATCAGATGAGATGCAGGTCATTACCACTAAATAAATGAATAGGGACATTTTAGGTGTGCCGCAGAATTTCTTCCTTTATACATACCTCCATTTCCTCTGTGGCCCCCTCTAACCACCCCCTCCCCTTTGTTCCCTCTGTAGGAGTGGATATCTACAGGGAGGACCCTGGGGCAGGTGGCTTTGAGCCAGCTGGCCACGGTCAACTTCCTGTCCCTGGGCTGTGTGGAGACCAGAGCCAGCTCTCTGAGCCTGATGGGGAAGTGCCTGAGGCTGCTAGCCATGCAGAGAGACCCGCTCTACCCCTTCACCCTCTGGGATGGACACAACCTGGTACGGACACTCTGACAGACATTACCAAAAACAGTAAAAATTGACTAAAATTGACTTTTAGGGGGGCTCAAAGTGACTTTTAGAGATGTCATTCCTCTTCACAAAAATCTAAGAGCTCAAAAACAATTGTCAGCGTTCATGACCAGATTGTAAACTAATCTTGATTCTATGAACAGGAGGAGGACCAGTCAGAGTCTAAAGCCAGCCCTGAGGAGGAGGAGGAGGAGGAGTTAACCGGAGAGAATGGCCGAGAATCAAGCAGAACGGAGCCCAGACATTACACAGCCAAATGTGCTGAGTTGCAGGTACTGTATAGTCTACCTGGAACCTTTCCTCCACTTTAATCTGGTGTCTTTAGACAAAGCCTAGTCTATCTTATCTTCAACAGAAGTCACGTTCTTGGCTAGTCTTTATTTATTGTAAAAGACAGATAGTCTTTATTTTAAAAGTAATCTTGGTTACCCAGAAGTAAAAATTATCTCATTAAAGTTTGTAGTTTCCTGTTTTACTTCTGGGGGGAATGCTGTTAACAATTGTGATTACCTTTGTGCAAAGGAAGGAAGCGAAGTCTCCTCCCTCGCAAACGGAAACTCTCGGCCAAACCCCTCCCTTCCGCTAATTTCACCCGTGTTTATCATGGCCAAAAAGGACATTTTTGTTTTCATGAATTTTTACGATACAGCCAATTTTGACTTTGTGGCTGTGGAATCTAGTGGAAACTGTTTATCATCCGCACACGGGCTTGAAAATCACAGCACAAGTTTAAGCACCGCCCAATCCTGATTCGTCCAAATAATCAATGACGAAAACCCCAAACCAGGAACTACTGTTGCTCGTAATCACATAATTCTACGTGCGCTTTGACAGATTCTCGCAGTTTCATCTGTCCACGAGAGATTATATTAAAAGTAACCTAAGAATGTCAAGTCCATCCAGAAATGTAACTCTGAAGTTGGTGCAATAGATGAATAGCAAGTGGCATAATGATAGCATGTTGGCATACACAACTTGTAGCTACTTGTGTTCTCTCTCTCTCTGTGTGTGTGTGTGCGCGCGCCCGTGTGCGTGTGTATTCCAGAGGAGAAAACGTTCTGCCCAGCAGCTGCTGGCTCAGGCCAGTGAGACTTTAGCCCAGGCCATCAGCCTCTCCCTCCAACACAAACTCCCCAGCTCCATCCTCTCAGAAGCCTGTCTCAATATGCTGGAGTGTCACGGCCAGTTTGACCCCTGTGCCACCGGTCAGTACCTGGCCCTGCTCCAGGTACAGTGTACATGCATGTGTATGTCCGCGTGTCTGCACGTGTGTGTGCAAGTGTGCGTAGTTAGACGCTGTTTTGGTCACTGTAAAATGTGTGTCACAGTCTAACTGTTTGTGTGTTAGTGTCCCTACTCCCCTTATAGCAGATATTGATTGTGTGCTTTTGCTCATCTCTGTTAATCTCTATTCCCAGAGCTGCTCCTGCACTGCTATGATGGCTGACATTCTAAGATCTGCTTGCACTGACACTCGTGTGTCCCAGCTCTCTACGTTACTCAACCTACACAGGAACCTGCTCCCCTCACAGGAGGAGACCCCCACTAGTCTGCTGAAGGGAGTGGAGGACTCACTCAATGGCCTCTCCAAGGTACCGTCCCACAAAACACCCTCAATACAACATATGTTTTCTAGGCACCATAGAGATACACTTGAACCCCCATTACTGGTTCCTCATAAATGTAATGCAATATATTAAATATGCCTTGTTTTGTTTCACACATTGAATGCCATGTGGTCTCTCTGTGGTGTATCCATCTTTCTTAGCTGGCTAATTGCCCTTAAGAGTGTGTTCATTACAAGCTTTGGATAAAGTATTTATTTGCAGTTGCCATTTCAATTATGTATCAACATAAATAATGTACTCAGTATAAATGTATCAGCATGTATCAAATCCGTGCCCAGGCCTACAGCCACCTGACCATCAACCCAAGTCACCTGAGTCTCCTGGGAGAGCTGCCCTCTAACCTGAAGATCCTGCTGCTTCAGCACACACAAGATAGGTACATGTCAACGGGGGCTTTTAGTCTGTCCACCGTGTGTCAGACACACACAAGCCCACAAGTCTACTCTGGCACCATCTGTTACGCTGGCTCATGGTCTGTAATGTTATGACCGCGTGGTCACATTTCACATTAGGTTAGTTTACATACATTTTCTGGAGCAGAAGTGGCCTGGGTGCAATACCTGATGATGCCACAAGAGGGATAGTGTCATCCTATGTCCTCTGTAGAATCAGCACAGTCGGACTCCTGCTATACCATTTTAAATACTTCACTGTAAATGCCACCCATACGTATAAAGTACTGTCGTGACACAGTTTGCAGGCAAAGAGGTGAAATGTGTGTTCCTTTTTAGGTCAACTCTCTATGGAGCTTTCTATGAGAGGAGCAAACTAACAGAGAGTCAGAGAGGGAAGGCCATGCAGGTTTCTGGTGAGGCTTCTCAACCTTTGGAATATTTTCATTTAGTACATGTTCAGTAGGTGGTAACCAGTAGCACACTTGCATTTATGGGATAAGAAGATGGATGCCAACCTTTTAAAGGTTTATTTTTGTGTGTGGGTGGGATTTTCATTGCTATGATATGCAAATCGTTTTTTTAAGACTTGGCAACAAGTCCATTGATATGCTGCAGCACTGACCTTAAGTGTTATCAGCATTCAGAATTAAACTTTAAAGAAATAAATCATTCCAGCGTAACATTTAGTACGCCAGGTCTCTCCCTAACAACAGGGCCCATGAAAGGTTCAGAGCTAATTTAGACAAAGAGACACATGCAAAGATGTACACCTCAAGCTGAACCTCGGCAAGACGGAGCTGCTCTTCCTCCCGGGGAAGGACTGCCCGTTCCATGATCTCGCCATCACGGTTGACAACTCCGTTGTGTCCTCCTCCCAGAGTGCGAAGAGCCTTGGCGTGACCCTGGACAACACCCTGTCGTTCTCCGCTAACATCAAGGCGGTGACCCGATCCTGTAGGTTCATGCTCTACAACATTCGGAGAGTACGACCCTGCCTTACACAGGAAGCGGCACAGGTCCTAATCCAGGCACTTGTCATCTCCCGTCTGATTACTGCAACTCGCTGTTGGCTGGGCTCCCTGCCTGTGCCATTAAACCCCTACAACTCATCCAGAATGCCGCAGCCCGTCTGGTGTTCAACCTTCCCAAGTTCTCTCATGTCACCCCGCTCCTCCGCACACTCCACTGGCTTCCAGTTGAAGCTCGCATCTGCTACAAGACCATGGTGCTTGCCTACGGTGTCACGGTTTTCAAAGCCAGAACCCAGAAGCAGACCAGGACAAGGTAAGTTGAAACAAAGGTGAGTGTTTATTTAACAGATCCACGAGTGAGGCTGAATAATCCAGGGAACAGAGCGGGCGGCGTGGATGGGTTGTTGAGGGTGCAGTGGTAGGTCCAATAATGGCTCGGCAGCCGCCGACCATCAGGCAGAGGTTGGGTGAAGGTTCCGGACGAGTGACTGCAGATGGAACAAAACGGAGGTAAGTACACAACAAGCAAACAAGGTGCAAAACAACAAAACTAACGCTATATGCTCTAAGGCTGATCCACTGATAAACATACTGTTCATGGCTAACGATCCGGCAGGGAATGGATGTTAGGACAGAGCCTAAGAAGGGTGATGATCAGGACCAGGTGTGCAGATTGCTGATGGGATGCAGGTGCGGAAATCAAGAGAGCTCCCGCCTAGCAACGTTGCCCGGCAACCAGGCAGGGAGCGTTCCAGAACCCTCGGGAAACTGGAGATCCCGAGCAGAAAACTAGTAACCTAGACAGGAACCGACTCAGACTGCAGGGTTCGTTACAGTACCCCCCCTCCGACGAACGCCACCGGGCGGACTCCCCGGAGCGCCAGGATGGAGGCGGTAGAAGTCACGAATGAGGTCAGCATCCAGGATCTGTCGCCGCGGAATCCAACTCCTCTCTTCAGGACCATACCCCTCCCAGTCCACGAGATACTGGAAACCCCGGCCCCGCCGTCTGGAATCCATGATGCGTTGCACCGTGTAGGCAGGACCACCTCCGATCATCCGAGGAGGAGGAGGAGGAGGCGGAGGAGGCAACAGAGGACTGAGGAGAACAGGCTTGAGGCAGGAGACATGAAAGGTGGGATGGACTCTGAGCGTTCTCGGTAGTTTGAGTCGAACTGCAACCGGATTGATCACCTTCTCCACCACAAACGGACCAATGAACTTCGGTGACAACTTCCTAGACTCAGTCCGTAAAGGAAGATCCCGTGTGGCCAACCAGACCCTATCTCCGATGGTATAGGTGGGAGCGGGAATCCGGCGACGATTCGCCTGGAGCTGATACCGGTCCGAAACTCTAAGGAGTGCCTTTCTGGCCCGATGCCAGGTCCGGTGGCAACAACGAATATGGGCCTGAACAGATGGCACTGAGAGCTCCTTCTCCTGAGAAGGGAACAAGGGAGGTTGGTAGCCATACAGGCACTGGAAGGGAGACATCCCAGTGGCAGATGTAGGGAGAGTATTGTGGGCATACTCAACCCAAGGCAACTGAGAGACCCAGGAGGTGGGGTTGGAGGAGACAAGGCAGCATAGCGTGGATTCCATCTTCTGGTTGGCTCTCTCCGCCTGACCATTAGATTGGGGGTGAAAACCAGATGTGAGACTGACTGTAGCTCCAATGGCCAAACAGAAGGACTTCCAGACAGCAGAGGTAAACTGAGGACCACGGTCGGAAACGATATCACTGGGCAAACCGTGGACCCTGAAAACCTCCCTAACCAGGATCTCGGACGTCTCCGAGGCAGAGGGAAGCTTGGCAATTGGCACAAAGTGGGCGAACTTGCTGAATCTGTCCACGATAGTCAGAACGACCGTGTTCCCCTCAGAAGAGGGCAACCCAGTGACAAAGTCCAGGGCCAGATGCGACCATGGTCGCCGGGGAATAGGAAGGGGGTGAAGTAGTCCAGAGCTGGGCCGATTGGTACTCTTATTCTGCGCACACACTGGACAGGCAGCAACAAAACCCCGAGTATCCTCGGCCATGGCCGGCCACCAAAAACGTCTGCGAAGAAACGCCATCGTCCGAGCCACGCCAGGGTGACAAGCCATCTTGCTGGCGTGGGACCATTTGAGGACAGCAGGACGAACCGACTCAGGCACAAACAACCGACCGGGTGGACCGTTACCGGGACCGGGCTGCGTCCGAAGGGCCGCCATCACCTCCTCCTCAATCTTCCACATAACTGCTCCCACGACACAGTTCCGGGGGAGAATCGTCTCGGTCTTGGACCCACTCTCCTCCGTCTTGGAGAACATCCGGGACAAGGCGTCCGCCTTGCCGTTCTTAGATCCAGGTCGGAACGTCAGGGAAAAATTGAATCGTCCGAAAAACAACGCCCACCTGGCCTGACGGGAGTTGAGACGTCTAGCCGATTGCACGTAAGCAAGATTCTTGTGGTCAGTCCAGACAATAAACGGTTGCTCCGCCCCCTCCAACCAGTGGCGCCACTCCTCCAAGGCAAGTTTCACCGCGAGAAGCTCCCGGTTACCCACATCGTAGTTCCTCTCCGCAGGCGAAAGACGACGAGAGTAGTAGGCGCAGGGATGGAGTTTACTGTCCGTGGAGCATCGCTGCGACAGAATGGCGCCAACTCCCACATCAGACGCGTCCACTTCAACGACGAACTGACGGGCCGTGTCCGGTTGAGAGAGAATCGGTGCGTTGGTGAATCGCCTCTTCAAATCCAGAAACGCTCGATCCGCCTCCGGATTCCACTTGAAGGTCCTGATACTGGAAGTCAAGGCAGTTAACGGAGCGGCCACACGGCTGTAATCCCGGATGAATCTGCGGTAGAAATTCGCAAACCCCAAAAATCTCTGGAGCTGCAATCTCGTACCGGGCTGGGCCCATTCCAGAACCGCTCTAACCTTCTCCTGGTCCATCCTAATCTCTCCCCTGGAGATGATGTACCCGAGGAAGGATGTCGTGTGGGCGTGAAACTCGCACTTCTCGGCCTTCACGAACAGGCGATTCTCCAACAATCGCTGCAGAACCTGTCGGACATGCTGGACGTGGTCGGAAGGTTCCTTCGAGAAGATCAGAATGTCATCCAGGTAAACAAACACAAAGAGACCGATCATATCTCTCAGGACGTCGTTCCCATACTCTGGAATACCGCTGGAGCATTGGTCAGTCCAAACGGCATCACCTGATACTCGAAGTGACCCATCGGTGTATTGAAACCCGTCAACCACTCGTCCCCCTCTCTGATCCGGACCATGTGATACGCATTGCGTAGGTCTAGTTTGGTGAACACCGTAGCACCCTGTAAGGAGTCGAAGGCAGAGCTCATCAAGGGCAGGGGATACTTGTTCTTGACCGTGATGTCATTCAACCCCCGATAATCAATACACGGTCGAAGAGAGCCATCCTTCTTACCCACAAAGAAGAATCCTGCCCCCAGGGGTGATGACGAGGGACGAACGAGACCAGCAGCTAGGGACTCCTTGATGTAGGTCTCCAAAGCCTCACGTTCAGGTCGGGAGATACTGTATAACCTTCCCTTGGGGTAGACAGCTCCAGGGAACAGGTTGATGGCACAATCATATGGTCGGTGGGGAGGGAGTGACAGAGCCTTCTGCTTACTGAACACTTCCCCCAAATCGTGATATGTCTCGGGAACCAGGGACAAATCTGGGGGTTTAGCCTCAATCACCTGACTGGGAACCGAATGGGGACAGGCAGTCTTGAGACAGTTAGCATGACACTCAAGGCTCCAACTCGTTACCTTGCCCGTCACCCAATCGAACGTGGGATTGTGTTCCTTCAGCCAGGGGTATCCAAGGACCAGAGGAACATGGGAAGACGGCAGAATGAAGAATGAAATCATCTCAGAATGATTCCCCGACAACAGCATCTTAACCGGTTCAGTCCTCATCGTGATACGTGCCAGACTACTGCCGTTCAGAGTGGTAGCTTCAATGGCTTCCGGCAATTGCTCTTTGGAAAGCCCCAGCTGTTCCACCAACTCGGCATCAAGAAAGCTTCCATCGGCACCTGAATCGATAAAAGCGTTAATCGCTAAGCTCTGATTCCTGTTCATAAGGGTAGCCGGGAAACGGGGTCTGACAGAGGTATTGAGAGGTCGAAACTGGCTCGCTAAAAGTCCTCCCAACTTTAGCGAGCCGCGCAGTTTGACGACCGCCGGGAACAAGTGGCGAGGTAATGTCCCGAACCACCACAGTAGAGGCAACAGTTAGTCCTACGTCTGTGTTGGCGCTCCTCCTTGGTTAACCCGTGCCGCCCCACTTGCATGGGTTCAGAATCGGGAGACAGGACCTCTCCACTAATCCTGTGTGGTGGACGATGATCGACGTATTCTGGTCCAATCCCCGACCCGACTGGAACCTGAGACGCTGATCGGTTGGACGGGGCCCATTGCTTCTCCCTCCTTCGCTCTCGGACTCGATTATCCACCCGAATAGACAAGGCTACCAAGCTGTCCAGGTCACTAGGCTCCGGATAGGAGATCAACTCATCCTTGAGCTGCTCCGACAGACCCTGGTAAAAGGCCGCTTGCAGAGACTCCTCATTCCACCCACTCTCCACAGCCAACGTCTTGAACTCGATCACGAAGTCGGCCACGCTGCGAGTTCCTTGGCGAAGCGAAAACAGGCGCCTAGCTGCGTCCCTCCCTCGGACGGAATGGTCGAAGAGCTTCCTCATCTCGGCCGTGAACCCCTGGTATGAAGCCATGCAGGGGTCCTGTCGTTCCCAAACGGCTGAAGCCCACTCCAGCGCTCGACCACGCAGCAACTCAATCACAAAGGCTATCCTAGCCTTGTCTGTGGCATAAGAGTAGGGCTGTAGATCGAACACTAACCCACACTGCATAAGGAAAGAACGGCATCTTCCCAGCTCCCCCTCATATTTATCCGGCGTCGGAACCTTGGGCTCACGGAACGACACAGCTCCAGAAGCGGCAGGCGAGATGGGTGAAACCGGTAGTGGATTCTCCACCGGAAACTTGCGCTGGTTCTGGACCTCCGTCAGACCGGTAGAAAGGTTCCGAACTGACAACGCGATCTCCTGTAGTACCGTGCTATGATGGCCCAACATCTTCTCCTGATGGGTAATGGCATGGCGAACAGAATCCAGGTCCGCTGGGTTCATTACGGGCCGGATCGTTCTGTCACGGTTTTCAAAGCCAGAACCCAGAAGCAGACCAGGACAAGGTAAGTTGAAACAAAGGTGAGTGTTTATTTAACAGATCCACGAGTGAGGCTGAATAATCCAGGGAACAGAGCGGGCGGCGTGGATGGGTTGTTGAGGGTGCAGTGGTAGGTCCAATAATGGCTCGGCAGCCGCCGACCATCAGGCAGAGGTTGGGTGAAGGTTCCGGACGAGTGACTGCAGATGGAACAAAACGGAGGTAAGTACACAACAAGCAAACAAGGTGCAAAACAACAAAACTAACGCTATATGCTCTAAGGCTGATCCACTGATAAACATACTGTTCATGGCTAACGATCCGGCAGGGAATGGATGTTAGGACAGAGCCTAAGAAGGGTGATGATCAGGACCAGGTGTGCAGATTGCTGATGGGATGCAGGTGCGGAAATCAAGAGAGCTCCCGCCTAGCAACGTTGCCCGGCAACCAGGCAGGGAGCGTTCCAGAACCCTCGGGAAACTGGAGATCCCGAGCAGAAAACTAGTAACCTAGACAGGAACCGACTCAGACTGCAGGGTTCGTTACATACGGAGCTGTGAGGGGAACGGCACCTCCGTACCTTCAGGCTCTGATCGGTCCCTACACCCAAACGAGGGCATTGCGTTCATCCACCTCTGGCCTGCTGGCCCCCCTACCTCTGCGGAAGCACAGTTCCCGCTCAGCCCTTGTCAAAACTGTTCGCTGCTCTGGCACCCCAATGGTGGAACAAGCTCCCTCACGACGCCAGGACAGCGGAGTCACTCACCACCTTCCGGAGACACTTGAAACCCCACCTCTTTAAGGAATACCTGGGATAGGATAAAGTAATCCTTCTACCCCCCCCCCCCCCCCCCCAAAAAAAATAAAAAAAATAAACATATTGTAAAGTGGTTATCCCACTGGCTATAAGGTGAATGCACCAATTTATAAGTTGCTCTGGATAAGAGCGTCTGCTAAATGACGTAAATGTAAATACCTGGACACGGACCCTTTCACCTTTCGTCTGCAGTCGCTAGCCAAGCATGGGAATAGCAGATTTTCTCATTCCAAAAAACAAAGTAACGTTTATCTCCTCAAATGATCTTTCTGTAGACTCTGCTGTTCGAAAAAGCACAGGCTAGCATCTGGACTTGTTTCGGGAGAATGAGATCAAATACGTTCATCACAAAGAAGAGAGGGGGAGGGAGGGAGAGACAGGGTTCGTACGGTCATGAAAATACTGGAAAAGTCATTGAATTTTAAAATGGTGTTTTCCAGGCCTGGTGTATCCAGGTGTTTCCACCGACACTTGCGAATAAGGCCGTACAAAATTGATTAACTTTTTTGAACGATTCATATGATTAATTTAAACAATTATTTTTGATGAAACGAACGATTCACTTTGCTATTCTATTAGTTGGGATCCAGTTAAATCGTGGTGAGTCGAATCATGTGAATCAAAATAATAATTATTGAATCGTGAACATTAATTTTAGGAAAAAATATTAGATTTAGCCTTTCTTTTGGATTATGTGGCTTCAAAACTTGTTTTATAGATATTTCCAGTTGATTTTGGCATCCAATGTATGGGACATTGCAACTCCATAGATGTTAGTCAGCCTGCAAAGTAAACACTTCTAAGGTAGCTAAGATAAATATTTGAAAAAGAAAAGGCGAGCCGCACACTCTAGAAGCTCAGATGCAATAAATTAATAACAATGTTTTGACAGCCAAGATGTCTTCATCAGGGTATAGGCTAAGATAAATATGACTAAACTAGAAAAGGTTAATTTCCTGAAGAAAATGTGTGTGCTTGCTTCAGCAGAATAAAATCATTTGTAGCTTACCATAGCCATTTGATCTTTGATATATTGAATGAGCAAATTATTTAAGAAGGCATAAAATGTATTTGATTGTAATGTTGCAACGTTTTACATCAAGGGTGGTCAATCATCCTCCAGGAGAGCTAATGAGTGTGCATGCTTTTATTCCAGTCCCCCTCTAACAAACCACATTTAATAAATGAGCTGGTCAACCGGACCTTGGTAAACTAGCTCTGATGTGTTTGAGCAGGGCTTGATGAAAAGCCTGCAGAACCTGTAGTTCTCCAGACTGAGGGTTGACCACATGTCTTTTAAACAGTTGCCTAACAGGTATTCTACTTTGTGGGTGGTTAAGTGCCTTGCTCAACGACAGGAGGTGGTACATGGGATCAGAGCGCAGCCACCCATAGTGTCGATACCACATTACGCTTACTTTTTTATACGTACATAGAGACGCTGCCAATTGTTGGTCATGGAAATTTGGTTAAAAGTCATGGAATTCCATCTTTCAAAATGTGTATGAACCCTGGAGAGAGGGAGGGAGAGACCGGGAGGGGAGAAAGAAAGAGAGATGGGAGGAGGTACTGAGCAGAGAAGGCGGATGGGGGCTCGGGGGGACCAATTACAGAGGCTGTGCTGTTCTTTTGTTGCAGGTACGCTGGTCTGTACCAGGGTCGCCAAGGTTGCTGTCCACCCCAGGGCTCTGCTTGATCTCCGGGACAGAACACAAGCCTTCAGACGCGAGACCAAACACAACTTCTTGAAGGAGGCGCATTGGCTTGGCAATGAGGGCAGGGCGGGGAGCGAGCGTCACATTCACCCAGTAGGTCACAAACCCTCTACAACCCCTTTATGAACCCTCTACGACCCTTTGACTTGGCTGTGCAAGTAACATTTTTAATTGGTCGCATCGGTGCGAGCTGCAAATTCTAGTATGCTTAATTCCAAAAAGCTGAGTTACTGTATCTCGATACAGGTGCATGGGAATAATGTGATTACTTCAAAGAAAAGAGAAATCCGCACACTGCTTTTGCTGGCATCATACATTTTATTAAAGCTTTCGTGTCGGCCTCTTGGCCTTCGTCAGAGCTTTGAGCTTTAATAAGTGACACAAGCAAGAGCAGTGTGCAGGTTTGTCTTTTCTTTGAAATACTTTTGCTGCAACTTTTTTTAGGACATTATATGTACTGTTAGTTTTATTAATTACACAATGGTGAATTAGCCCCAAATGAATTAGTCTATGTCATATTGGTACACAAAAGTGATTAAGCAAATGAATCTCTATTGAACAAAAGGAATATGCAATTCTGGAGCCTTATTTTGAGAGTAAAATATAGCAACAATAGCCTAATTGTCAACCCAAAATGTATGACAATCACTTTTTTAGATTGCACACAGAAATATCTTGATCCTGCTTGGACTTGTTAGATTAAACGTATTTCTTGAAACATACCATCTATGTAGCACTGTGAATTACTTTATGAGATGATTGCAAAAAAAATCGATTTTATGATGCCTCAACAACATTATGGTGCGACCAAATCATGACCTGGTGCCACCAACTGAAAATGTTAGTGGCCCTGCTCTATTACCCCTCCACAAACCCTCTCTTTTTCTCTTTTAATATGATCGACTGGCCTCATAAATAAACCAGTCTACAACAATATCCCGGAGCTGAATGTCTCTCTCTCTTCCCTCACTTTCTTACGATATCGGATTTTAATGTCCAAACATTGTTCAAGTTATGTAGGTCTGTGTAATCATTGTCAGTGCTCGAGACAAGTGTTGATCTTACATGTCAGCTAGGCTTTTACTTTTTGTCTCTGTACAGAAATCGAACTCAGAAGAGAAATTGGAATCTCATTTTAAAGCCATTGTACAAGAAATGGAGGACTATTTGTGTCCAATCCTCTCTCAATTTGACTTCTCATGCTTCAGGTAAGTCAGTACAGGTCCGGATATTGTCCTGTTTTGTACAACTGTCATTTTAGGGTAAAACAATTTTATACATTTTTCTTAGCTGTACTGGGAGGTCAAAAACAGTTCTGTTTATTGCCGAACCTAAACTTAACCCAACCCCTTACCCTAACGTTAACCAATTGGGATTACTTACTGTACCTAAACGTGACCAACCTCTTTTCTTGGCTAAACCACTCAACCAATGACATTGTTTCTGCCCTTGAGGCAGAGCTGCCCTGGGAACAAGATTGAATAAGGAAAACTCCAATGCAGTTGATTTTATCTACAGTTCATCATAGAGCTGGGCGATATGGGCAAAAATCCATATTGCAATGAATTGCCTGAATTGATGCGATAACGATGAATAGAACGATAAGACAATAACATTAATGTGCACCACAGATTATTTGTTATTATCCTTTAAACTACTACTAGTAATTTGATGGTAGCCATCAATTGTCATATTAACCCATATTAGCAAACTTATTTCATTTCTAGTATACAGTGAGGGAAAAAAAATGTTGATCCCCTGCTGATTTTGTACGTTTGCCCACTGACAAAGAACTTATCAGTCTATAATTTTAATGGTATGTTTATTTGAACAGTGAGAGACAGAATAACAACAAAAAAATGCAGAAAAACGCATCAAAAATGTTATAAATTGATTTGCATTTTAATGAAGGAATTAAGTATTTGACCCCCTCTCAATCAGAAAGATTTCTGGCTCCCAGGTGTCTTTTATACTGGTAACGAGCTGAGATTAGGAGCACACTCTTAAAGGGAGTGCTCCTAATCTCAGTTTGTTACCTGTATAAAAGACACTTGTCCACAGAAGCAATCAATCAATCAGATTCCAAACTCTCCACCATGGCCAAGACCAAAGAGCTCTCCAAGGATGTCAGGGACAAGATTGTAGACCTACACAAGGCTGGAATGGGCTACAAGACCATCGCCAAGCAGCTTGGTGAGAAGGTGACAACAGTTGGTGCGATTATTCGCAAATGGAAGAAACACAAAATAACTGTCAATCTCCCTCGGCCTGGGGCTCCATGCAAGATCTCACCTCGTGGAGTTGCAATGATCATGAGAACGGTGAGGAATCAGCCCAGAACTACACGGGAGGATCTTGTCAATGATCTCAAGGCAGCTGGGACCAAAGTCACCAAGAAAACAATTGGTAACACACTACGCCGTGAAGGACTGAAATCCTGCAGCACCCGCAAGGTCCCCCTGCTCAAGAAAGTACATATGCATGCCCGTCTGAAGTTTGCCAGTGAACATCTGAATGATTCAGAGGAGAACTGGGTGAAAGTGTTGTGGTCAGATGAGACCAAAATGGAGCTCTTTGGCATCAACCCAATCATTACATTTTAGTAATTTAGCAGACGCTCTTATCCAGAGCGACTTACAGTTAGTGAGGGCATACATTATTATTTTTTTGATTTTCTTTTTTATACTGGCCCCCCGTGGGAATCGAACCCACAACCCTGGCGTTGCAAACGCCATGCTCTACCAACTGAGCTACCTCCCTGCCAGCCATTCCCTCCCCTACCCTGGACGACGCTGGGCCAATTGTGCGCCGCCCCATGGGTCTCCCGGTCGCGGCCAGCTATGACAGCGCCTGGATTCAAACCAGGATCTCTAGTGGCACAGCTAGCACTGCGATGCAGTGCCTTAGACCACTGCGCCATCTCGGGAGACAACCCAACTCGCCGTGTTTGGAGGAGGAGGAATGCTGCCTATGATCCCAAGAACACCATCCCCACCGTCAAACATGGAGGTGAAAACATTATGCTTTGGGGGTGTTTTTCTGCTAAGGGGACAGGACAACTTCACCGCATCAAAGGGACGATGGACGGGGCCATGTACCGTCAAATCTTGGGTGAGAACCTCCTTCCCTCAGCCAGGGCATTGAAAATGGGTCGTGGATGGGTATTCCAGCATGACAATGACCCAAAACACACGGCCAAGGCAACAAAGGAGTGGCTCAAGAAGAAGCACATTAAGGTCCTTGAGTGGCCTAGCCAGTCTCCAGACCTTAATCCCATAGAAAATCTGTGGAGGGAGCTGAAGGTTCGAGTTGCCAAACGTCAGGCTCGAAACCTTAATGACTTGGAGAAGATCTGCAAAGAGGAGTGGGACAAAATCCCTCCTGAGATGTGTGCAAACCTGGTGGCCAACTACAAGAAATGTCTGACCTCTGTGATTGCCAACAAGGGGTTTGCCACCAAGTACTAAGTCATGTTTTGCAGAGGGGTCAAATACTTATTTCCCTCATTAAAATGCAAATTCATTTTTTCGATTGTTATTCTGTCTCTCACTGTTCAAATAAACCTACCATTAAGATTATAGACTGATCATTTCTTTGTCAGTGGGCAAACGTACAAAATCAGCAGGGGATCAAATACTTTTTTCCCTCACTGTAGGCTATGATCGGTATGGTCAGTGGCGATTATTTTCTGTTTACCTTCCCAGCTCTAGTTCATCATGTCTGACTTATTCATTTGTTGTATCAGCTAGACATTGCAAGATATTAAAATGAGTTTTTGTGTCGGTGTGGCCTGTGATCTTTCTCTCTCTCTCTCTCTCTCTCTCTCTCTGTGTGTGTTTGGTTTTACTATCCTTATGGGGACCAGAAGTCCTCACAAGGATAGTAAAACAAGGGACATTTTGACAAGTGGGGACATTTCGCCAGTCCCCACAAGAAAAAAGGCTATTTTTGGTACAGTGCCTTGCAAAAGTATTCATCCCCCTTGGCGTTTTTCCTATTTTGTTGCATTACAACTTGTAATTTAAATTGATTTTTATTTGGATTTAATGGACAAAATAGTCCAAATTGGTGAGGTGAAATATTTAAAAAAAACTTGTTTCAAAACATTCTAAAAAATTAATAAAGGAAAAGTGGTGTGTGCATATGTATTCACCCCCTTTGCTATGAAGCCCCTAAATAAGATCTGGTGCAACCAATTACCTTCAGAAGTCACATAATTAGTTAGATTGCACACAGGTGGACTTTATTTAAGTGTCACATAATCTCAGTATATATACACCTGTTCTGAAAGGCCCCAGAGTCTGCAACACCACTAAGCAAGGGGCACCACCAAGCAAGCGGAACCATGAAGACCAAGGAGCTCTCCAAACAGGTCAGGGACAAAGTTATGGAGAAGTACAGATCAGGGTTGGGTTATAGAAAAATATCTGAAACTTTGAACATCCCACGGAGCACCATTAAATCAATTATTACAAAAATTGAAAGAATATGGCACCACAACAAACCTGCCAAGAGAGGGCCGCCCACCAAAACTCACGGACCAGGCAAGGAGGGCATTAATCAGAGAGGCACCAAAGAGACCAAAGATAACCCTGAAGGAGCTGCAAAGCTCCACAGCGGAGATTAGAGTATCTGCCCATAGGACCACTTTAAGCCGTACACTCCTCAAAGCTGGGCTTTATGGAAGAGTGGCCAGAAAAAAGCCATTGCTTGAAGAACAAAATAAGCAAACACAAAAGGCATGTGGGAGACTCCCCAAACATATGGAAGAAGGTACTCTGATCAGATGAGACTAAAATTGAGCTTTTTGGCCATCAAGGAAAACGCTATGTCTGGCGCAAACCCAACACCTCTCATCACCCCGAGAACACCATCCCCACAGGGAAGCATGGTGGTGGCAGCATCATGCTGTGGGGATGTTTTTCATCGGCAGGGACTGTGAAACTGGTCAGCATTGAAGGAATGATGGATGGCGCTAAATGCAGGGAAATCCTTGCAGGAAACCTGTTTCAGTCTTCCAGAGATTTGAGGCTGGGACGGAGTTTCACCTTCCAGCAGGACAATGACCCTAAGCATACTGCTAAAGCAACACTTGAGTGGTTTAAGGGGAAACATTTAAATGTCTTGGAAGGGCCTAGTCAAAGCCCAGACCTCAATCCAATTGAGAATATGTGGTATGACTTAAAGATTGCTGTACATCAGCGGAACCCATCAGACTTGAAGGAGCTGGAGCAGTTTTGCCTTGAAGAATGGGCAAAAATCTCAGTGGCTAGATGTTTTTTATTTTTTATTTAACCTTTTTTTAACCAGGTAAGCCAGTTGAGAACAAGTTCTCATTTACAACTGCGACCTGGCCAAGATAAAGCAAATCAGTGCGATAAAAACAACAACACAGAGTTACATATGGGGTAAAACAAAACATAAAGTCAAAAATACAACAGAAAATATATATACAGTGTGTGCAAATGTAGCAAGTTATGGAGGTAAGGCAATAAATAGGCTATAGTGCAAAATAATTACAATTAGTATTAACACTGGAATGATAGATGTGCAAGAGATGATGTGCAAATAGAGATACTGGGGTACAAATGAGCAAAATAAATAACAATATAGGGATGAGGTAGTTGGGCGGGCTAGTTTCAGATGGGCTGTGTACAGGTGCAGTGATCGGTAAGGTGCTCTGACAACTGATGCTTAAAGTTAGTGAGGGAGATAAGTGTCTCCAGCTTCAGAGATTTTTGCAATTTGTTCCAGTCATTGGCAGCAGAGAACTGGAAGGAATGGCAGCCAAAGGAGGTGTTTGCTTTGGGGATGACCAGTGAGATATACCTGCTGGAGCGCATACTACGGGTGGGTGTTGCTATGGTGACCAATGAGCTAAGATAAGGCAGGGATTTGCCTAGAAGTGATTTATAGATGGCCTGGAGCCAGTGGGTTTGGCGACGAATATGTAGTGAGGACCAGCCAACAAGAGCGTACAGGTCACAGTGGTGGGTAGTATATGGGGCTTTGGAGACAAAACGGATGGCACTGTGATAGACTACATCCAATTTGCTGAGTAGAGTGTTGGAGGCTATTTTGTAAATGACATCGCCGAAGTCAAGGATCGGTAGGATAGTCAGTTTTACGAGGGCATGTTTGGCAGCATGAGTGAAGGAGGCTTTGTTGCGAAATAGGAAACCGATTCTAGATTTAACTTTGGATTGGAGATTCTTAATGTGAGTCTGGAAGGAGAGTTTACAGTCTAACCAGACACCTAGGTATTTGTAGTTGTCCACATACTCTAGGTCAGACCCGTCGAGAGTAGTGATTTTAGTCGGGTGGGCGGGTGCAAGCAGCATTCGGTTGAAGAGCATGCATTTAGTTTTACTAGTGTTTAAGAGCAGTTGGAGGCTACAGAAGGAGTGTTGTATGGCATTGAAGCTCGTTTGGAGGTTTGTTAACACAGAGTCCAATGAAGGGCCAGATGTATACAAAATGGTGTCGTCTGCGTAGAGGTGGATCTGAGAGTCACCAGCAGCAAGAGCGACATCATTGATATACACGGAGAAAAGAGTCGGCCCAAGAATTGAACCCTGTGGCACCCCCATAGAGACTGCCATAGGTCCACACAACAGGCCCTCCGATTTGACACATTGAACTCTATCTGAGAAGTAGTGGGTGAACCAGGCGAGGCAGTCATTTGAGAAACCAAGGCTATTTAGTCTGCCAATAAGAATGCGGTGGTTGACAGAGTCGAAAGCCTTGGCCAGATCGATGAAGACGGCTGCACAGTACTGTCTATTACCGATTGCGGTTATAATATCGTTTAGGACCTTGATCGTGGCTGAAGTGCACCCATGACCAGCTCGGAAACCGGATTGCATAGCGGAGAAGGTACGGTGGGATTCGAAATGGTCAGTGATCTGTTTGTTAACTTGGCTTTCAAAAACTTTCGAAAGGCAGGGCAGGATGGATATGGGTCTGTAACAGTTTGGATCTAGAGTGTCACCCCCTTTGAAGAGGGGGATGACCGCGGCAGCTTTCCAATCTCTGGGGATCTCAGACGTTACGAAAGAGAGGTTGAACAGGCAAGTAATAGGGGTTGCGACAATTTCGGCGGCTAGTTTTAGAAAGAAAGGGTCCAGATTGTCTAGCCCAGATGATTTGTAGGGGTCCAGATTTTACAGCTCTTTCAGAACACCAGCTGTCTGGATTTGTGTGAAGGAGAAGCGGGGGGGGCTTGGGCAAGTTGCAGCGGAGGGTGCAGAGCTGGTGGCCGGGGTAGTGGTAGCCAGGTGGAAAGCATGGCCAGCCGTAGCAAAATGCTTGTTGAAATTCTCGATTATTGTAGATTTATCGGTGGTGATAGTGTTTCCTAGCCTCAGTGCAGTGGGCAGCTGGGAGGAAGTGCTCTTATTCTCCATGGACTTTACAGTGTCACAAAACTTTTTGGAGTTAGTGCTACAGGATGCAAATTTCTGTTTGAAAAAGTTAGCCTTTGCTTTCCTAACTGCTTGTGTATATTGGTTCCTAACTTCCCTGAAAAGTTGCATATCGCGGGGGCTATTTGATGCTAATGCAGTACACCACAGGATGTTTTTGTGCTGGTCAAGGGCAGTCAAGTCTGAGGAGAACCAGGGGCTATATCTGTTCTTAGTTCTGTATTTTTTGAATGGGGCATGTTTATTTAAGATTGAGAGGAAATTACTTTTAAAGAACAACCAGGCATCCTCTACTGACGGAATGAGATCTATATCCATCCAGGATACCTGGGCCAGGTCAATTAGGAAGGCCTGCTCGCTGAAGTGTTTTTGGGAGCGTTTGACAGTGATGAGGGGTGGTCGTTTGACCGCGGACCCGTTACGGACGCAGGCAATAAGGCAGTGATCGCTGAGATCCTGGTTGAAGACAGCGGAGGTGTATTTAGAGGGTAAGTTAGTCAGGATGATATCTATGAGGGTACCCATGTTTACGGATTTAGGGTTGTACCTGGTAGGTTCGTTGATAATTTGTGTGAGATTGAGGGCATCTAGTTTAGATTGTAGGATGGCAGGGGTGTTAAGCATATCCCAATTTAGGTCACCAAGCAGTACGAACTCTGAGGATAGATGGGGGGCAACCAATTCACATGTGGGCCAGGGCACAGCTGAGGGCTGAGGGGGGTCTGTAGCAAGCGGCAACAGTGAGAGATTTATTTCTGGAAAGGTGGATTTTTAGAAGTAGGAGCTCAAACTGTTTGGGCACAGACCTGGATAGTATGATAGAGATGTGACAATCTTATAGAGACATACCCAAGAGACTTGCAGCTGTATTTCCTGCAAAAGGTGGCTCTACAAAGTATTGACTTTGGGGGGGTGAATAGTTAGTTTTCAGTTTTTTTGTATTTCTTGTTTGTTTCACAAGAAAATATAGGTAGGCATGTTGTGTAAATCAAATGATACAACCCCCCCAAAAATCTATTTTAATTCCAGGTTGTAAGGCAACAAAATACAAAACATGCCAAGGGGGGTGAATACTTTATAGAGGCTATGTTTAGGGTTAGATTTACAATTAGGGTTAAGGTTAAAATTAAGGTTAGGTTTAGGGGTTTAGGGTTAAGGATAGGGTTAGGTTAAGGGATAGGCTTGGGCGGTATATCGTATTCTGTATACCGTATACCGGAGTATTTGGAAAAAGCCACAGGAGGGTTTTTCAATACCGTCAAAACAGTTTCTTTGAAGTTTTTCAATAAATGTGAATATTTATAGCTACTTTTTAAATTAATACCAGCAGTCAACATGTGCAATACGTTAGGAGATAAAGCAGATAGCGTTCTTCATTTCACCTGTCACATTATTTTACATTATGAAGCCTACCGTAGTTCCCCAGAACAGTTGAGCCAGTCACTTGTTTGTTTTTAAATAGGAGAAAGCAGGAACTGGTGAGCCCATAGCGTTCTATATCTATCGGCCAGTCTCTGTTGTGCGGCGCACATGAGGTGATGAAGTTAGTCTTATGCATTTCAGTACTAAATGTTTGCCATCAGATATCTTATAACGGCTTTCTGCTGTGTTTGAGAAGTCAAAGAGCCCTCTGAATAATTTATCTGTACTGCTGCCATTTTTTCCCTGTGCTTCCTACTAGCGTTTTTTTTCCTCCTCCATTCTTCTCCCCTCTACTCCGTGTACAGATGCTGCTCTTCCTTTAGAAAAGCATGCATCACAACTGTGTTCATTTGCACTATTTCTCCCATTCACTTTCGCTTGTAAATGTCCACGCTCCCGAAAAATTATATTCGGTAGCTACTAGTTATGCTTGTATAACTTTATGAGGTGGATTTGCCTGTCTTTGCATTGAGTTCATTTTAGTTTTCACTCGTTAGCATTTAGCTAACAGCATCTACGTGATTTCGCTATTACTTGTGCTAAATTTGTTAGCATTCTGGTAATAGAGGCCCAATGGACTTTTCTGCCATTTTTAACGGCCTCTTGTGTGCTATGCCGGTAATACCGTAAATCCCGGGATGGCAGAATAACGGTATGAAAATCTGGATACTGCCCAAGCCTAGTTAGGGAAAATAGGATTTTGAATTGTAATCAATTGTTTGGTCCCCACAAGGATAGTAAAACAAATGTGTGTGTATCAGTGGAGGCTGGTGGGAAGAGCTATAGGAGGATGGGCTCGTTGTAATGGCTGAAATGGAATTTATGGAACGGAGTCAAATGTGGTTTCCGTATGTTTGATACCATTCCATTTATTCCATTCCAGCCATTACAATGAGCCCGTCCTCCTATAGCTCCTCCTACCAGCCTCCAGTGGTGTGTATGTTTGTGTGTGTGAGCGCATGCGGAAGCGCGTGTGGGAGTGAGTTTCTTTTTGCATGTATGTGTCCGCATGCGTTAGTCTGTCTATTTGTCGAGCTAGGTGTCAGCTGTCACGTTCCTCTGTATCCTCCGCCTCCTCATGCTTCTCTGGGCCTTATTGATTAATGTTCTCATGTCTGGATCAGGTCCCCACTGTATCCCTCCTGATCCTCCCTGTCCTTATCTACTTCACTCAGGCACCAGACGCCATCAATTTCCATCCCGGAGTCCACCCGGACCAAAGAAAAGGAGGAGAAAGCAGGCCCAGATAAAGGTCTAGCGGGTGCGTGTTGCTCGTCCCAAAAACCTGATAGGCAGTAGAGGATATATACAGTGAATGGACGCCCCCATCTCCCATGTCTTTCATTTCTGTTATACCAGTTTGTTTATTGACCAAATTATGTACAGTGGAGCCACATCAGCATGTTTTTACATGAAAGGCAAATGGAATTGAATTCCCTAAATACAATACTAACTGAAATATATATGATGTTCAAATATTTACACTAGTGCGAGATACAGTACAGCTATAGTATATGTAATGGAACATATAATTTACCAAATAGCCAACTGGACCTGGGCTTAAGAGACCCATTTCAGATGGTGATTTATACTTTGGATTTCCCCTCGCACCATTACATGTATAAGTATACACTGAGTGTACAAAACATTAGGAACACCTTCCTAATATTGAGTTGCTCTTAGGGCTGTGGTGGTCATGACATTTTTTCAGCCAGTGGTTGTCAAGCAAATAACTGCCAGTCTCACGGTAATTGACCGTTAATTAACATAAAATAAAATTTATATAAACACATTTAGCATCTCCTGGCTTGCACACATAGCCTACAAGCCACTGATGCAGACCTTTGGAACAGTTACATTAAATAAATATATATATATATATATATATATATATATATATATATATATATATATATATATAATAAATCCATTGCCTACACCTTCACAATAAATCCATTACGTATTTTAGACGGATCTGAAGATATTTCAGAAGAGCAGAATAGCATACTCCTTGTCCTTATGTTAGGCCCTGATCTGGCTATGCCATATGGCTGTGGGCTACACTAGTTCATTTAGCAGACAAGATTTGCTTGGAATTCCGTGGCATTATTTTATAGTATGTAGTATGAAGAATGCAATTGAACATAGCTGAATAAATTCTGTGTTGACCGGTTAACAAATATATCCTGAATTTAGAGTTATTTATGCAAATGTAGTTGTGATCAAAACATATAGCCCAACGTTTGTATTTTTAATAAGTTGCATGAAAGGCATGAGCTCTGCTTTGTTATTTGCGCAGGTTGTACACATTTAATCTGTGTCTTATTCACAACACTTGATAATGCCTCGAATTTCCCAGCGGCATACCCTTTGTGTGGCCATAATGCCACCTAAAAACAACCATGCCTTTTGCGGCCGTTATGCCCTTGGGCTGAATAGAATAATTATAATTCCCTTATCCCGGCTGCGTGCTCCGAAGCACCTCTCACTCACATGGGTCTCTCAGATAGCTCAATTCTTATTAGCCAATGCCCGTCACGTGATCAGCTCTTTCTCACAGGCTTTTCGTCAGCCAACAAGATGAGTACATTTTTACATTTTAGTCATTTAGCAGACACTCTTATCCAGAGCGACTTACAGGAGCAATTAGGGTTAAGTGCCTTGCTTAAGGGCACATCGACAGATTTTTCACCTAGTCGGCTCGGGGATTAGAACCAGCGACCTTTCGGTTACTGGCACAACGCTCTTACCCACTAAGCTACCTGCTGCCTAACGAACAGTAGGCCTAACGAACAGCAAAAGCACTAGCCTATCAACTTTTGTACTATGGGGGATAGTAGATTGACATAGGCTGCTATGTCAATCTACTATCTCCCATAGTACAAAAGTTGACCTATTCTGTGCGAGAAATAAATATTCCAAAAATAGTCTGGGACAGTTGTGGGATGCGATAGATCTCAAATGAATACAGTATAACCACTAGCATCCCTCCAAAAATGTAAGCAATGAGGCTGATGCAACAGATCAGAACGTTTAGCTTAGAATGTTGATAAACTATTAGGCTTTTTCTTCACATTATAAGCGCAGCAATGTGCACACGGCAGTAGGCTATAAGCACGAATGTTCCAAAATGCAATCAATTAGCGGGAAAACACCATTTTCAAAAGTGACCGCTAATGCGATTATGCATGTAATGCCTTTATTATAAAGGTACATTTTTATGGTGAAAATTATCTTCCCCAAACTTGAAACTTACGCGCTGTGTATGTATGCCAGTTAGGCTGTACACTGTTGTAAAGTGAATGAATGTGCTTAAATTTAAGAAGTTATTTGGCCACTTTAGTTGTGATATAAACCTTATCAAAACATATAGGCCTATGGGCTAGGCTACATGAGGTGTGCGACTATGATTTGAAAAAGTTGCACAAAAAAAAGCATGCGCTGTTTCATGCCTTACTGCACACAAGCTGGGCATCACTCACAAGTGATAATATATCATTCACAAGTGAGTTAGCAAGTTTGGTAGGCTACTAATGACCATCAGCAGCATCAGAGCTTGGAGAAGCCTAATTACAGTAACTAAACGGTCACGTGGAATTTGACTGCCATCATGACTCGTGATTGCCGGTGTGGCGGTAATACGGTCACCGTAACAGCCCTAGTTGCACCCCCTTTTGCCCTCAGAACAGCCTCAATTCGTCTACAAGGTGTTGAAAGCGTACCACAGGGATGCTGGCCCATGTTGACGCCAATGCTTCCCACAGTTGTGTCAAGTTGGCTGGATGTCTTTTGGGTGTTGACCATTCTTGATACACACGTTAAACTGTTGAGTGTGAAAAACCCAGCAGCGTTGCAGTTCTTGACACACTCAAACCGGTGTGTCTGGCACCTACTACCATAACCCGTTCAAAGGCACTTACATTTTTCGTCTTGCCCATTTACCCTCTGAATGGCACAAACACAATCCATGTCTCAATTGTCTCAAGGCTTAAAAATCCTTCTTTAACCCGTCTCCTCCCCTTCATCTACACTGCTTGAAGTGGATTTAACAAGTGACATCAATAAGGGATCATAGCTTTCACATGGATTCACCTGGTCAGTCTATGTCATGGAAAGAGCAGGTGTTTCTAATGTTTTGTATAAAGTACAGTGGGGAAAAAAAGTATTTAGTCAGCCACCAATTGTGCAAGTTCTCCCACTTAAAAAGATGAGAGAGGCCTGTAATTTTCATCATAGGTATATGTCAACTATGACAGACAAAATGAGAAAAAAAAATCCAGAAAATCACATTGTAGGATTTTTAATGAATTTATTTGCAAATTATGGTGGAAAATAAGTATTTGGTCACCTACAAACAAGCAAGATTTCTGGCTCTCACAGACCTGTAACTTCTTCTTTAAGAGGCTCCTCTGTCCTCCACTCGTTACCTGTATTAATGGCACCTGTTTGAACTTGTTATCAGTATAAAAGACACCTGTCCACAACCTCAAACAGTCACACTCCAAACTCCACTATGGCCAAGACCAAAGAGCTGTCAAAGGACACCAGAAACAAAATTGTAGACCTGTACCAGGCTGGGAAGACTGAATCTGCAATAGGTAAGCAGCTTGGTTTGAAGAAATCAACTGTGGGAGCAATTATTAGGAAATGGAAGACATACAAGACCACTGATAATCTCCCTCGATCTGGGGCTCCACGCAAGATCTCACCCTGTGGGGTCAAAATGATCACAAGAACGGTGAGCAAAAATCCCAGAACCACACGAGGGGACCTAAGGAATGACTTGCAGAGAGCTGGGACCAAAGTAACAAAGCCTACCATCAGTAACACACTACGCCGCCAGGGACTCAAATCCTGCAGTGCCAGGCGTGTCCCCCTGCTTAAGCCAGTACATGTCCAGGCCCGTCTGAAGTTTGCTAGAGTGCATTTGGATGATCCAGAAGAGGATTGGGAGAATGTCATATGGTCAGATGAAACCAAAATAGAACTTTTTGGTAAAAACTCAACTCGTCGTGTTTGGAGGACAAAGAATGCTGAGTTGCATCCAAAGAACACCATACCTACTGTGTAGCATGGGGGTGGAAACATCATGCTTTGGGGCTGTTTTTCTGCAAAGGGACCAGGACGACTGATCCGTGTAAAGGAAAGAATGAATGGGGCCATGTATCGTGAGATTTTGAGTGAAAACCTCCTTCCATCAGCAAGGGCATTGAAGATGAAACGTGGCTGGGTCTTTCAGCATGACAATGATCCCAAACACACCGCCCGGGCAACGAAGGAGTGGCTTCGTAAGAAGCATTTCAAGGTCCTGGAGTGGCCTAGCCAGTCTCCAGATCTCAACCCCATAGAAAATCTTTGGAGGGAGTTGAAAGTCAGTGTTGCCCAGCGACAGCCCCAAAACATCACTGCTGTAGAGGAGATCTGCATGGAGGAATGAGCCAAAATACCAGCAACAGTGTGTGAAAACCTTACAGAAAACGTTTGACCTGTGTCATTGCCAACAAAGGGTATATAACAAAGTATTGAGAAACTTTTGTTATTGACCAAATACTTATTTTCCACCATCATTTGCAAATAAATTCATAAAAAATCCTACAATGTGATTTTCGGGATTTTCTTTCCTCATTTTGTCTGTCATAGTTGACGTGTACCTATGATGAAAATTACAGGCCTCTCTCATCTTTTTAAGTGGGAGAACTTGCACAATTGGTGGCTGACTAAATACTTTTTTTCCCCACTGTATGTTGTATGGATTTTGCGATCACATTTTATTTTCACTGTATACCCATGTGTGAATGGCAACAAAATGACTATATATACACTAATATAAACAGTTTCACAGCAAGCTGAGCATATTGTATTGACGTTTGTACACTGTGTGTGTGCACATATGTGTCTGTGTCTGTTTGTGTGTACAGTGGGGTCTCCTGCAGAGCTCGGGGAGTATGTCGTGCTCCTGGCTGACTGGATGCTCATGGAACTACCTCTGGAAGCGTTGGCCATCCTGCAAGAAGAGGGGCTGAGCTCTGTATCTCGTGACTTCTCACTGCAACTCCTCCACACTCGCCTGCAGAGAGAGGAACCAGGTGAGGGGTTACACACACACACACACACACACACAGACACACACACACACACACACACACACACACAGGGAGTTCTTAGTTGCAATTCAGTTTTCATTCTATTTCATTTCAAAACACAGCAAATCTTCATTAGCCTGCCCACACTAGTCGTATTAAAGGAAGGTAGACTCCGCGATATGACGTAGATGTAGAAAGTAAACAGCATAGTGCGTCAGTTTCCGCAACAACTAAGAGCATTGAAGCGCGAAGCTCAACTTCTCCTCTGTTTTGGTGCCCTGGCTACCACGCTGTTAACAGTGTGAAACAAACCTGTGCACATGCGCAGATACTGTGTGTGACTGTGCGAGAGCGAAGTGTTGCCTCCCCTTCATTGCAATATCTCCGGTGCTGCTTGTGGCAATGTCATTTAGCTGAGTCTACCTTTAACAAAAATATTATTTAAAGTAGTTCATCACACATGCATAAATTAGGCAACTTGCAAACTTTGCAAGTGCAAATTAGCTAATCTCCTGCTGACTGTTGGTTTGTGGGCATGGAAGTCGTGAGGTATTTTAGGCAAGTCTAAGCCCGTCCAGAGGGTTTTGTTCTCTACAAGCATTTAATCTATTCTTACCCCTCCATCCAATTGGCAAAGCTTCATTAAACTTTTTGGAATACTAATGATGTTTTCATGACATAATTTGTTCAGGCAGATTAACATCCTCTCCCATACTGTAATCTTTTTTTTTTTTTTTTTTTTTTTTTTTTTTTTCGGGGGGATGGATCAGCTTAATATTGCAGATAGATTGTATCTTCTATCAATGTAATTGTCTGCATCACTTCCAATCCCCCATGTTTATTTTTATTTTTTATATATATTCCCCTTTATTACTTTTCAACCCCACCATCCTTTCCCTACTTGGAGTAAATTAGTGAACAACAACGCCCAGGCCTCTACTTTCGGTCTACTGTAATCTTGTTAAACCTCCGGTAGAATGACTTTGACCGTGTTTGCATGGCTACAACACTCTATTCCAGCCATACTCAATAGGCGGACTGTGGTCCGGACCCGGACCGCAGTCGGGCTTTAATCTTACTGTTGAGTGAAAGTTACTGTAATAAAAGAATGCACAAGGTGCAATTTCGAAATCAACTAGCCCATGTCAGCATTTTTGTTTTTAGGCAGGTAAGTTAGCTGGTTAGCCTATCTAAACCTTGTAGTTCTCATGGCCAAATTCTGTGCTGAGGCCCCCATTTGATTTGGTTGTAATGTTTGAGTCACTCAGATATCATATGAACACACATAAGACATGGAAAAATGTGTAGAATTGCAGGAAATAAGCTTTAAAATGGCAAAATGTTCCCTCCGCCAACGAGGGTTGTGAACCGTTTGTGTTTGTGTATGAAAAATGTATGCACTCACTAACTGTAAGTCGCTCTGGATAAGAGCGTCTGCTAAATGACTAAAATGTAAATGTAAGTTGAAGTTTTATTATCGCATGCACAAGTACAGTGAAATGCTTAACTTGCAAGTTTTACCCACAGTGCAGTAATCAATGTCAAAATAGAATTTAAAAAAAAAAATATATATATATATACACTACCGTTCAAAAGTTTGGGGTCACTTAGAAATGTCCTTGTTTTCAAAAGAAAAGCAATTTTTTGTCCATTAAAATAACATCAAATTGATCAGAAATACAGTGTAGACATTGTTGATGTTGTAAATGGCCATTGTAGCTGGAAACGGTTGATTTTTAATGGAATATCTACATAGGCGTACAGAGGCCCATTATCAGCAACCATCAGTCCTATGTTCCAATGGCACGTTGTGTTTGCTAATCCAAGTTTATCATTTTAAAAGGTTAATTGATCATTAGAAAACCCTTTTGCAATTATGTTAGCACAGCTGAAAACTGTTGTGCTGATTAAAGAAGCAATAAAACTGGCCTTCTTGAGACTAGTTGAGTATCTGGAGCATCAGCAATTGTGGGTTCGATTACAGGCTCAAAATGGCCAGAAACAAATAACTTTCTTCTGAAACTCATCAGCACAAGTATAAATGTAAACTAAAATGACTGACAACTGTTCAATAACTGCACTACTAAAGTGTCCTATATACAGTATCAAACCTTTATCCCTAAAATATACTTACTGACCTGGACACTTAACAACAGCAACACAATTTCCTGTAACAAGTAGCAAATTACGTCCTGTGCCCTAAGACAGAGAACATTTCTGTTGCAGACAGGTTACATTTCAGAAAGATCAAGTTTGTCAGCGTTCTTGCACTGAGCCTGGCATGATGAGGGCACATGATGAGACCTCCATGACTAAACACTCTCTCCACTGGGGCACTGGTGGCAGGCACAGCCAACCTGCTTGAGCCTTGGAAAGTCTTTTGCATGGATTTTCCAAAAATCCAAGCAATCAACTTCAATTTCATCAGAAGATACTTGAACGTAGCGAATAATCTCTGCTCTGACAGATGACTTTATATCTTGCTGATCTTGCTGATCTTGTTGCGGTAGCCAGACAACAGTCTGGAGGTTTCGGCAGGTGGTTGTTGTTCTTCTTCTCCACTACTGCTCTCCGTAACGGTGACTATCCGTGCCTCAGCCAAAACAAGGTCTGAAAAAAATTCATAAAATTATGTATATAATCAAGAATATAACAGTATACATTATACATTAAATCAAATCATTATTATTTGAATGCAAGTGACATAGAAAATGTTGCATGTTGCAATGCATTGTACCTACCAATCAGACTCTCCTTCAATTCAGCTTTATCTTCATGTGGTATGAGGACATCATGATCAAGCCAGAACAGCAGTGCAGCCATTATGTATACATTTTCACCAAATGGAAGTTTAGTTGCATGTTCATCCGTGTGCTCCATTCTGACATTCACAAACACCCCCTCTGCGTTTGAGTGACTGCTGCAGTGCTTTTGCTCACCTTCGATGGCCACTGGCACGCTGGAGAAGTGTGCTCTTCACGGATGAATCCCGGTTTCAACTGTATCGGGCAGATGGCAGACATTGTGTATGGCGTTGTGTGGGCGAGCGGTTTGCTGATGTCAACGTTGTGAACAGAGTGCCCCATGGTGGCGGTAGGGTTATGGTATGGGCAGGCATAAGCTACGGACAACAAACACAATTCAATTTTATCGATGGCAATTTGAATGCATTCCTGGAAGCTGAAAATGTCCCTGTTCTTCCATGGCTTGCATACTTACCAGACATGCCACCCATTGAGCATGTTTGGGATGCTCTAGATCAACGTGTACGTCAGCGTGTTCCAGTTCACGACAATATCCAGCAACTTCGCACAGCCATTGAAGAGGAGTGGGACAACATTCCATAGGCCACAATCAACAGCCTCATAAAACTCTATGCGAATGAGAGGTTGCGCTGCATGAGGCAAATGGTGGTCACATCAGATACTGACTGGTTTTCTGATCCATCCCCTACCTTTTTTTTAAGGTACTATATATATACAGTGGGGAAAAAAAGTATTTAGTCAGCCACCAATTGTGCAAGTTCTCCCACTTAAAAAGATGAGAGAGGCCTGTAATTTTCATCATCGGTACACGTCAACTATGACAGACAAAATCAGAAAAAAAAATCCAGAAAATCACATTGTAGGATTTTTAATGAATTTATTTGCAAATTATGGTGGAAAATAAGTATTTGGTCAATAACAAAAGTTTCTCAATACTTTGTTATATACCCTTTGTTGGCAATGACACAGGTCAAACGTTTTCTGTAAGTCTTCACAAGGTTTTCACACACTGTTGCTAGGGTATTTTGGCCCATTCCTCCATGCAGATCTCCTCTAGAGCAGTGATGTTTTGGGGCTGTCGCTGGGCAACACAGACTTTCAACTCCCTCCAAACATTTTCTATGGGGTTGAGATCTGGAGACTGGCTAGCCCACTCCAGGACCTTGAAATGCTTCTTACGAAGCCACTCCTTCGTTGCCTGGGCGGTATGTTTGGGATCATTGTCATGCTGAAAGACCCAGCCACGTTTCATCTTCAATGCCCTTGCTGATGGAAGGAGGTTTTCACTCAAAATCTCACGATGCATGGCCCCATTCATTCTTTCCTTTACACGGATCAGTCGTCCTGGTCCCTTTGCAGAAAAACAGCCCCAAAGCATGATGTTTCCACCCCCATGATTCACAGTAGGTATGGTGTTCTTTGGATGCAACTCAACATTCTTTGTCCTCCAAACACGACGAGTTGAGTTTTTACCAAAAAGTTCTATTTTGGTTTCATCTGACCATATGACATTCTCCCAATCCTCTTCTGGATCATCCAAATGCACTCTAGCAAACTTCAGACGGGCCTGGACATGTACTGGCTTAAGCAGGGGGACACGTCTGGCACTGCAGGATTTGAGTCCCTGGCGGCGTAGTGTGTTACTGATGGTAGACTTTGTTACTTTGGTCCCAGCTCTCTGCAGGTCATTCACTAGGTCTGGTTCTGGGATTTTTGCTCACCGTTCTTGTGATCATTTTGACCCCACGGGGTGAGATCTTGCGTGGAGCCCCAGATCGAGGGAGATTATCAGTGGTCTTGTATGTCTTCCATTTCCAAAGAATTGCTCCCACAGTTGATTTCTTCAAACCAAGCTGCTTACCTATTGCAGATTCAGTCTTCCCAGCCTGGTGCAGGTCTACAATTATGTTTCTGGTGTCCTTTGACAGCTCTTTGGTCTTGGCCATAGTGGAGTTTGGAGTGTGACTGTTTGAGGTTGTGGACAGGTGTCTTTTATACTGATAACAAGTTCAAACAGGTGCCATTAATACAGGTAACGAGTGGAGGACAGAGGAGCCTCTTAAAGAAGAAGTTACAGGTCTGTGAGAGCCAGAATTCTTGCTTGTTTGTAGGTGACCAAATACTTATTTTCCACCATAATTTGCAAATAAATTCATAAAAAATCCTACAATGTGATTTTCTGGATTTTTTTTCTCTCAATTTGTCTGTCATAGTTGACGTGTACCTATGATGAAAATTACAGGCCTCTCTCATCTTTTTAAGTGGGAGAACTTGCACAATTGGTGGCTGACTAAATACTTTTTTTCCCCACTGTGTGTATATATATATATATATATATATATATATATATATATATATATATATATATATATATATATATATATATAGTAGTCAAAAGTTTGGACACACCTATTCATTTCAGGGTTTTTCTTTATTTTGACTATTTTCTACATTGTAGAATAATAGTGAAGACATCAAAACTATGAAATAACACATATGTAATCATGTAGTAACCAAAAAAGTGTTAAACAAATCAAAATATATTTAGCCACCCTTTGCCTTGATGACAGCTTTGCGCACTCTTGGCATTCTCTCAACCAGCTTCATGAGGTAGTCACCTGGAATGCATTTCAATTAACCAGTGTGCCCTGTTAAATTGTGGAATGACTTTCCTTCTTAATGTGTTTGAGCCAATCCGTTGTGTTGTGACAAGGTAGGGTTGGTATACAGAAGATAGCCCTATTTGGTAAAAGACCAAGTCCATATTATGGCAAGAACAGCTCAAATAAGCAAAGAGAAATGACAGTCCATCATTACTTTAAGACATAAAGGTCAGCCAATATGGAACATTTCAAGAACTTTGAAAGTTTCTTCAAGTGCAGTCGCAAAAACCATCAAGCACTATGATGTAACTGGCTCTCATGAGGACCGCAACAGGAATGGAAGAACCAGAGTTACCTCTGCTGCAGAGGATAAGTTAATTAGAGTTACCAGCCTCAGAAATTGCAGCCCAAATAAATGCTTCACAGAGTTCAAGTAACAGACACATCTCAACATCAACTGCTCAGAGGAGACTGTGTGAATCAGGCCTTCATGGTCGAATTGCTGCAAAGAAACCACTACTAAAAGGACACCAATAAGAAGAGACTCGCTTGGGCCAAGACAATGAGGAATCGACATTAGACCAGCCCAAATTGGAGATTTTTGGTTCCAACCACCATGTCTTTGTGAGACGCGGTGTAGATGAACGGATGATCTCCGCATGTGTATTTCCCACCGTAAAGCATGGAGGAGGAGGTGTTGTGGTGTGGGGGTGCTTTGCTGGCGACACTGTCTGGGATTTATTTAGAATTCACTTAACCAGCATTGCTACCACAGCATTCTGCAGCGATATGACGTCCCATCTGGTTTGGGCTTAGTGGGACTGTCATTTGTTTTTCAACAGGACAATGACCCAACACACCTCCAGGCTGTGTAAGGGCTATTTGACCAAGAAGGAGAGTGATGGAGTGCTGCATCAGATGACCTGGCCTCCACAATCCCCCGACCTCAACCAAATTGAGATGGTTTGGGATGAGTTGGAACGCAGTTTGAAGGAAAAGCAGCCAACAAGTGCTCAGCATATGTGGGAACTCCTTCAAGACTGTTGGAAAAGCATTCCAGGTGAAGCTGGTTGAGAGAATGCCAAGAGTGTGCAAAGCTGTCATCAAGGCAAAGGGAGGCTACCTTGAAGAATCACAAATATAAAATATATTTAGATTTGTTTAACACTTTTTTGGTTACTACATGATTCCATATGTGTTATTTCATAGGTTTGATGTCTTCACTATTATTCTACAATGTAGAAAATAGTCCAAATAAAGAAAAACCCTTGAATGAGTAGGTGAGTCCAAACTTTTGACTGGTACTGTATATATAAAAGTATGTGGACACCCCTTCAAATTAGTGGATTAGGCTATTTCAGCCACAGCCGTTGCTGACGTGTATATAATCGAGCACACAGCCATGCAATCTCCATAGGAAACTTCGGCAGTAGAATGGCCTTACTGAAGAGCTCAGTGACTTTTAACGTGGCATCGTCATAGGATGCCACCTTTCCAACAAGTCAGTTCGTCAAATGTCTGCCGTGCTAGAATTGCCCCGGTCAACTGTAAGTGCTGTTATTGTGAAGTGGAAACGTCTAGGAGCAACAACGGCCCAGCCGCGAAGTGATAGGCCACACAAGCTCACAGATGGGACCTCCGAGTGCTGAAGCGCGTAAAAATCGTCTGTCCCTCAGTTGCAACACTCACCACCGAGTTCCAAACTGCCTCTGGAAGCAACGTCAGCACAATAACTGTTTGTCGGGACCTTTATGAAATAGGTTTCCATGGCCGAGCTACCGCACACAAGCCTAAGATCACCATGCACAATGCCAAGCGTCGGCTGGAATGGTGTAAAGCTCGCTTCCTATGTTTGTCTATGGAGATGACATGGCTGTGTGCTCAATTTTATACACCTGTCAGCAACGGCTGTGGCTGAAATAGCCGAATCCACTAATTTGAAGGGGTGTCCACATACTTTTGTATATATAGTGTACGTCTTTACTATTAGACCCACGAATGTCATGGTTTAATTCACATTACGCATTTAATTTGCACTCTGGGAAACAGGATGATGGTATCAATCCTATAAATGTGTTCGCCTGGCACCTACTACCATACCCCGTTCAAAGGCACTTAAATATTTTGTCTTGCTCATTCACCCTCACATATACAATCCATGTCTCAATTGTCTCATGGCTTAAAAATCCTTCTTTATCCTGTCTCCTCCCCTTCATCTACACTGATTGAAGTGGATTTAACAAGTGACATCAATAAGGGATCATAGCTTTCACCTAGATTCACCTGGTCAGTCTGTCATGGAAAGAGCAGGTGTTCTTAATGTTTTGTACACTCAGTGTATGTCACATACAGTCAGGTCCAAAATTATTGGCACCTCTGATAAAGATGAGCAAAAACGACTATAAAATCAATAAAACAAATGCTGAGCTATATTGTATGCTTAAAATAATTTATTTCATACTAATACAATTGCTCAGAGAAATTGATTTAGTTTAGTAAGTAATATTTTATTTTCTACATAATATAGGGGTCAAAATTATTGGAACCCCTGTTTTCAATACCTTTCAATACCTCACCTTGTGAGGATAACAGCACTGAGTCTTTTCTAAAATGTTTTCTGAGATTGGAGAACACATTGAGAGGGATCTTAGACCATTCCTCCATACAGAATCTTTCCAGATCATTGATATCCTTCGTCTGTGCTTATAGACTGCCCTTGATATCCCTTCAATTTAAAACAATTTATATTACTTGTTAAACAAAATCTATTTCTCTGAGCAATTGTATTAGTATAAAGTAATATAATTTCCATTTGTATTAGCATACAATATAGCTCAGCATTTGTATTATTTATTTTATACAGTCTTTTTTTCTCATGTTTATCAAGGGTGCCAATAATTTAGACCTGACTGTATATGTCTTTACTAATGCAGAGAGGTCGTGGTACTATGGGGTTCCGGCTGTGACGTCTTTGGTTGCGTTTGAAGGTTTCTGTGGACAGACTCAGATAACTAGGCCAATGTAATTTAGGTCTTGCCACAGTGCGTCATAGGTTTAGTTACCCTATAGGATATGCAGACGGATATGTAGTGGGTTGTGTGCTTGGCTTGAGGAGAGAGGACCTATTCCCCTCATCCCATAGTACATTTTTTTCCTAGAATTGTGACAGAAACATGGCTTGCAAAATTCATACCTGCTTGAACTTTAAACGACATCAAAATGATCAATCTGTCAGGCTTTGGTTATCTTACCCCGTCTTGCCTCCTTCAGGTTTTGTTTATTAAACTTAGCCGATGATAATACTACAACATAACATTTCTGATGATAAGACTTGATTGTGTTTTATTTATACATGGAGATTTGTGATGCATCTCGCAGCCTGTCTGGATGTAAAACAAGTGTAATAAACATCAGACATGCATTCAACATTTTGCACCTCTGAAATGTTCTTCACTTGTAAAATTACAGTATGTAAAAAAAAAAAAAAAAAAAAGGTATTTTCAAGGATGATGTTTTCTTAACCTTTGCAAAAATATGCACATTTGGAATTTCCAAAAGAAAAAGTAGTTTTTTATATTATGTTTGGGCAATCTTATCTAACTTTAAAAAGGTTAAATCATTTGCATAACACCAGTGGGTGCTCAAAGGTTACAAACTTAAATGAGCAGAGACGTACATAGGACATTTGGAATCTGGTGTGTGTGTGTGACGCGTGCACACAGATGTCGTACTGATTAGAGATTGTATGTGGATGAGGGTGGCTGGAGTATATATAAAAAAGTGACATTTACTTTCCACACCTAGGACAAACATTACCATAATTTTGACATCTATAGTTTACCATTGTGTCAAGAAGATGTAGTGCCTGAAGCACCTTTTGGAAAGGGCTCTTTGATATTCAACGCAGTAGTTTGCATGAAACATGCACAAAATGAATTGGAGCATACAAAAGACTCCCTTTAGGAAAGCAATGGTTATTTTGTTTAGGTATCTGTCTGTTGTTTCTGGATTTAATTATAAGGTACATTTACTGAAAAGTAATAGTACAAAGCCTGACGTTTAAGGGTTCAATGCTTTGCAATTCACTAGTTTACTAATCTCGGTTAACACAGAACTAAAATCTTGCTTAATTTGGTCAGACATAGTCTGTCCACGAGAGATTACTAGTTCGCAAGTGGTCACTGCAGAAGGAAGTATTTGTGGGTCATAGGAAAACTTTCGGAGAGTTGCTCTATTCTTTCAACGTCTTCAATGATACCTAAATGTTGTTGGCTTTGGCAATAAACCTGAAAGTAAAGTAAAGTCATTAGAATTTCAGTCAAAATACTTTGTAATTTAACCCACCAGACAATTGCTTCCTTTATTATTTCTGCATCCTGTTTGTGGCAGTTGAAAGTGACAACAAAAAGGAGACCAAAGGTGGAAAGGGAGCCAAGGGGAAGGGAGATCAAAGCAAAGCCATCAAAATGGTGAGTTCAGTAAATTAATCTGGGCTTGCCAGATAGAGCCGCAATATTACTTTTACCTGCCTTCAGCACAGGCAATTATTTAAGTCCCCTTGCTCGCTTGTGACTTCTCAATCAATTACATAATGTTTCTGTAATGATCCTGTGTCTTGCTTCTAAATCATATTTATCCCGTCACCCTTTCACTCTTGCTCTCTTTCTCTCTCTCTTCCTCTGCCTCTCTTTCTCCCCATCTATCTCTCTCTCTCAATCCCGCCCTCTCTCTCTCCCCCTCTCACTCTCCCTACCCCACTCTCTCACTCCCAAGTCAAATTTTTCTCTTCCCCTCTTGCTGTCACAGATGTTTGTTTGGATGTCTCTATCCAATATTAGTCTACCTGGATTTAATCTGTGTTTCTTGTTACCCAGGTGCCAGTCAATCGTGTCTTGCCCCCCAACACCCTCCCAGTAGACACACACAACTTCAAATGTATCTTTTCCTCGTTTGGCTTCAATAATGACCTTTAACACTTCCAATAAGTATTTAACTGATTCTCAGTGGTAAGATAGTCAGTATTTCTAGGAATTTCCTAGATACAGTAGGTATTTCTTAAATATCTTCCCGGTACAGCCAGAGGTTTTTTTCCTATGTTCCTGCTTTCTAGGGAGTTTTTCCTAGCCACTGTGCTTCCACCTATGCATTGCTTGGTCTTTGGGGTTTAAGCCTGGGTATCTGTAAAGCACTTTGTGACAACTGCTTATGTAGAAATGGATTTATACAATTACATTTGATTTGGGAAATAAGATTATTTGTAATGCCAGGCCAGTGAAACACTGTGGAGAAAATGGTCCTTAATACACCTCACCTAAGATATCATAGACCCTTACAACGAAGAGCAATATGGTAAGTAAACATGATCTTAGTTGTCATTATTATGTTTCTGATTTTGCTAATAATTTCCCAAGAAAATCGTTGATCAGGATACGGCCCCAGACGATAAGCTATGTTGTTCTGACAACCTGGGCCCATATTCATCAAGTGTCTAGGATCAGATTTGCCTTTTATATCATAAATAATACGATTATATGGACAGAGGGTACCTGATCCTATCAGCACTCCTACTCTGAGACACTTTATGAATATGGGCCCTGATCTCTACTGATATCTTTGTAACTGTGCTATGATGGCTTTTGTTGCAGTAGACACCTACGGGCATGTCTCTCCTGAATGAAACATCCAAGAATACAAAGTACAAAGTAATGGATTCAAGATAGCACTGTTTTCCAACTTAGGTTTCACTAATAAATATGTTGAAAAGGAACCAAATTATACATTTTAATAGGATAGATGGGCTATATGGGCTACGGTATAGGTTGAATGTGATAGTCTGCCTATAACCAGCCTGAGTAGTCTGCCTATAACCAGCCTGAGTAGCCCATTACTCCATTCCTATTCTATTCAGAGCTTTGAGAAATTAATCGAATTAGAAATGAGCTATTATCAGGCTCGTTAATAAGATGCATTTGGAAAAATCCACCCACACTGCCTGCGTTGCGGCCGTGGCATAATGCATACTTTTTACTAAACAGTACGTGCTAAATAGTATGCGACGAAAAGTACATAGTATGCAGTTTAAGTACAGTATGTAGTATGCTAGTATGGGTATTCGGGCACGGCCTCTGTGTTTAGAGCTAAGACTCCTTCTCAGCCTCAGCAAGGAGAATTTTGCATTGATTAATGTGCTGTTTGCCAAAACCCAATGGACTGTTGACTGGCCTTGACATATCCTCCCCCCTCTCCCCAAACGACCTTCACACTTTACATTTTGTCAGTGCAATTTTTTGGTACAGATTTAGATTCTGCAATCCAGCTTCTACTATACATTGGGTGGTCCTACAGTAATGTACCTCATCCAATGATAATAAGTTATGAAGTACCTGTAACTATTGTGTTTATTCTCTATGTGTGTGTGTGTTCATGTGTGCGTGTGTTGTGTGGGGGGGGGGTTAATGTGTCAGAAGGCAGCAGCCTGACAGAGAGGATGAAGAGGACTCTGGAGGCATACAGCCAGCAGTTCACCCCGCTGTGGGAGGGCTTCATGGGGAGTGAACACACTCCCAGGTCAGGAGTCACCTTCACTCAACACACTCACTAGCAGTACTGACACAAGTGCTCCAGTAGGGTTACATGTATGTCATGTATTCCTGTCCACTGGCATACCATTCTGATGGCTGATGTGTTTTACGTGATGTTTTTGCATGGCCTGCTGCACTCTACGCCACTAATACTGATATGTGTGTGTCAGTCTCGCAGAGCTGGAGCAGCTGCTGACAAACTGTAGTGCTTTCATCTTCCATGGAATGGAGCGCTTTCTCGCAAACATCCCACCATCCAAGCTGGCTGCCCTCAACCTTTCTGGTACTGTATCCAATACCTATCTACTTTTTTTTGGTTAAGTTATGATGGGGAATATTTGTAAAAATTATCCTAAAATGTCACGTTATGTCAAAGATCTGAAGGTCTTTGGATATTATGTGGTGATAATATGATTTATTTAATCAAATTAAGGATTTTCCAGAGTCAGTGATGGAGAGAAAAAATCCCCAATATACATTTTAAATAGGACTGTGTGTAGCTTATGTACGTAAATGGAGCAGTAGGCTTAATCTCTTTAAACACATCAATCTTTAATTCCCTGAGTGGATATATTTAGAAAGACAGCAATGTGAAATCAATTAGATTTTATTATAGGCCCTTTGCTGTTACATTTTCCAAGTTTCACCAAGCACTTGTAGAAATGATACAGAGATTCAGAATGAATGGATTAGGAATAATCAGTAGGGTTAGATCATTTATTAACATGATATAGGCCCAGTAATTGTTTGATGTAGGTTTAATGTAACAAGTGTGCATTGGAGATGTTAATCAGATTGTTCTGAATCTGTCGCCTGGAGTTGAAGTAGTTATTATAGGCACTAGAGAGCAAGCTGTCAATTAACGTTCATCTCACATTGAATAGTTCCCTGGACAGGAACACTGGCGTTAACATTCCAGCAGATCAGAGTCTGGAGCTGACAGTGACCCACCTGTGGCCTAACCGGGTGTGTTACACTTTGGCAGATCCATTGACAAACACCTCCGCAGTTGATTTTGACTAGGGGCCTTGTCTATAAACATTGCTTACACCAATTGCCACACAAAAATCTGTACAAGGTCGTAGTGCTGTAGTACATTAAAGAGTAAATGGAAATAGACACTTGACTAACACGTTCATTGACCATAAATAATTACATGTTTTTGCTGAACTTACAGTATGTTATGAAAAGAATAGCTACGTTTTTTCTTCTCATTTGCATTATATGAAATTAAATACCAGTGTCTGAATAGAGCATAAAGCAGCCCCGTCCAGAGGTAAAAAAATTGGTTTTTGGGTTGATTCTCATAATGTTCATATTGCAGGCCTTTTGTATTTTGGAGACAGAGACTCTACCCTTTCCTCAGTGGCTGCTGTCTTGATTCCTTTTTTAGGATACTTTTTCCCCCAATCTTCCTTAAATAACTGATCACACACCCCAAAAAGCCTTCCGACTTTTCACACCTTTCAAACCCTTTTCATACTTTTCAAACCCTTTTTCACAGGCATGGCTCTTGGCCTTGATTTATTATTTTTTTACTTCCTCCAAAACAAAGGATGTTTTGGGTGTGGATGACACTGGGTGTATTTGATCTGATTGACAGGGGAAGTCAGGCTGACCTTACACATCACCCTGGGCCTCACAATACCATCCACTATCATAGACAGGCTGGGCTTTGGCACTTCTAACCCAACAAAGTGGTGAGGAATGTTCAAACTATGTTGCCTAGTCTGAATAACAGCTGTTACTCGATAACAAGCCAACCCCACTCAGTGAACAAACCAGCAGGAACAAGGTGTTTGCAGATGTTATAGATAGTTTCAAGTTTTAATATCACATGCACAAGTACAAGTACAGTGAAATGCCTTTTTTGCATCAGACCAAGATGTTCAGAACTGATCTAGAGCAGAGGGAGGGAGTATGAGTTATAGATGAGTCACTTCCTGCACTCACAGTCTAATGCCTGAAGAGATTTTTGGCCATAACTAACTGTGCTTGTTGGAAGCATGAACATGAATCAACAGCTCTCTTCTCTTTTTCCTTTCGTCTAGCCTCACACACTGGCCTAAATTCATTGACCTTCCTTCATAGCATATCTAGGGGCTACGGACGAGAATTTGCCCTTTTACTAACTCCGGCACCTTTACATTGATGTAAACAAGGAAATGTTAATTAATGTGCACGGTCCCTGACAAATAAATTCCATAAATAAATAATTACAATAATACATAGGTGAGTCATTCCACCAATAGAGTGCCTTTTGGGTAGTGTAATTTGCTCCCCATAAACTATTTATTTCACCTAATTTCAACATTTTGTCATAAAGAGCACATGGTCAACTTCATAAAAAGCATGTTTTCACATCTTATAAGGGTTACATTAAGTGTCATTTAAAGTAACAGGGTTGACGTAACAAGGCTGACGATTTCATCTTAAATCAGCCATAACTCCCCTTGTGACAGGGGGAATGGAAGCTTGTTGTGTGCAACATGGAGTGGCAATTGAATGTAAATTACATTTTTTTTTTTTTTTTATGTCTAGCCTATCAATGGTACAGGGTTGACGTGTTATGCTCGACCCGTTCAGTTTTCCACCACAAAACACCAGAAAATGGCCAATAAGAGTAGAACCAGCTCACCTGCTTTTACACTGACTTGACTGATGTTTCTTTTGAAAATATAATTTAAAGGAATAGTTTCACAATATTAAAATGAGAGTTCAGTAGAAACAGGGTTGAGCTTAAAATGAGGGACAAATATAAATTAATCACTAATAATGTGAAATAAATAATAATCTTCAGAAATGACTTTGTCAAACAACGAAGTAACTAGGGCTTTACAATGATGGTGAAAACTTGTGGACATTTTTGGATAAAGTGGTTAAAATCTTCCTAGAAATCGGAAAAACATGCACTTTAGCAAGTTTTTGTTCATATAAAAAATCTAATTTTATAGAACTTTCCATGTGGTTTATATTAGGTGCACTTAATTTAATATAACAGGCTTTTAATATGTAATATTGGTGCACAATTTTACATAAAATATCAAAGGGATTCAAAAGTCACTATTTGTGGAACGATCCATGACCAAATGATGATAATGTGTTGTTATTTGTCCTCAGAGTGCCAGATGGCTATCCTTTTTGACCTCGTCCAGAACAGCGCCAGCATGCTACGGCAATCCAAGCTAGATGTGCAAAAGAGGTAACGCATTGCATGCGCTTACTATGACATTATCCAATGAAGTGTATTAAGTTGCATCCCCTCTTGCCCTCCTTCACAGGCAGTGCACAATACAGCACATGTAGTACAGCTGTTTGATGCTTTGTCTCAGGATGGTAATGAGAAGACACTGGACAGTTCCCTTTTAGTCTTCATGTGTCTCTGTCTCTCTTTCTATCCATCTTTCTATCCCTCTTTCTACCTCTATCTATATATTCTCAATCTATCTCCCCCTCTGTCACTCCCCTTTCTATCCATCTCTTTTTCTCTCTCTTTCTCGCTGTCTATCTCTCTCGCTCTCCCTCTCCTGTAGTGATGGGCACCTGGCCCTGGAGAGGCCCCTGGAGACGGCCCTGCTGCTCACTCTGAGTGGTGTCCGTTGTGTTCTGCTCAACCAGTGGCACAGTAGTCCCCAGAGGAACATAAATAACATGGACTCCGTCATGGAGAGTGAGTTCAATACACTGTTACTGATGCACATTACTGTATGTAAATTAAAAACAGTTTCATATAAACCTAAACTGGGACATGCCAGCATTAATTTAAGGTGTGATATGAAGTCTAAGAATAGCCCTAATATGTGTTGTGTACTGTGTGTTTTCATGTGTTGTAGATCTCCTGAGGGTGGGCCTGACCTCTGGCCAGACTGTCCATGCACTGAGGAAGGGAGAAGTCCAGAGCACAGAGAAAGACACAAACACTGCAGGATCAGATGGTAGGCTATATACTGTATACCATCACTACAACTCTGGGGCTGGGCCATATTCAATCATATCTGGTAGCCTGGATTATAAATTAGAGATAGTATTCTGTTAGGGAGTGAGAAAATATGTTGAAATTGATATGTTGTCAAATATACCTATTTGGAAGAATGTTGAGTGCTTTTTGCATAAAAAGATGCCATGGGATGAATTTGCTCCATTGTTTACAGTTTTTTTGGTGGCACTATGCTGGAATGAGCCTTTAACCCTTTACACTCTTGGGAATTGGCCTATATGGATTGGGCTGAATTGAAATGTTTCTTACAGAAGAAATATGAAATGCATATGCATAACCATGGTAGCAATTGAAAGGGAACAGTTTGGAGATAATGGGACAATTATTAGACCAAAGGTGAGTACAAAACAGTTCACCTGACACAACACTGAATCCAAAGATTACACTGTTGATGTTATGTGCATTTTACATTTACTTGACTTTTCACCATATTTGTTGATAACGAAATCTGAAAATGTTCTGGATACATTCAGTAACAAAATAAGAATATTCCTGGAAAATGTTGGGTAGGTGCAACACAAATTGCAAGGGTTTGAGTGAGCCAACTAACTGGTGTCTCCAAGCGGCCACACACCTCCAAAGTGTGCACAGTTCCTAAGCAATTTCAACTACAGTTGAAGTCGGAAGTTTACATACACTTAGGCTGGAGTCATTAAAACTCGTTTTTCAACCACTCCACAAATTTCTTGTTAACAAACTATAGTTTTGGCAAGTCGGTCAGGACATCTACTTTGTGCATGACACAAGTAATTGTTCCAACAATTGTTTACAGACAGATTATTTCACTTATAATTCACTGTATCACAATTCCAGTGGGTCAGAAGTTTACATACACTAAGTTGACTGTGCCTTTAAACAGCTTGGAATATTCCAGAAAATGATGTCATGGCTTTAGAAGCTTCTGATAGGCTAATTGACATCATTTGAGTCAATTGGAGGTGTACCTGTGGATGTATTTCAAGGCCTACCTTCAAACTCAGTGCCTCTTTGCTTGACATCATGGGAAAATCAAAAGAAATCAGCCAAGACCTCAATTTCCAAACGCCTGAAGGTACCACGTTCATCTGTACAAACACCATGGGACCACGCAGCCGTCATACCGCTCAGGAAGGAGACGTGTTCTGTCTCCTAGAGATAAACATACTTTGGTGCGAAAAGTGCAAATCAATCCCAGAACAACAGCAAAGGACCTTGTGAAGATGCTGGAGGAAACAGGTACAAAAGTATCAATATCCACATTAAAACAGCAAGGAAGAAGCCACTGCTCCAAAACCGCCATAAAAAAGACAGACTACGGTTTGCAACTGCACATTGGGACAAAGATCGTACTTTTTGGAGAAATGTCCTCTGGTCTGATGAAACAAAAATGTAACTGTTTGGCCATAATGACCATCGTTATGTTTGGAGGAAAAAGGAAGTAACTTGCAAGACGAAGAACACCATCCCAACCGTGAAGCACGGGGGTGGCAGCATCATGCTGTGGGGGTGCTTTGCTGCAGGAGGGACTGGTACACTTCACAAAATAGATGGCATCATGAGGAAGGAAAATTATGTGGATATATTGAAGCAACATCTCAAGACATCAGTCAGGAAGTTAAAACTTGGTCGCAAATGGGTCAAAATGGCTTAAGGACAACAAAGGCAAGGTATTGGAATGGCCATCCCAAAGCCCTGACCTCAAATCCTATAGAAAATGTGTGGGCAGAACTGAAAAGGCGTGTGCGAGCAAGGAGGCCTACAAACCTGACTCAGTTACACCAGCTCTGTCAGGAGTAATGGGCAAAATATTCACCCAACTTATTGTGGGAAGCTTGTGGAAGGCTACCTGAAACGTTTGACCCAAGTTAAACAATTTAAAGGCAATGCTACCAAATACTAATTGAGTGTAAGTAAACTTCTGACCCACTGGGAATGTGATGAAATAAATAAAAGCTGAAATAAATCATTCTCTCTACTATTATTCTGACATTTCACATTCTTAAAAGAAAGTGGTGATCCTAACTGACCTAAGACAGGGAATTTTTACTAGGATTAAATGTCAGGAATTGTGAAAAACTGAGTTTAAATGTATTTGGCTAAGGTGTGTAATGTAAACTTCCGACTTCAACTGTATAAGGTACTTTTTTTTCAAGCTTTCCTAGCTGTGCTGTTAAGGAACTAGAGGAAGCATACTTGCAGTCGTTTCATTTGGAACACAACCCTGCATCCCTGCTATCACACAATTACTGTTGTTGTTTATGCAATCGAAAACGGTCCATTATAAATCACAATCTGGGTCAGGTGGGCATGACTTGAAAGCTTGTTCTATTGCCAACATGACTAGCTAAGTTATAAAATATAATTTTACATTGTTAGGCTTTCACGAGGCAATTCAAAGAAACAGCTCGTAGTTTTGGTGCGTATAGAGAGGAGTCATGAGTGTATTCAGGTGCGTGTGCCGCAGTTACTTTTATTCAAAATATACAAACTTAGGCTCATTCTGTTCAGAACAATCCAGGGTATGACGCCATGTAATCTTGTAACTGTACATCAAACATAGTGATCATGAATATTGACACTGTATGTGACATGAGTTTGGAAATGTGAAGTGCACATTTGGAGTCACGGGTGTTTGGCTTGCTTTTATGACATCAAAGCGGTATTTATTATAATCCTCAACATCTCATCTTTCAAAATACACAGAGTCATCTTAATTTACAGCATTTTCCTCACTCAGACAACAAAACATTTACAAAAGTTGCCCATTTAACTGGGAGGGATGGGGGCAACTTCTTGTCACATGCGGTGCTCAAGTTCAGAACAGCTGTCAGTCAAAACCCATACAGAGCTGTAAAGCGGAGAACCTGAGCTCTACATCATGTATAGCATGTTACTGTACAGCCACTGTGTTCCAATGTAGGTTCTTATTAGTGCTCAAATCTGCCATTTACAACCCGTATACGGGTACGAGTGTAAAGGGTTAAGTGCATGTATTCAGACGTCAATCAGTCTTGAACCAAGCAAAATGTGATTTTTTACTTATCCCATTCATGACACAGTTCCTAGAATTAAAATGTTCCTAAAACGGAATACTCTGTCAATTATTATGATTTGAAAGACGGAGCACATTGTGTGTGCTACCTATGTCACTCTCACTCCCTTTTAGTCCTCATGTGTCATCTCTCTCTCTCTTACTCTCTCTTTCTCTTTTCTCTACAGATACCGTATGTCATGAAGATTCAGGAAATAGAGATGGGAATGCTCATGACGCTCAACCAAGAGTGACCCCTTCACCATCAGCCTTCAATTGTGTCATCTATGGACTGCCTAACTTAGTTGTTACATGATACACTTCAGTCCCTCGTAACATGCCTTCAAATGTAAGGATATTCGTAAATGGTTTTATTACAACATAAGGTAATCTAATAACACAGTTATTCCTAAGGCTGTAAAATTACAAACAGATCCAAAAAATGTATTACCCAAGAGTAATCCTCAGTTTCTCTAAGAGACAGTTCACCATTCTTTGCTTGGCTTCAGTTAATAAATATATTGTTCGCCTCCACTTGTTTCATCTGTTATATTGCGCCTAGCAGAAATAAGCCATCTAATGCACCTGGTGCCAGTGGTGGGATAGACAGGGTTGGGTAAGAGGGAACTCACTAAGGCATTATCGTCCACTCCCCTAGGAGAGAACAGTTGGGCCCCTACTTATGGAGCTCTGCCATGCTTTGGAATTACACTGTTATCAAAGCCAATAATGCAATAAAACTATATGAAAACATAGGGATATACAGTACATAATATTTGGACCACATGGGTTAATTGTGAGAGGACTAGATCTACAGTAGGCCACAGGACAGCACCTGGGACTGTATGTATAAAGCGTCTCAAAGTAGGAGTGCTGATCTAGGATCAGGCCCCCCCTGCTGTCTGTGTGACCTTATTCATTGTAATCTAAAAGTCTAATCTTATCCTAAATTAGCACTCCTGACACACTTGGTACATACGGTCCTTGGTCACAAATAGCATTTATGCCACTTGACGTCCCAGCAGATGCAACTGAAGTAGTTTTGTGTGTTGCTCTTGACATCTTTCACCCTGTCGATAAATCACACATTTGTTAACAACTCTGTTGTTTATAGTGCTCGCTTCCGTGTTGTCTTTTGGTTTTGTGTTTACTCAAGATATACCTTAACGGTCTACTCTAGCTGATAAGTGGGATGTTGGCTGTTATCTGGTATCCAAGACTCACTGTAAAACTCTCAAACAACCCTTTCTATCGATATTTATATGTCTCTTTCTTTCCATCTCTTGGAGATCACTCAGATTAACATAAAGGATTGAATGGTAAATGAGTTGTTAAAAAAACGATCTGACCAAACATAATTTAGAGGAGCCATAGGAAGTCCAAATACTCTTCTCGTAAAGCAGGGATGCTGTGTGTTATTGTAGTTGCAAGAGGCTTCGATGCTTATTGAGTGAACGTTTGCCTTGAGGCAGATTTTTAAGTATGACCACCTGAGTCTCAAGGCAAAGTGACTGCGAGCCATCTTTGAATTATGTGATGCGGTCAGACCATCACATAATTGGCATATATATTACTCTTACTGAATTTCCACGTGGGCGAGGATATTGGAAATGTAATCAAAGCCTATTGGATGATAACTTGTTTTTAACTAGGACAGAAGAATTTATAACTGACTTTGTCCGACATAACATAGGTACAGCAGATCCCCTTATTGTATGGGACACTTTTAAATGTGCCTTTAGAGGCCATGCAATTCAGTACTCATCTCTAAAACAAAAGCAATTTAGGTCAAAAGAGTCCATATTAACAAAGGAAATGGAAGGACTAACAGTACAGGTAGATAGCAATAAAAACTGTACCAGAGGCTCAGAATAAGTTAGAGGAAAAACCAAAATAAATGGAGGAACTTATTCAAGAAAGATCAAGTGTAATATATTCTAAAAAATAAAGCGAACTGGATGGAATATTGGGAAAAATGCACACAATTATTTTTTAATCTTCAACATAGAAATGCTACCAAAAATAATTTACTGAAACTTGTTACAAATGATGGAGTCACCACCCATGATTCACCAAACTATATTTTGAAAGAGGAAGTAAAGTACTTTAAGCATATGTTTTCGTTTCAGTCTCCTCCATCTCCACTAAACTGAGTGGCGCAGTGGTCTAAGGCACTGCATCGCAGTGCTAACTGTGCCACTAGAGATCCTGGTTCGAATCCAGGCTCTGTCGCAGCCGGCCACGACCGGGAGACTCATGGGCGGCGCACAATTGGCCCAGCGTCGTCCAGGGTAGGGGAGGGAATGGCCGGCAGGGATGTAGCTCAGTTGATAGAGCATGGCGTTTGCAACGCCAGGGTTGTGGGTTCGTTTCCCATGGGGGGCCAGTATAAAAAATATATATATAATAATAATAAAAAATATTTGTATTCACCTAACTGTAAGTCGCTCTGGATAAGAGCGTCTGCTAAATGACTCAAATGTAAATGCAAATGTTGTATGGATTTTCTTTCTTGTAATAATGTAAAATTAACAGCTGTGTTGTTGGATATTATTCATCCTAATCAGACAGGTCTTTTACATGGACGATACATTGGAGATAATATCAGACAAGTACTGGAAACAATAGAACACTGAAAAATCTGGGAAACCAGGCCTGGTATTCATAGCAGACTTTGAAAAGGCCTTTGATAAAGTATGACTGGAGTTTATATATAAATGCCTGGAATATTTCAATTTTGGAGTATCTCTTATAAAATGGGTTAAAGTTATGTATATTAACCCTAGGTGTAAAATAGTAAATAATGGCTACTTCTCAGAAAGTTTTAAACTGTCAAGAGGAGTAAAACAAGGTTGTCCACTATCGGCATATGTATTTATTATTGCCATTGAAATGTTAGCTGTTAAAATCAGATCCAACAATAATATTAAAGGGTTAGAAATCCAGGGCTTAAAAACAAAGGTGTCATTGTACGCTGTGTGGCAGCCCAGGGTGTTTGGTCAAGACGTTTACACAGATCAGACACGGACAGAATTGTATTAGCTCGGTTTCAATGGTGTTTATTTAAATAATAAACAAAGAGAAAAGAATAGGTCTCCTCCAGGAGACCTCCTCCAGGATACCGTCTTCTGGGCTCCGGGTTCTTGCTGTATCCTGTGGGGAACACAACCAAGCTCCCTCCGTTATCTCTGGTACTGAGCACGACTGTACGGGAGTAATCTCTCTTCCCCAGTTCCCACTCCTGTCTGCTGCCCTTCTGGCAGCTTTATGGGACTCATCCAGCTGGTGAGCAATCAGCCCCTTGATTACTCACCAACCACAATCAGCCCCAATTAGTCCTGGCCGGAGAGCCCGTCGAGACCTGGCACGTCCAGCAGAGGGAGACATCGCCGCGTGATGTAGACTGTCTGTCACCAGGCCTCGACGAGTCTCCCCCTGGTGGCTAACCTGCTGTACTTTTTTTCTCTACGTATCAGCTTTCGGCTTATGATTGGGTGCTCCTCCCCATTGTGTACCTGGGACAGGACGGCCCCTAGTCCCATGTCGCATGCGTCCTTCTGGACCAACATCGGTACCTGGAAACCGGGCGTTACGAGAATCGGATGGGAGCACAGCGCTTCCTTCAGTCGCCTGAATGCCACTTCGGTCTCGCCCAACCATTTCACTGTTTTTGGGTGGCGGGCCGTGGTTAGATTGGTAAGGGGGGGAGGCTATAGCCGCAAAGTTGGGGATAAACCGGCTGTAGTATCCTGCCAGTCCCAGGAAGGACTTGACCTGTGTCTTGGTGCGTGGAACGGGCCAGTCACGTACCGCGTGGACCTTCCTCTCCTGGAGCTTGACGTCCCCCCATCCGATCAAATACCCCAGGTACTCCACCTCCTCAAACCCTAGCTTGCATTTCTTGGGGTTCGCTGTCAACCCAGCTTGCCTGAGCACGTCCAGCACCGCCTGGAGGCGCGTCAGGTGCTCTTCCCAACCTTGGCTGTGGATGATGATATCATCCAAATAGGCCGCTGCGTACTGTTGGTGGCGTCGGAGGACTCGGTCTATCAGCTGCTGGAACGTGGGTGGGGCTCCGTGGAGACCGAATGGGAGCACCCGGTACTGATATAAGCCGTCCGGTGTCGAAAAAGCAGGCAAACAAATAAAAATATATTTTATACTTGAGATTCTTCAAATAGTCAACCTTTGCATTGATGACAGCTTTGCACACTCTTGGCATTCTCTCAACCAGCTTCACCTGGAATGCTTTTCCAACAGTCTTGAAGGAGTTCCCACATATGCTGAGCACTTGTTGGCTGCTTTTCCTTCAAACTGCGGTCCAACTCATCCCAAACCATCTCAATTTGATTGAGGTCGGGGGATTGTGGAGGCCAGGTCATCTGATGCAGCACTCCATCACTCTCCTTCTTGGTAAAATAGCCCTTACACAGCCTGGAGGTGTGTTGGGTCATTGTCCTGTTGAAAAACAAATGACAGTCCCACTAAGCCCAAACCAGATGGGATGGCAAATCGCTGCAGAATGCTGTGGTAGCAATGCTGGTTAAGTGAATTCTAAATAAATCCCAGACAGTGTCGCCAGCAAAGCACCCCCACACCACAACACCTCCTCCTCCATGCTTTACGGAGGGAAATACACATGCGGAGATCATCCGTTCATCTACACCGCGTCTCACAAAGACATGGTGGTTGGAACCAAAAATCTCCAATTTGGGCTGGTCTAATGTCGATTCCTCATTGTCTTGGCCCAAGCGAGTCTCTTCTTATTGTTGTCCTTTTAGTAGTGGTTTCTTTGCAGCAATTCGACCATGAAGGCCTGATTCACACAGTCTCCTCTGAGCAGTTGATGTTGAGATGTGTCTGTTACTTGAACTCTGTGAAGCATTTATTTGGGCTGCAATTTCTGAGGCTGGTAACTCTAATTAACTTATCCTCTGCAGCAGAGGTAACTCTGGTTCTTCCATTCCTGTTGCGGTCCTCATGAGAGCCAGTTTCATCATAGCGCTTGATGGTTTTTGCGACTGCACTTGAAGAAACTTTAAAAGTTCTTGGAAATGTTCCGTATTGACTGACCTTCATGTCTTAAAGTAATGATGGACTGTCATTTCTCTTTGCTTATTTGAGCTGTTTTGCCATAATATGGACTCTGTCTTTTACCAAATAGGGCTATCTTCTGTATACTCCCCCTACCTTGTGACAACACAACTGATTGGCTCAAACGCATTAAGAAGGAAAGAAATTCCACAAATTAACTTTTAAGAAGGCAGACCTGTTAATTGAAATGCATTCCAGCTGGTTGAGAGAATGCCAAGATTG